AGGTCGGATCAAACAAAAGTTTTTTGAATTAAGGTGCAACTGACCTATAGTTTAACAGACCTACAACAGCTAAAAAGCAGCTGAAAAACCACGTGCAAGTAGGTCAGAAGTGTAATATAGAGGATATGCGTAGGTCGAAAAATACACCACCCAAATTGAGCCCTTACTTTAAATGTCGTCTTTTTCAAACTTTCAAAGTTAAAATTTTCTCTCCAATTATTATATTCATTTAATAATGTAATGATTTATTAATTAAAAGCATTTTTAAAAACCATTAAAATATTTTGGATCAACTTGAAAAACGCTAATTTTTCATAGAAACCTTTGCCTAGTAACAAAATCCTTTAAAAGGAACCGGTCCATCATATGCTGAAGAATGAAGCTGCTCCGTACATTCAGGGTGTACAAATTCCGACTTTTACTTTGAACTTTTTATTAAAAATTTTCCTTCAAAGAATTGCTTTTAAAATCATAACATAAAAATTCGCCAATTTTTTTATTTTACCCTGTTTGTACACAATAACCTAGTGCTACAGCTTTTAATCTGTTTGATCAGTCGAAACTCCTTTTTTAACCGCCAGACGGACTTAAATTTAATTATTCTTTACGTATATTTAGAACAGGCAAGCACATTTTAGATTATATTAAGAACTATTAAGTAATTTTTTCAATAATATTTAACAAAAGTCACGTGTAATTAGTTGTCTTTGAATCCAGTTTTTTAAACGAGTTTTCATAAATGTGATAAGGAAATGGTCAGCTGATGGTTTTAAGACCATAGACGAAACCAGTTTCATTTTATAGTTGTCATGTGATTGATTCAACAATCCAAAAATCGTATACTAGGAAATTACCGGGAATTTCCTTTTTTTGATATTTTACTAGATAGGATTCTGCGATGGTGAATTTTTCGACCTACCCAAATCTGCTGTAATCCACTTCTGACCTACGCCAAATCTGCTATACTTAACATCCGACCGTCTAGTACGTTGTTTTACAGCTGCTATATGGACTTGTGGCCGCAGCTCCCGGTCCCCTAGCCTGTCCCAGCCGCGGTGCTCGGCCCCATAGCCTGTCCTAGCCGCAGCGCTTGGACCAGAAATTGTCGTTACCTAACCTAACCCTCGAATAATTCAAAAATAAACAGTTGGCGTAGGTCGATATTGCAGTAGGTCGGAAAGTTAGTAGGTCAGAAGCTCAGTAAGGGGGATGTTGCGTATAGACTATGTATTATTACCGATTTTGCACTAAAAAAGTAAATGTTTAAATTATAACTTGTGGCCGCGGTGCCCGACCCTCTAGCCGGTCCTAGCCTATGCTCCCTTGCCTGTATTCTGATAGTTCTCTCGATTTCGATTACAAGAGACTCCTAAATGTGTCTCACCATGATACCGAGTGACATGTCCGATTCACAACTGTACCCTTAAAAGCTTTAGCCTGCAGGTCAAAAATGCACAAGATATTTAAAATCTTGACCTAAAAATTAATTGTTTTCAATTGTGGTTTCCATGCTAAAGTGACTATTGGATATCTCTCAAAAACTATGAAAAAAATGGTCAGATTAAAACACTTCCACATTATTGACCAGCTAAAGGGTTAAAGGTATCATTGTGAATCGGGATAACCCTCTTTAAATGGAAAGTCACTGAACTGCCCCGGGTTTCAGTATAATGTTAACAAGTGTGCGTAGGATGAGTTCAGCACTGGTTGAAAGCTTCAAGGCAACTACTGGGAAGACCATCACCTGTAAAGCAGCTGTTGCTTGGGAACCTAAGAAGCCGCTTGATGTCACTGATATCCAGGTCAATTTCTAATTAAAATCCTGGACAAAAAAATAAACTAAAGAAATATTATTTTCACTTAATAATGTTAATAAGTAAAGGTAATCAAGGTTAAGTTAATAACCAAAATATTTAATTAGAACTTCAAAGAATTGTTATTAATGTCTAAAATAAGATTTTGAGCTGTTTAAACTTTCATTCACTTATTTACCTTAAAGTTAGTGATCGGCAAGAATCTGAGTAGTTTTTGGTTCTTTTCTCACTTTAGATTAAAATTTAGACCGGTTCAATAAAACAAACTAACAATTACATAGATATATCATTGAATTGTCGAAACCTTCACAGTTCACAGTATTTATGTGACATGTCTGTTAAATGTTATTGCCAATCACAGCAAATCAGTTGTAAGTGTTAATTTAGTATTTTAAATATTAATATCAATTACATTATAGATTGCGCCTCCTAAGGCAGGAGAGGTGAGAGTAAAGGTGATCTCCAATGCTCTCTGTCACACTGACATCTACACCTTGGACGGGCATGACCCAGAGGTATATAGTGCAAGTATTATTGTTAATCTATTTGAATTTCTTACGCAAGTTTTTAATCATGGTCAAGATTTGGCATTGTGTAAAAAAATAATTATAAAATACAATTTTGGAAACATTGCTCTTCTTACACTTTGCCAACATTTTACCCTGAAGAAAATATAGTAAAAAAAACTAACAAACTTAATGCACATCACTAAGAAAAGGGTATCAATTCCACCCACCCTCCTTTGAATTACAAAACTTTTAAGCTATTTATGGGCTACATTTTGGAAATTTTTATAGAATTGCATTCAGGCATTTCAGAATTAAGGAAGAGGGGCTTAACTTTTTTTTTTTTACTTTGCCTGGGTTTGGTGCTGAATCCACCTTAAAATAATAGTTTTCACTCTTCCAGGGTTCACTAAACCAAATGGTCAAAGATAATATTCAATTTGTGTCTCCATTTTCATGTTTTGTGGGATACCCTGTATAATGTATATTTTGTCTTCTCTTGAAGGGTCTCTTTCCCTGTGTTCTGGGGCATGAGGCTGCCGCTGTTGTGGAAAGCGTGGGGGAGGGTGTAACCTCTGTAATACCAGGTATTGTTTTTTTTTGCCCTGATTGTAGGAAAATCTGGAGTAAAAAGTACAAAAAGTTAAGATTAGCTTAACACAAAGAGTAGTTTTGATTAATGCAGCAGAAACATTGAAGGAAACTAAATAAGTAACATTTAACAAAAGAGTAATTTGTTTATATGCTGCAGTGACGTTTAACCGCCTTGAACGATTTTACAGGGAAACTAAATTTTCACCATTAAAGTCAACCCACTCAACTTATAATTTTAAAACCAAGCTAAGAACATTCCCGTGGGCCTCGCGAGTTACCTTATCAAAATTTGAGGCCAATCAGTCCAGAACAAATGATAGAACAGAGCTTACAGCAATATATATATATATATACATATCTAGGTGATGTTGTGATACCGTGTTATACTCCTGAGTGTAAACAACATGATTGTATATTCTGTCAATCTCCTAAAACCAACCTCTGTCCCTCAATCAGGTCAGAAATTTAAATCACATGATGAAGCTCTGAAAGCCCCCCCCCCCCACCATTTTCCTCTATCAATATCAAAGGGGTATACATTTTCTTGAAAAATCATTCATCCCTTTTAAAGATAATTTTTTGCTTTAGACATTCTGTTGTTTTTGTTTAGGGTTTGATCCTCATAGTTTGGGAAAATAAATGATTTTTAGAGAATTTAGTAAAATATTATAAATGGTAAACAAAAAGAGAGGTTTTGATGTCTAATAAGTCTGATATTATCAATGATATGAGAACCTAATGAAATAGACCTGGTACAAAATTAAGGCAGTGTAGTGTTGTCGTTATAGATCGTTTAAGAAAAATTAATAAACCATCCAAGATTTCATAACTTTATTAAGTTAAAGTTTGCTTTTATTAACCTTAGAACATTTTTATACTATCCAAAAAGGATCGGTAAAATAAAACATGTTTGTTTTTGCATCGTTTGTGGATCGTTTTTGCATCGTTTGTGGATCGTTTTTGCATCGCTTTTGGGTCGCTTTAGCATCTTTTTTGGATCTTTTTTGGATCGTTTTTGGGTCGCTTTTGCATCGTTTTTGGAATGTTTTGGACCTGTTGGATTTTTGCATATACACTAACCCTGAAACAATATATAGGCAAAAAAACGATCCAAACGCGAACTAACTAAAAGCAAACTGGAATCAACTATTTCTCCCATTCTGTGAGTTTTAATCTTAAATTTATCAAAAATGTTTAAATGTTTAAAGAGGAACCCAGGGCCAGGGATTTATGCCGGACGGAACCTCTCGACTCAGCAAGGTTTGATTTTTGATTCTACAATAATTTTTATTTTCATTACCTGTTCCTAAATAACTTTTTAGTTCGAAGAATTTGTCTTTGTCGTCATTAATGATTAAAGAAAATTATCATAAAAAGCATCCCTTCATCTATGCGGATTTTAAAGATTTCATTTGTGCTCTTGCTGAACAAATATGCAACGTAAAAACGTTTCATAAGTCTCAAATGAATCCAAAAAAGTTTCTCCAAAATACTGCATTCTCAGCTCAACTACCATGTGTAGCAAGCCACCCACTTTAATTGCAGAGTTTTTACAATAATTCTTCATTTTGAACTTTGAATTGGTGATTCATTTTATAAGTATTCCAAACAGCCATCCTATGCCATTTTTTCTCATCTGTATGTTCTTATGATTTTGTTCCTGTTAAAAAGAAATAGATTTTGTAAAGAGGGATCACAATAAACATGGACATTGGACATAAAGGCCTTTAAACGGCAAGTTTTTTCATTCTTTTTGATACTTTTGGCCAAAAATTTTATTTATTAATCCCTAAAAATCAGTGATCACACATAATTTAGCAAATTAAACCATAAAATAAAATTTTGAGCTTCACAAAACAAATATAACTTCAAGAAGAAAAAAATAATGCAAAATTTTTGTAAAAAAATTACACCCTTGGGGGCAAGTAAACGAGAATTTGAAGAATATACTTCGTCAAAAGTTACTAGCCTTATGGTATTGAATTTTCAGAAAGATTTGGTTAAATTTAATATTTATTTAAGTCTGCAAATCAAATTCCTAATATTTCTGTTTAATAAGAAATTAGGTAGTACTTAGAGTACAAATGTTGTACAATTGTACAAATGTTGCTTGTTTGTTTGTTTGTATCTAATAAATTTCTAAACGGCTGAACCGGTGGGGCCCAAATTTTGAGCGGGACCTCACGTGACCTCAGGGAGTGTTATGGATGATCAAAAATTTAAAGATAGTCTCCACCAAATTCGATATTTAATAATTTTTGAAAATCCACAAAAAATGTTTAAAAAATCCGATATTTTTTTTTTTTTTTTACAAAGAGAAAATGTTTAAATTTGGAAAAGGAGATGGGCCCTGAAAGTCTAGTATATGAAAAATACTTAGTTTTATTATTTTGCAGTTACAGTTGATATCTGAAGTTATTCTTACCCCCCTAAAATTGATCTCACTTTGTTCTTAAAATAATCTGTTTTACTATTTTTGAGAAATTATTTTATATTGTTTTAGAAGATTATTGCAGTTGAGTGGTTTCTATTCCATTTCATTAAACTCGTTCATCAGAACAAATCGTAAATATACGTTATTAGAAGAAAATTCGAGATAATAATTTTGACTAAAAATAATAATAAAAGGAAAATGATAAAAGATGAAAATGTAAAAATGATGAAAATTTTAAAAGATGAAAATGTAAAAAGATGAAAATGTTAATAGATTAATAATTGACAGTATTTGATAATGATAGAATATAAAAATAATAAGAGATGAGATCCTGCAATGTTTCTGATATAAATATTTAATTTTTTAGGATGGAAAACCAATCTTCCATTTTATGGGGTGCTCTACCTTTGCTGAATATGCTGTTATTGCAGAGATATCTGCTGCTAAGGTATTTATTAACTAGCTTGGAAAAACAGCTATACCTGGAAATATAAACTTTCTCTAAAAAAAATCGACCAAATCAATTTAGAATTTTAAACTAAGCCAAGACCACTTTTAGTGTTTTATCGAGTTGGCCAATCATATATTGAGAAAAATGGGTTAAGGCATATAAACAGTTGTTTGTAATTTTTACTTATTTTACTGAGATTTCAGGTATTCTTCAGTTGTATCATTTTTTTTCAGACCAAAATATTTAAAGATTTTTGGTTTTTGTTGGCGACCGTAATTTTACTCGAGACATTTCGACATTTTGTACACATTTTCTATGGACATTTTGACATGGATATGAAATGCCATTTCGACATTCTGTAATGAGATTTTTTCACTGTCCAACATTCTAGCCAAAAAATGTCCCATTTAGGAAATATAGATTTCTTTTCAATTATAAAAGTGCAAATTCAGAATATTTATTCATTTTTTGAAATCCGGAAAAAAATTAGATCTCTCGAAAAGATGTCTTTTTTTCTAATTTCTATATCTCTGCAACCTGATTGTGTAAACCTTTGATATTTTAAACTTAGATTATTTGACCTGAAAGAGTTCATGTTTGAAATATTTAAGGTCTACAACATGTGGGTTGCAAAGATATAGGGCTTAGAAAATCAGAGTTTGCGACAAAGACTCAATAACTTCACAGACAGAATTGAATTAGGGCTCTACAAACATTTCATTCAATTTTGTCCTTACAAAGATTTAAAAGGTACAGGTCTGAATTGGGAATGAAAATATTTGAATTGAGGGAGACTTGACTAAATTTCGATATAGTCCCTTTAAATGATATTTTATTTAAGATTTACAGACTAGATATACATAAACTGATCTTAAGCCCTCAAGGACTAGGCTAAGCGGACCTATAGTTGTACCGTAGCGTCTGCTACATTATATATAGACTGCTCAGAAGCCCTCAGGACTAGGCTAAGCAGGCCTATAGTTGTACCGGCACGTCTCTTACATTTCCACGAAAGGTTTTAAACTGCCATCTAACGGCCACTGCATATAATACCCATTAAGGGGCTAAGTTTTACAATTTTTACAGAAATACTGGAAACTTTTAACATAATATTTATGACTCAGTTTATTTTTAAAGGTTTTGTATTTTGTATCCAAAGGACCTCTAAATATCCCTGAATAGAGACGTCTGTTTATTGGTCGTGTTCTCCAGTATGTACACAATGGAACCTGCTGTGGAAAATATCGCATATTCTTGTCTTTATTAGATATCTGTACTCTCTATCTCTTAAGATAAATCCTGGAGCAGACTTGAACAAGATGTGCCTGCTAGGGTGTGGAGTTGCTACGGGATGGGGAGCAGTTTTTAACACGACTAAGGTTAGAAACAGTACTTAGGATCCAGATTTGTTGGATCCGCAACATTTTGTAAATCTTCTAGACTGTTGACGAATTCAACATTAATATTGTTCAATGAGAATAAAAAGCAAAAAAAAATTTTGAAATTTTTTTTAAAAGGTTTAAAAATACAATTCCGGATTCGAAACAGGATCCGGATCCTGTTTTGAATCCAGAATTGTATTTTTATGATATATATTTTTTCTGAACAATAAAATTCTAAGAATCGTACTAAAATTTTAGAACACATGAATTAGAAACAACCAAATATTTCTAAAAGGATCAAAATTAATGATAAGTAAAAAATAGTTGAACTTCGTAAACTAAGCTGAATCACGTCCTCTTCTCTTGAGCTTGAACCAGCGCACAATAGAAGAGGTTTAACTCAACTCACAGAGTTCAACTGAGCTTTTGCTGTCCTGTTGATTTTGGACCCTGAGTGGGAATGCATTGAATTATATTCAAGGTTCACCCTGGAGCTTCTGTAGCTGTGTTTGGTCTTGGAGCACTGGGTTTGTCGGTCATCCAGGCAGCTAAGGTTGCCGGAGCCAGGTATAAAGATATTTTAAAGGGACTGTGCGATTTTCAAAAAAAATCATATAAATATATATATATATATATTGTTAAAAAAATCACCCCTTCTTGAAAAAAAATCCGGATGACTGAGAACCCTATGACCTGAATTCAACTAGGGGTTATAACAATTCGTCCATTCAAATCTTGGCGTTCTAAGAAAAATCACAATAAAACTATAAAAAACTAGTTTATACCGAGATCGAACAAAAATAAGAGTAATATCCGAGTATATATATATGCATGAAATTCTTTAGCAAGGACTCAGAAATCAATATCAAGAATATAAAATGTTGAACCATTTTTTCATTCATTTATTTATTATATTCGAGCTTAATTAGTACTAATTAGTATGAAGTTATGCAATTGTTATGATTATTATCATGATTAATTACCAACCAGTTTTTTCGATATATCTAGATTACCAGTATTTAAATTTAAAAAAGATTATAATTACGGTTTGCACGTATATAGTAGAGTGGATAATAACGTTAATACGAATAAATAGAAAATAAAAAAAGATATTATTGTTTGCTGGTATAAAGTAGAAGTTGATATTATTAAGAATAAGAATAAATATTAAATAAAAAAGATTAGTATTACTGTTTGCAGGTATATAGTAGGAGTTGATATTAATGACAGTAAGTTTGCTGCTGCTGTATCTATGGGAGCTACGGAATGTGTCAACAGTATGTCCTGCGAGGGGGGAGATGTCAAGAGCTGGCTACTTGCAAGGAAATCATCTTTTTACCTAATATTTCTTTTGTTAAAGGGACTACTGTTGAAATTTCAAGTGACTCACCATATAAAGTTAGTCATTTATCCAGTCAGTGATCTGTGAAAGATATCATCGTTTTCTAGCTTAAAGTGTTCAATTCTCAAAATTTTCTCTTTTGTTTCTATGGCAAGACATTTGCAATTCACTTATTCAAAGAGAGTGCACATTTTAAAGAAAATTGTGGAAATCTCATCTAGTTACAATCTAAAAAAACCATTTTTTGATTAATAATATTGGTTTATCAAAAAGATTTGATTAAATAGGGAGAAGTGGGGATATGACTTTACCTATGACTGTACAGGGATTGTTCAAGTAATGAGATGTGCTCTAGAGGTGGCGCATAGGTAAATAAAAGAATAACATTTTAAACCAGGTTCGGTGAAAGGTGAGGGAAAAGTTGTTCTTTATCAGAAGAAATTACCGATTATTTAAGTCAGATCTTTTGCAGAATATTTAAGGTTGTATTCAGATCAGCTAAATGGGTGTTGAATTAAATAAGATCAGAATTAAGATCAGTCCAATAATTCTTTTGATCTTATCTTAAAACTTAAGAATTAGATTTCTGCTTAATCCGCTCTTTTTCCCAATTTTCGGAAATATCTCTACCGGAATTCGACCTATGAGAGTATTCACATTAAATGCGCGCAAAATTTTTTAATTTCCCAGCTTTAGATTGGCTGTTTGGTTTCTACAAGTGACCAATTAATATCGATATACATAATTCCGAAGTTTTCAGCTCTGATATCAAAACTTAAGGATTCTATCAATCATAGATCTTCAAATTTAGCAAACTAGTGAAACTTAGTAAATATTCAAAAGTTGTTGTTCAGCAGGGCCTTAATCCTAAGGGAAGATTATAAAACTAGTTCTCTTCTAATCTAGAGGATGGGGGGAGAGTTGTGTTATCGGTGTGGCAGCAGCAGGAAAAGAGATCTCGACGCGACCATTCCAACTAGTCACAGGTAAGAAACTATCCCTAGAGAATATATTAAGAAGAATTCCTTATGTACAAGGAATATACATAACTTAATACAAATACTTCAGCTAGTACTCCTCTGTTAGAAAAATAACTTGTGTATGAAATATGTATTTTTTGAACAAAACAATCCTTCTTTTCACAGTATTTGATGTTTAATCAACTATTTTTCCAATTACTGATCTAATTTATCAGGGCGTAACTGGAAGGGAACTGCATTTGGGGGTTGGAAGGCAAGAACTGAAGTTCCTAAGCTAGTTCAGACGGTTATGCGAGGAGAGATGGCCTTAGAACCATACATCACCCATACATACCAGGTACAGAACAAGGCTATGCATTAAGGTATCCCAATAGTGGAACCTAGCGGCAAGTTATGGAACTAAATACTAGTGATGCATGGGTAAGTATTATTGATTCCTAATCTGACCACTGTTAAGGTTGTGGCGCTAGCGGCGCAAATGTTTGTAATTTCTACCCCATGAGATAAGGAGCCGTCTGAGCAGGATGCACCTAATCAATTTTTTCTCATGTAGTCACGACATCCTAGTGACATTGTGATATGAATTTCATTATGATCGGATAGTAATTAAGCCCTTGAGAGAAAAAAGGCTTAAATGTTTTTTATTCAACAACCTTTTTTTATTATACAAAAAAGGTAGATAAACCAATTTGAGTAGATCTTATACAACTGTTGTCGTATAGCAGCAAGATTCTCAATAATGAACAGATAGACAACAAGATAACCCTCAAATCGAAACCGATAATGAAGAGAAACTCTGTATTTCCTAAAAAGATGATATAGATAATAACATATAAATCATTACAATGAATTTATGAATTTTTTATAATGGAAAGATTCTTACAATCTAATAAGGGATCTGGAGGGTTAAATTGTCGGAGAGTCCTAAGACGTGTTTTTTTTTATTTAAACTTCCGAAAAGAATGACAATTAATTATTAACGAAAGTCACTAATTCTTTATATGAAAATATTCTTTGCTTAACTTTTGAAATGGATTCACAATAAATAAAAGTGTTTAGACTCCTTTCCCGGAGAACAAAGAAAATGGGGCTAAAATTATTTGGTTTGGTGTCTCCAAGAGGGGATTATAAGTTAAAGACGACATTACGCGGAGAGATCTTATAGTTAATGGTTGACAACAACATAGTGAGAGCATGTATGAATTCCCTTCCCCTTTTCTAAAATCGTTGACCCCCTTCCCCCTTTTTGGATGAATTTTTTTACACACTTTATCGCCCCTCCCTTCCTTGCTTCCCCCTGCAATACCTGCAGTTTATATGTTTAGGGTTTGGAACATGTGAATGAAAGTATAGATGCACTTCACAGTGGATCTTGTCTTCGTGCTGTTATTCATATTGGAGAATCAGGCATCCAGCCACAGGTAGTGATGTGCCTTCAGTTGGTTAGTTTTTAGGCTTGTTTCTGCTCTAGATTTTCTTTCAGGCAAAATGAGCAAATTTTTCTAAATTTTTCTAAATATTTATGTCTTTCTTTTCCTACACTTTGTCAAATTGACCCTGGCAGAAAATATATGCAAAAAACGACCTTGAAACTATGCAAAAACGACCGCGTTGTAACGATAGTTTTTAAATAGTTATTTTTATTACATATAAGATGCAGACAGTGAATAAATTACAGATACAGACATTGAATAATTACAGATACACACGATGATTAAATTACAGATACGGAAAATGAGTAAATACAGATACAGATGCACATTCAGATGCAGCCACCGACATTGATTAGATTGAATTTATCGAAATTTGACATTTAAATTTACAAAATATAATTCAACATGCTTTTAGGCTTTGCCCAAACTGAAGGGAAATGTAAGGTTTGAGGGAGGTTGGTTGAAACAGATGTCACATTGGTCGGAATCCTGTCAGTGTGAGATGACTTTCTCAGGGATTTAAAAATTAAAAATTTTAAATGGATTTAAAAAATAATATGTAATCGGTATTTCATTTTTTTAATTAATGAAACAAAATGTTTGTTAGAAAGAGAAGGTTAATATTTATAAAAAAGCTAAGATCTTTACTTCTTCCATCTGAGAAGCATCAGTTCAGTTTCTTGATGAAAAAAAAGCATTTCTGTATTAAATGTTGTTATTTTGATTGTTATTATTGTAATTTTGGTTCTGTAAAGTGTCTCGATTTACAATAAATTAGTGGTTATAAAGTCGTTATATTCTTTTAGTCAACAAGATTTCTGAACAACTGAAGTACATTTAAGTGGGAAGTTTAACCTCTAAAATATTATTTTAAAATTTAAATCTTCAGTTTTCCTGCCCGATCAACAGTCAAGAACAGCCCCACTCCCTCCTGTTCTATACTACCTTTCAGGTAAACTTTTCATGAACAGTCCCTTTCGTCCTGTCCTATACTACCTTTCAGGTGAACTGTTCATGCACAGTCCCTTCCCTCATGTTCTATACTACCTTTCAGGTGAACTACTCATTGACAGTCCCTTCCCTCCTGTCCTATACTACCTTTCAGGTAAACTTTTCATGAACAGTCCCTTTCCTCCTGTTCTATACTACCTTACAGGTGAACTTTTCATGCACAGTCCCTTCCCTCCTTTTCTATACTACGTTACAGTTGAACTATTAATGCACAGTCCCTTCCCTCCTGTCCTATACTACCTTTCAGGTGACCTATTCATGTACAGTCCTTTTCCTCTTGTTCTATACTACCTTTCAGGTTAACTATTCATGCACAGTCCCTTCCCTCCTGTCCTATACTACCTTTCAGGTGAACTATTCATGGACAGTCCCTTCCCTCCTGTTCTATACTACCTTTCAGGTGAACTATTCATGCACAGTCCCTTCCCTTCTGTTCTATACTACCTTACAGGTGAACTATTCATAGTCATTCCCTTCCCTCCTGTTCTATCCTACCTTTTAGGTGAACTATTCATGCACAGTCCCTTCCCTCCTGTTCTATACTACCTTTCAGGTGACCTATTCATGTACAGTCCTTTTCCTCTTGTTCTATACTACCTTTCAGGTTAACTATTCATGCACAGTCCCTTCCCTCCTGTCCTATACTACCTTTCAGGTGAACTATTCATGGACAGTCCCTTCCCTCCTGTTCTATACTACCTTTCAGGTGAACTATTCATGCATAGTCCCTTCCCTCCTGTTCTATACTACCTTACAGGTGAACTATTCATGCACAGTCCCTTCTCTCCTGTTCTATCCTACCTTTCAGGTGAACTATTCATGCACAGTCCCTTTCCTCCTGTTCTATCCTACCTTTCAGGTGAACTATTCATGCACAGTCCCTTCCCTCCTGTCCTATACTACCTTTCAGGTGAACTATTCATGCACAGTCCCTTCCCTCCTGTTCTATACTACCTCTCAGGTGAACTATTCATGCACAGTCCCTTCCCTCCTGTCCTATACTACCTTTCAGGTGAACTATTCATGGACAGTCCTATACTACCTGTCAAGTGTAAGGTTAATTTTTCATGCACTGTCCCTTCCCTCTTATTCAGGCTCCTGTGGGATATAGTCGTTTTCAGATTGGTTGCGTATTTGTTGAATATGATCTGTTTAATACTACAACTTTTATACATAATTGCATATATATGAATTTTCATATAAAGACTCGATCAGTTTTATATTAATTTCTTCAGATAAATGTTGTATATGTATCGTTTAACGCCTGATATTCTCAGGTTTCATCCTATACCCCCTATCATTTTTCCTTTACAGTCCCTTTAATTATAATTATTTGGTTCTAAATTTCTGAATATCCTCGCTAGTTCAAACTGTATTTTAATGATTAATTATCAAAATTCTTTCTTACCAGGGCTAACGTGTACTGATGACAATGCGCGAACAAAATCTCAGTTTGCCCAGGAGGCTGCCAAGGTTGGGTTAGCGGTCGTCTTCCCAGATACCAGTCCCAGGTAAATCATTGAAATACAAGGGATTGTTCATGAATTTAAATATACACCAATTTTATTACTTAAAAAATAAAAATTCTTGGTCTATAATTTTCTCGATATTTTCTGTCAACATAGCCGGTCTCAGGTTAAAAAGTAACCGGGCGTGGTATAAGGCCCTCGGTATTTCGGTCTTAAACATCAAATTTTAAAATATTTAAGTAGATTCTTTTAAATTTCATAAATATTATCATGCAAACATTGAGATGAAAATAGTTATTTTTTAATCTTTACTTGTATTGCGACATCTTAAACCCAATTTAACTATATGTCTACGTCAGCAGATGTTTATCAATGCATCCATAATTTGATATTTTGGGTAAGGTGTCCAAATCATTAAAAAGTGTCACTCCCGGACGCTTTTTAACGTCACACCGCGGTTTCCTGTGAAAACGCAATTGTTTTTAAAAATGCTTGTGGGCCTTAAATAATTTTTCGGTTATTTAAAAATTTTAGTGTTTAAATTAGGGGTTCAAATATTCCTGGGGAGGAAGACTCCTGGGACTATGGAACTGGAGCTGGATTCTATGTGAATGCTACAGCTCCAAACTGGAGCAAAAACTATAGGTAAGGGATTGTCTAAAAAAATTAAGTTTTGGGCTTATTATATGGAGCAATGTTATGGCCTATATAAAATATATAAAAGTGAAATTATTATTTTTTTGGAGACAAGATTGCTCTGAGCTGTTTCTTTCGACTTTAAAGGGACTGTTGTTGAAATTTTAAAATATCGGTCAGATAAATAGAAAGGAAGGAGAAATTCTCGTTTTTCTGGCTTAAAGCGCTTAATCCTGACATCTTCTTCAACTCATTCTACAGGGGTAATCAGATAGTCACTTTTTTAGAGTCTTAATTGTAATGAAAGAAAACCGTCGGTCATCTTATTTTTTGATCAAACAAGGTTTTAATGATACCAGAGTGAATCGTAAACGCCATTCACAGTGACATTACTGCATCTTTAATTGTCAAATCTTAATTAAATCTTTTTTTTTCAAAATGAGTAAGTGTACCGTTGTGAATCAGGAATATTGAAATGGTGGGGTTATATCAAACTACGCCAAGAGTCCCTTTAATACTTTCAAAAATTTACTGTTAAGAATGTACGACTATGTGACTAAAGAACTCCCTGAGCTGGTTGCTGGGCTCTTCCCTGTAGATCCTGTTAAAATGTCTGTTACAGGTACTAAAAACGGTGTTCGAACATTTCATAATAATTCGTAGACAGAGTGGATTTTTCGTAAACATGTAATTTCGTAGAGACTAGACGGGTACGAATTTTCACAGAAAAGTGATTTATAAACATTTTTTTTTAGAGACAATTGAAGGTTTTTGGTTACTAAGAAATGTGTCGTCTCAGAATTTTGGACAATGTGATCGTTTTGAGATAAATTTATTTTTGATAACACGTCATATAATTATATTGTTTTGAGATACATTTATTTTTGATAACACGTCATATAATTATACTGTTTTGAGATACATTTATTTTTGATAACACGTCATATAATTATATTTTTTTGAGATACATTTAATTTTGATAACACGTCATATAATTATATTGTTTTGCAGTGTCTGCTTAACTAATAAGATATCAACCATGTAAGATCAGTTTAGAGCAAAAATATGAATAATATGTGAAGTAAAAATCGGCCGTCATAAATTACAAACTTGTGAATCGTTATTGGGACTTATTTACCATTTTTTAGCAGGAAATACAAGTAAAATTAACAGGGAGGCTCAGTAAACATGGGCTTAATTGCTAACTATTGGAGGTTGTCTTTTTTTCTTGTGACATTTTTTTATAAATATTTATATTATTAGAGATCAATATAGAATTCAACATGGGATCAGACTATTAACTTTACAATGTTCGCGAACACTCTCTTTAAAGCTTTCGTCCTAGGTCATTCCATGGGAGGACATGGAGCCCTTATTTGTCACCTGAAGAACCCTGGGAAGTATACAAGTGTCTCGGCATTTGCTCCCATCTGCAACCCTACAGCTGTTCCGTGGGGAGAGAAGGCTTTCTCAGGTTTGCTAGTTAATTCAGGATCCAATACAATTTTCATTTTAAGCTCTACAAGTATTAAAAATAAACTTATTGGATCAGAAATGTTAAAATCGTAAGAATCTGATTTCAAACGCCCCTATACTCTCTAGACCCTTATCCATTTGTTTTTTTAACGCTTATGTCGCAGATCCTTTTTATCCTTTGAATTCGGTTAGATTAAGTAATCAAACTTTTAATGTTGCACCATCAGGTTACAAAGATTTAGGGTTTTAAAGTTAAGGACATAGATCACTGATCGGTACCATTTTGTTCAGGATATCTTGGTTCAGTTGAGGACGGTAAAGCTTATGATGCTACCGAACTGATAAAAACCTACAAGGGGCCTACACCTAATATTCTCATTGATCAGGTAGATCAGGATAATAATGTACCTTACTTTTATAGAGTGGCATGTCGGATTCACATCTGTAACAAGGACAGTACTTTTTAAACTAAAATGAGATATTCGTGTTTTCCTCTTTGAATGTCGTCACTTTGACTTGTGGATTCCTGTTCAAAAAGCATTCAGGAAATCGTGAGAATAATTTGGAAATTTTTAGAATTAACACTTTAAGCGAGAATAGTCGCCATATTTTCCACATTTATGATAATTTAAAGATTTGAATAGTACAGTTGTGAATCGTGCATACCCATCTTTAAATGAAGGATTTCTTATAATTTCAAGTACAATACCTTCTACGAGATGAAATAATCTCCATGAATTCTGTAAAGAAGGTCAATCGGTTTTAAGAATTCCATATTTGAGTCCAACCAAGGAGTATGGAATATGGAGGAGATAGAAATGACGCGGCCCGCCCTACCATATGATTATACATTCTTTGCAGACGGGTACTCCATTAGAGAATCTTTTTTAAAAGTCGTCTTTTAATTTTTAAATGTGTTTTTAATTTTTACCATTTGTTTTTTTTTTCATTTGTTATCTCCCTTATATTCCATACTCATTGGGTTCAACTAACATTCAAGTTAATAATGCAGATATTTGTTCTATATTTTTTGAAAATAACATAAGGAGTTAGTTGACCCTTTTAACTCTTCAGTTCTAACAATATAATAGGACCCCTGACCAATAACCATCAAAACCTAAGTTTTAAAAAAAAATAACAGCTGACATTTAAGGGAACCGCTGACAGTTTCTTGAAAACTCAACTTAAACCTGAAAACTTCTCTGCCGCTGCTGCAAAGGCTGGTTATCCTGTTGAGGTAATGTTTTTGGGCCAAAACTTGTTGTGGTATTTCATGTGACCCCAGGAAAGGTTGATGACTAATTGAAACTAAAAAGAGTTGCCTTGTAAAAAGACAATTTGTTGGGTAACATTTATCATTGGAAGTTGTAATTGAACTTGTTATGGCTAGTTCAAATACTTCTTCTTTATACCACACTTTGCTTTACTAAAGGAATAGTTTCAAACACTAACATTAAGCCTCTGAGTTAAAGAATCAGGTTTCCTAACTAGAGAATTTAGTTTCCTGACTAGAGAATCTAGTTTTCTGACTAGAGAATCTAGTTTCCTGACTAGAGAATCTAGTTTCCTGACCAGAAAATCTAGTTTCCAGACCAGAAAATCTAGTTTCCTGACTAGAGAATCTAGTTTCCTGACCAGAAAATCTAGTTTCCTGACCAGAAAATATAGTTTCCATGCTAAACAATCTGGTTTCCAGACTAAAGAATCTGGCTGATTTTTATTCCTATTTCAATTATAATTATTTGTTGAAGGTTCGCATGCAGCCCCTGTATGATCACAGTTACTTCTTCATCGGAACATTTATGAGAGATCATATTGATCATCACGCTAGAGCTCATGGGCTTAGACCTAAACTTTAACCTGGATCTTGCTGAAGGTATATTGATACCCAGCTTTGCCTGGAAACAAACTTATCAGCTCACTTAACTTAAAATTGTTAAACAAAAGGTCGAATTTAAGAATTTAAACTGTGTCGCTGATTCGTCAAAAACTGGTTCCAATTGCGCGCCAACTCAAATCTCAAACAACATACAATTTCCAAAGAAACTTACCATGTTTGAACCTTGTCTCGTATTTGAGCTGCGGCTCAAATTCTTTAAATTCGGCCTTAAGCTAAAGAGTTTTACGTGGTTTCACTGAGTCTCCCAATCAAAAATCTGACAAGGGGCTATGATCTAACAAACAAACAGACAACTAATTATGACTTAACTTCACTTAAAATGTATATAGTGAATAGGTTTTCTTTGTTTGTTACTTTTTCCAATCGAAATTCTTGAACCCCTTCGCCTTTTGGTTAAGTCGTTAGAATCACGCGAATGTTTTTACTCTGGTTTCGTGGGTTGACTTAAAAGAGGAAATTTAGATTCCAGATTAAGCTGGGTTTCCACTATAGTTGTATATTTACTGAAACTTCTTCTAGCGTTGATTATTTTTTGATTTATTTTTGCGTTAATTTCTTTTTTATTTCAGATGAGCGCGAGAAGTTTTAATTTGAAGGGTTCGTTTCTTTTGTTATGATTTATGTAACAAGAATTGTGTTTTAATGTTATTGTATCAATAATTTTATTTTTTCTTTATCAATAAAGTCTTGATATTATTATTTATTTCTTATTTCTGATCGGATAAGATTCTTACTATTTATATTTAATTTAGTTGAATCTCATATAAGATTATTTCCCAGATTTAACGCTAAAATATAAACATAATTCTCGAAATCTTAGCATTTTCTGCAAGAAAGATTTTAGATGAGCCTTATTCAATTTTCCAGATAATTCAATCTTCTTAAATTTTCTAATATTCCCGAAATATAGACCCACTAACGATATGATTTGATGTGATCATGTGGGACACCTGGTAAAATATCGTTTGCACTAATATTGATCGGACTACCGCACATCCGTACTAACGTTTATTTGGACTAACCTTCACTCGCACTATATAGTGCGAATAATCAACACAATTGTTTAATCAAACTAAAATCCGCGAGGACGTTTTTTTTGAGCACGTGGAGAATTATCTTTATAAATTCTAGCGGAATTCGGCTCACTTAATTAATTAGCTCCATTGAACATTTAATTATGAATGAACAAAAATGTTTAATTGTACAAAAGCTAAGTGTGGGCAAAAACGAAGTTATTTCAAATGAAAATATTTTACTGCTGATGAATAAAAAAAGTTCAATCGAACTAAAAATCTAAAATTTTAACATTTTGCACATTTACCATAATTAGTACAAATGAACAATTTCAGTGAAAATGAACGAAAAAATGTTTAATCAAATTAAAATCTAGAACTTTACTGTTTTGGCCATTTACCTTAATAAACACAAGTATAAGCATATTTTCGTGAAAATGAACAAAATAAAGTTACTAACTAAAATTTAAAATTTTACCATTTTGCCCACAAATTATAATTAGTGTAATTGAACTTGATTTAGAACAAATGAACAAAAAAAATATTCAATCGAACTAATATCTAAAATTTAGGGTTTCCATTCGCAAAGCTTTTGCAGAACGAAACGCAAAATTTTTCTTTCTTTGCGCATCAGTTTTGCGCGGAAAAACAACAATTTGCGCAATCCTTCTCAAGTCATTTCGCGCAAAATTGCCCTATTCCGCTTTTGCGAAACTCAAGTTTTGCGCAATTCCGCAATTTCGTATACTAAAATCCGAAACAGATGGTCAAGTAAAAGTCTCGACAATTTTAGTTTTGGACATGCATATTTCCTAAAAGTGGATTCTTCAGGCATTGGTTACTTTCTTGCATTATTTTATATGAGATTAAAAAGATTTCAGAAATTTGATTAAAAAAAATTTAAGAATATAATTCATACTTGATTAGGCAAAGCTTTTAAGGGTCACTTGAAATTATTTAATAGGATAAAAATATTGCCAAGTTTCACACTCTCTAATTTCTATTTTATTAAGTTTGGTCCCTTAATTTAAACTTTTTGTAACTGGAAGTAACCAATTGAGTGTAGTATAATCGTTATCATACTCGTATGTTAATATTTTTTTTATGTATGGAATAAATCTTCAGTTGTTTAATTCTAAGCTTAGAATATCAATTTTTGACAATTTGCCTAAAAAGTTACATTTTCCGTAAAACTTGCGGTTTTGCGCAAATTGCGCAAAACTAAAATTTCGTTTCATGCACAACTTTCGCAAAAAATATTTACGGTTTTGCGCAAATTATGCAGAAAAAATAGCGCAAAACTCATTGCGTTTCATGCGCAAAAGTTCGCAAAAAAAAATTTGCGCAAATTTTGCGCTAAAGATTTAGCCATTTCGTGGAAACCCTACTAAAATTTCATTAATTTGCACAATTACTTACATATTTTATTGCGAATAAACAAAAATGTTCAATAGAAATAAAATTTAAAATTTCACCACTTTGCCCATGAATTATACTTATTTTAAAATATCAATTAGTCCGATTAAACAAATTTTTTGCTGGAAATATTCCTTTGCACTAATATTTACAGAAAAAAACATTACTGCCCGCAAAGGACAGATCAGGCGTTTGAGATAAGCGATGTTTTGCATAAATTAAAAGATTCGAATATTCACACAAATATGAAGTGTTCACATTTGTTAAAATATTATTTCAAATATATCTTTCTGACTTCTTTGTCTAGAGGGAGGGAACCCCCAGATACCATGAGCCTCTGCTATGCAGACACGAGCCTCCAAGATTTTCTAGGCAGACTGAGCCTCCACTATGCAGACCAAGCCTCCGCTATGCAGTGAAAGCGCCTCCACCATGACAACCATACAGAACCGCTTTTTTTAAATCTTGGTTTTTATGTATAATGAAAATGTTAACAATTTTGTTTTTGACTTAGTATCATAAGAATTTTACAAAAAAATATATTCATTTATTGATTGTCATGATTATAAACACAAGTGTACTCCTATAGTGGTTTATATGATTTATACTAAAACTTTAAACATTTTTTACGCAGAAAGGAAGATATTTGGAGAAATATTTCTGGAGTAAATTTAGTTTGTTTTGTTATAATCGTTGATTTAAGCAATACTTTTTTTTAGAAAAATGTTAAGATTTAAATAAATTATACAAATTTTCTAGGTTTAATTTGAACTAGAAAAAAAGGCATTGCTTTAATCAAAGATTATAAAAGATGAAACGAAATTCAATTCAAATTTTTTTTCTCTAAATATTTTGTTTTCAAGTGAAGAATATTTAAAGTTTTATATACTACTTTATTAGTCATAATTAGGAACTATTTATGATAACTGATAAATACTTCTCATCTTTGAGAAACTTCTCATGCCACTGTGTCAAAAAAAATTGTTTAACATTTTTCATTACACATAAAAACTATGATTTTCATGGTGGAGGCTCGTTCACTGCATAGCGGAGTCAAGGTCTGCATAGCGGAGGCTTGGTCTGCATTGTGGAAGCTCGGTCTGCTTAGCAAATCTGGGAGGCTCGTGTCTGCATAGCACAGGCTCATGGCGTCCGGGGGTTCCCTCCATCTTGACTATCGGTTAACTGACATTGTTCTAATCTGGGCGTAAAATCATTATCATTAGGGTACAATTTGAGATTTTATTTATTTTATCTCCATCGAAGAAAATTATTGAAATAAATGGATGTCTACATGGAAAACCTTTCGAGTGAACACGCCAACAGGCAAGTTCTCGGCGAAAATCTGGGGGTCTCCAACGAAGGGGGGGGGGGGCGGGCCCCCCCCCTGGAGCGGAAACCCCAGTCTGATGAGTATACTTAAGAAAATTACATAAATAATTTATTAACACTTGTAATATGAAAGTGTGTATATGATCGAATAGTTTACATAGTTAAAAAAGTTTTCAATATATTTTCAAAAAAGGTGTTAAATTTTTTTAGCGCGCTGATGAACGCAAAATATGCCCCCTTCCCATCACAAATGCCCCTGTCACCAACCAGATTTAAGTAAGAGGTGAAGATTTTGGGTATCGATAGGTGGCAGGGGAGCAAATCTCCTTGAATGACGAAAAATTCTCTTTTACCCGAATAGTATTAAATCTGTTCTTAAAGGGAGTGTTCGCGAAAAATGAAAGCGGGTATAGGCTTGATGCGATAAAAAAGCGCCTTTGATCGCTACTAATCTTACTTCTATCTCTGTTGTGTCTACTAGAATTACAAGGAAAAAAATGTTCAAAACGACTAATACCGAAGAACGTAGTGTCCATACAAATTCAGAAAGATGCAACATTCAACTCGGATCGTAAACAAATCAATTTATTAATTCCAAACATATCATTCAGATATTACAAACAATAGTCATCGATTATTTTTCGACGCATTCGTAAATAGTTGATATTTTATGATATTTTGTATTTTTCATGATCTGAGAGTTACTTTTGAAAACAATTATTCCTGTTTCGAGGATTTTTGGCAATGAAGACGACATTTCCACATTTTCCAGGAACGCGACGTTCGAAAATCCAGTGCCATCGAAAATTATTTATAAGAAAACAAATTCAAAAATATTATGAAATATTAATTATATACGAATGCTTCGAAAAATAATCGATGATTACTGTTTGTAATATCTGAATGATATGTTTGGAATTAAATTGATTTGTTTACAATCAGAGTTGAACGTTGCATCTTTCCGAATTTGTATGGACGCTGCGTTCTTCGGTGTGAGTCGTTTTTAACAATTTTCTCCTTATAGAAGCAACAGATAGAAGTAAGATTAGTAGCGATCAAAAGCGCTTTTTTATCGCATTAAGCCTATACCCCCCCCCCTTTATTTTTCGCGAACACTCCCTTTAACTCCTAGTCAATTGCTAGATTCGTTTTACAGAAACTTTTAATACTACTTGCATTTAAACAAAATAATTTTAATCGTGTTTTTTTAACTATAAGTATGTTCAGTATTATGAATAATGGTTGTTCAATTCTACGCAACAAAACTTCATTTTTTATAATAATACTTTTAACTTAGGAAAAAATTATATTTCAATTACAAATTTACAAATTACAGAATTAAATACATTGGCTAAATTACTTGGTTTCTTGATTTTATCATTAAGAGTAAGTTTTAAAATTAAAATACTGATCACCTGCATCCTTTTCTCTCCATTCAGTTTATGCATGAAACAAAATGTTAAATAAAATGTGAAAACATGTTCAGTTTCATTTTTCTCATTTATGGTTTTCTTTCCTAGAAATTAATTTAATAATTGTTGAAGTGACAAACAGTTTCACATTTGAACACATTTGTAACATCGTGCTCACTATTTACGGAAAACGGGTATATATTTTAACAGATGTGTTAACAGACGGCACACAACATTTTTACTACAGGTTAAATTAGCTATGATTGGGAGAAAATTATTTTTTGGATAAATAATTCATGAAAATGTTTACCCCATACTCGCCCACTAACTGTAACTTCGTTCTTGGTCATGCATAAAACTTTTTTACAATTTAATAAGTGCATACAATTTGTATCAAATTAAAAATATTCCAGGATGATGAATAAAAATTATAAATCACATCAAATCTTATTACTCGTACTTCTCCAATGATGTAGAAATTTTATAAATCTTTTTTAAACAAATAAAAGGTATTTTGTTTATCCAAATATTTCACCATAGAATATAGACTATTTTTCATAAAATTAGTTTTATAATAAGACGAATTAATTTATCAGTCTACGCCCATTAAACATTTAAAAATTAAAACCCTTAATCCAAAATACTAGAATTTTTTTCTCGCTCAATTGGGAAATACAAATAATTTGTGGGTGAAAAATATCAAATATGGCGGAAAAACTACATCTATGATGTTTGCAAATAAATTTTCTTTAAAAAATTAAAATCTAAGATAAAATTCAATTTAGAATAAAAATGTAATAAAAAATATTAATCTTCAAAGCTGTGATACTTCACTCTTTGTTAATACATTTCCTTATATACTTATTAACCACAAACATAAATAAGACTTAAAATCAATATTTAGCAACTTGAATTTTGTCTTTGACCTTCACAGTTATCCGGATTCCGGAACCAAGAAACAAATAAAACATATTGTACATAATGTACATTGTACAATGAATATTAAGAAACTACAATCAACGAAAGCCATTTTGTTTGATAAAAGTAGAGAAATTTACAATAACAAAAATACTAAAATTTGTATTAAGGATTTAATTTGAAATCCAGTGGAAAATACATAAAAGTAGAAATAAGAGGAAAAAGAAATTGAGCAGTATGAAATTTCCAGCTTATATTTTTTTGTCTAAAGCTTAGCTAGGGTGGCTCTGATAATATTCCCAAAAGTTGAGCACCTTGTGTTTCTTTTCAAATGTGATCATATTTTTTCTATCCCAAAAGATATTTTTTGTCACAAAACCTCCATCATATTGTGTCCGAAATTTTGGATCAATCTTACAAATAAAATTTAAAGCAATGAACAATGGTATACACGGGGGGGGNTAATTAATCAAACTTACATATATATTCAGATTTTTTACTTTTCTTATCAATCGACAATGTCACAATTTGTCCATTTTATGATTATTTCCCAAATTCTTTCTTGTAACTTAAACTTATTTACAATATTTTTTTCGCGGGGTTTCATTTAAAATGATTGGTAATTATGGTCAGATGACTAATAGTCAGCATTCAGGTAGATTAATAAAGATTTTAAACTTAATTTTTTCTTAATACCGGTTTTTAGGGGGTTGCACATCAACCGTTAGGGGGGTGCACAAAAAAAATTTCGACAAAAGTGCATTCCCTAGACTAAACCTCCACTACGCGCATGCTAGGGATGTTTAAAAATATCATTTTTTGCTTCACTCGTCATGTTTACTTCTGAACTGGAATAACTCGCCGGTTGCGATGACCGACTTAATCCTGAGAATTCGCCGCTCTGAGGTGAGGGTTGAGGCCTTGAAACTGGCAGCGATTCCGGTGCGTTGTAATGGCGGGAAAAGCCCATCCTTGTCTCGAGGCGCCCAGGGTTAAATCTACGAGATGATGACGCCTGAAGTAGGTTCTCTACACTAACATTATCCTGACCCTGTGGGATAATTTCAGAATTCTCCGGAGAATCTAAATTAGAATCATTTTAAATGTAGACTACAGTGTCCGATTCACAGCAGTTCCCATTAAATCTTTATCATATTAAAAATGGGGAAGATATATAAATATATAATTTCTCTTAATTCACTTCCTTTCTTAAAATAAATTTCAGTTATGCTCATTCTCAGACTCAAGTTTAAAGTTTATCAATTGTGAATCAGTTTAATGCAGCTCTTCAAACGGAGGGATACTTGAAATTATGTCGATAGACTCTTCATCAGCTAAAGGGTCTATTTTGATAAAAAAAAATCAAACCTAAGAGAAAAGATGGGATTGATGGATACAGCCATATTGGGGGGAGCATTGAAGCATCAGGCTGGTTGAACATGCATCCTCGTCCTTTTTGTACCCTTAACAACAAAAATTATTTTTATACTTAGCTCGGACCGGGGGGGGGGAGGAGGGACCTTTCCCCCCTCCACCCATCATATTTCTATTTTTAATACCATAAAAACGATCTTCTTTTCTTTTCCTACTTTGTAATTGAGAACAAATTTTGCAAAAAAAATTCTTTTGGTTAAGGACGATCAATAGGCTGTTCGAATAAAATAAATTAATTTTTATTCTAATAAAGCATTTTTTTTAAATCGGCTACTTCCGAAATTTTGAATGTTAAAAAATGTTAATTGAAATAAAATTTATCAATATATATTATATAATGATGTGATCCCTACAAAATGAATTCCAAGCCGCAAAACTTGCAAACTGACCATTCTGGCCCCGACTGATCTATTTTATTTCGAATTTGGTTTGCGGCTCGGAGATTATTTTGAGGGGCTCATAGTTTATAAGTTTAAAAACGGTTTAAAAACAGCTACCGACCTTATTCCATTTTTCTCTAGGAATTCTATCGTTAGTCCCGTAATTCCGATACAACGCTCTAACCGTACACTCCTAAACAAAAACGGCTGAACCGACTAGGCTCAACATTTTTGTGAGATCTTAAATGAACCGAGAACATATTTAGAATTTGGAAAATTTACAGAAATAAAAACAAATTTAACTAAATTAATAGATGAATAAAAAGTGAAATATTCAATTTTTTTAAAATTTGATTTACACCTCGCTGAGATGTAAAAATAAAAAATATTTTTTTTTTGAAGGGACTGCAAGCGGAACTTCAAGGGACTTTGTATGCAAAGAAGAGAATGTCAGACTTACAACAGTACCCTTAATTCTTTAAACCATTGGCTGATAAAGTGCAGAGAACTCCGCGTGTATATCTCTAAAATAGCATGAAAGTATTTATTTTCTTGGACTTCTAAAGAGGAAATATTAATATTTATTATTTGAACAGGTTGCAAACAAAGTGTACACTAACCAAAAGCGTGTCTGTAGATAAACAAGGATAGGTCCGTATATCCATTAGGTTTAACCTTTAAAGGGTGCTGTTGGGAATCGTTCACGTTACCCTCCAAATGGGGTTCCTTAAAGAGAAGTTATTCGTTTAATTCACCTCAGTTTCCTGCAATGTTTTGCTACAGTATACAGCCCTCGATCAGAAATCTTCATGTTCTCACTTAAAATAAAATAAAATCATATTTTCGCCACAAAAACAAAAAAAAATGATTCACAACTTATGGTTATGCTATTGTAACTTAATATTAACTATTACTAAAAGCAAGTAGTTACTAGGACATAGTCCTAATGTGGACAGGACCAGATTGAACGCTACATCCCATTCAACACTGCTATGGTCAGCAGCTCCTGGCTCTTTAAGATTCAAAACTGGTGCATTAAGAAACCTTTATTGCAAGCATTCAACTCGGATTTTACGACCGGGATTAGGCAGTTTTGTGGATATCAATATTTTTGTTATGAAATATTTTTTTATTTAGTTTCTTCATACTCTCTATCTTTTCGAATCTCTTAAATCAAAATCTACAAAATGTTAAGACCCCAAAAAAGGAAACTCAAGAGTTTCGTTTAACGATATTCTTTTAAATTTCGGGCTCTGGGCACACAGGAAACCCAACCTGTTACTCTGGATGGAGAGAATACAGGAAACCCATCACTGGGCACACAGGAAACCTAACCTGTTACTCTGAATGGAGAAGAGTACAGGAAACCCATCACTGAGCACACAGGAAACCCAACCTATTACTCTGAATGGAGAAGAGTACAGGAAACCCATCACTGAGCACACAGGAAACCCAACCTGTTTCTCTGAATGGAGAAGACTACAGGAAACACATCATTGGGCAAACAGGAAACCCAACCTGTTACTCTGAATGGAGAAGAGTACAGGAAACACATCACTGGGCACACAGGAAACCCAACCTGTTACTCTGAATGGAGAAGAGTTCAGGAAACACATCACTGGGCACACAGGAAACTCAACCTGTTACTCTGAATGGAAAAGAGTACAGGAAACCCATCACTGAGCACACAGGAAACCCAACCTGTGACTCTGGATGAAGAAGAGTACAGGAAACCCATCACTGAGCACACAGGAAACCCAACCTGTTACTCTGGATGAAGAAGAGTACTGGAAACCCATCACTGAGCACACAGGAAACCCAAGCTTTGGGCTCTGGATGAAGAATATCCAAGGAAACTGTAGTAGAAGTATATCTACATCGATTCATTTCTTTGTTTCTTTTATTAGTTTCACTTTTAATTGAAATATTTAACTATTTTGCTCTTTTTTTTCGAGACTTGATGAATACTAGAATATTGATACCCCCTTTCGGGTGGTCCCTTTCTTCTGTAACACTACATCATTCCTCAACTCAAATTTTTAAAATAACAAATTTTATGTTTGCTATTTGCTAATTTTATTAATTAATTGATATATAAAAATTGAATATAATGCTGAACAACATGTTACGTGCAATTAAAAAATAAAAACAATAAAAGAACTATTAACAATTTACAGCTAAAACCATTTCCTCAGTAATTTTTAGGAAATAATGAGATTAAATCCTTTCTAATAAGAAAAATAAACTTAAAGCAGACAAAATTACGTTGGTTTTTTTCCGATTTCTTTTAAATTTATCCTAGCGGAAAAACACCAAAAACGAAATTGGTTTAACCATGCCTATCCCTAAAATAATAAAAGAATAATAATAATAACAGATCTAACTCCTCTGATCTCGAGCCTACCAGGATCCGGGTTTAATGAGAGATGGTTAGAGTTCAATGTTTTGGGTCAGGTTGTGAACCTGCTCCGAGAGGAGATGTTGCTAAACCATCCTGAATCCGAAAGTATAACGCCAACTTCTCATCTCCGTATCCCGGCAAACTACATCAGTGGAATAACCTTATTTTGTGATAATCCAGAACCTGAAGTTTTGGCTCTTTTTCAGTTGACATTGACAGAAGATTTTTCTTTGAGTGATAGATAACAGTAATTTATTTAGGAGAAATTATATAATCAGAGAGTGAAGAATATTGAATCAAAATCTATAGTGCATCTTCACGATTAAAATTTATTTTTAAAAATCTGAAACATTTTTTTGCAATTTCATCTGATATGAAGTTTAAGCTGGATATTTCGGGGTAAAATTCATTACAGGATTGTAAATCATCATTTTCCTCTACTTTAAATATCTGGGGCGTTGACTTAAAATTTAAACTTTAGTGTTCTTTCAGATTTTAAATGCTAGGTAAACCCTGTACTTTAGTCTTTAACTATATGAATCAGAGGTTAACACTTCTACATAGTTAAATGTTAATCCCGGGATCCAGCACTTTATTGTAGTTTTACATAGTTAAATGTTAATCCCGGGATCAAGCACTTTATTGTAGTTTTACATAGTTAAATGTTAATCCCGGGGTCAAGCACTTTATTGTAGTTTTCCTGGATATCTCGTGGATAACTATAATTAAGGAATGAAGCACTTATCTTTTAAATTTGAAAGGTACTACAGTGGATATCGAGATCATGGTATAGATTAGCGCTTTATCACATAAAAGTTTCGATTTCCTTAGCTTCATGTTCTTATGCAAAGTAAAGATAAAAATAACGATCTTTGTCTAAAAGAAAACTTATATGAGGCACAAACATATCAAATAACGCCTTATTATTTTTCTTTAAAACCGTACAAGGGCGTACGAGAGCATATGTGTAAGGGGGGGCAGAGTTTGCCCCCCCCCTTGGCAACATTGTGCTCCCCCCTTAAAAACCCCTTTATTGAAAAAATATTGATACCTTTTTAACTATGTAAACATTCGATCATATACACACTTCCATATTACTATGCGTTATAAATAAATTGATCATGTAACTTTATTAAGAGGGGGGGGGGAAACCGTACCAGGGCGTACGAGAGCATATGTGTAAGGAAAAAAAAATTTTGGCCCCCCCCCTTGGCAACATTGTGCCCCCCCTTAAAAACCCCTTTATTGAAAAAATATTACAACCTTTTTTAAATTATTTTTGACCCGGGGGGGTCAAAAAGTCCCACCTGAAAGCTTCAAGGGATGAAAAATATAGATGGAAATGTTTTTAAAAAATTATCTATATTTTCATAGGATTGATACTTATTGTATTGTAAAATATGATATCAAATATATATTTACACTGAGGGCACTGGCAGTATTGATTAAAGCTTTTTTTAATGAAACTTTTTTAGTTAAGGGCAATTGTGAGATTTTAAGTATTTTTTTCTATACCATGTACATAATACTTAAATGGAATACATGTGTAATTTCAAGTGACCCTCCATTTATAGAGTGGCATGTCCGATGCACCTTTGAAACCTTTATCTCTCCATCACTTCTGAAGCAAGAATTGCGTGAGTCACTCTTGTGGAGAAACCACAAATAAAAATGTTCAGTTTTCAAAATGAGAAACATGGATGTTTAATGCAATACTTGATCAGACAAAGCTTCGAAGGGTATTGTTTGTTGTGTATCAGAATATATTTTATTTTGGGGTGGGGTGGAGAGTGTTTGGGGTGGGGTGGAGAGTGTGTGACACCAGTTCTCGTTAGATCACTGAAGTTAAGCACACTTGTCCACAGCTAGTAACTGGATTGGTGTCCAGACTGGTGTTCACGGGTTCGATTCCCGTACTCCACACAAACCTGTGGTTTCAAAAACATCTGAAGCCGACATCTGGTTTAGCAGTTATGACCACCTGACGGATGTAGGAGGACAGAGGGGCGGCTGTCAACAACTCTCGCAGCGAAAGGGTGCGTGCTTTCTGCTCAACAAGAAAGAAGCTTCAAGTGGGATTGATCCAAGTGAATGATGATGAAGAGAGGAATGGTGGACAAGCAGGGAGAGTCTATGGTTGCCAGCTATAGGTACCTGGGGGTATCCAATCCGGGCTTACAGATGTTAGGGAGCAATGAGTGTGATGTTTCCTATCAGTACGGCACCCGGGCCTCATTCCAGTATATCAGAAGGATTCCTGCACTCTATATTCTCAGGCCTAAGAAGAATCTTAGGCAGCTGGAATCTTGTCAACCCTCTTCTCAGAATGAATGAAGCGTGGATGGATGAATGTGCTGCCAGATTACAACCCCTGGTAGATCAATATAAAAACCCAGACAACACCAAACTTTCGCAATAGAAAAAATTCCGAGATTTGATCGTAACAACCCGATCATGTCCTAGGGACAAAAAAAAATCTCTATTAGAATACATTTTATTTCTTTTCTTAATCTTTTAGTTTGGGTGAGTGCAATGCAATGCAATGTCGAATGTAGATTGGCTGAGGAAGGGAAATGCAAGCAGATGAAATATTAAAAGAGCCCCCCCCCCATGAGTGCCCCTGAGCCCTTCTCTTTGGCGTTATCTAAAGCTAAGAATGGTTGGATATATATCTGTTTTAGAAACCTTCCTGGATTCTTCTTCAAATCTATTTTTAAAGCATCTCGACTGAAAGTATATTTTAGCTAAATAAACTCCAATCGGGATGGGGTCCACTCTTAAGTAGAAATATTTTAAGGATTTTATAACTGTTAAATCTATGAAAATGCCTTAAAGAAATGCTGCTGAACCGAGCAGAGAAACTAAACATGATCCTGGATTGTTGGATGTTCCTAGCAGGATCACTTCAAGAATGCGCACTGCAGGCTATTGTGAGAATATTAATTAAGATTCTTATTTTCCAAAATCTCAGCTAAAAATATGAATGTACATTGTTCGATATTCACAAAATAATTATTGGAATAATCATATTTTGCAAATAAAACAAAAACAGGCAGCTCTTTGATTAGATGAACTGTTTATTCACAACAGGTTGTTTTCTGCCATGTGAAAATAAACATTGATGATGGACACAAAAAAACGCACGGGCAACCGCAAAACTGAAGATTGATGGGCACAAGCAATGCCTTGTATATGAGCATATATATTTAAGACCCATACATTAATGACTTCTAACTGACCTAATATCAAGGTGTTCTAGTTCCTTCAGGTTCTCCGCAATATGCTTCATTGTGATATCCGTCACCTGAGGAAGTTTGCCTGAAAATCAATCCGTGCAATCTAAGTAAATGGCGCATGGACCCTCCCCCCCCACACTTCTTTTAAAGAGCAACCTTAGTATCAAAACCTGACCCAACACAATCAATCAACATGCAAAATATTATTTTTAGATCGTGTAGTATTTTTTAGTATTTGTTACTCAATTTGTAAAATTACAAGTGCCAAATAACGCCAATAAAATTACGTAAACAACTTTTGCCAAAAGCAAGTTACTTTTGAAAATTACTAAATTAAATCAATCAATTGCCCTTTCATTTAAAAAAAATCAATCAATCAGCTCTAAATACTTACTGATATTGAGGTGCCTGATGAGGTTGAAGACCACGAAGAACTCGGTGAATGTTAAATCTGACAACTCGACATTGTTGGACAAATCCAACTCAACTAGTGAACGAATGCGCGTTCCTAAATATGGAAATCTTGCACATCAACCAATCAATATTGATGGTGATGAAAAAATAAATTAAAACCATTCCCGCAATTTTCAATTATGAATTGCAGAATTAACTCTGTTCCTCATTCTTATTGTAAAGAGGAGTATTATTTTTGGGGAAAACGATTTCTGTAAATTTACAGGAAAAGTTTTGGACTGGCCACCAACTGGCAAGTTTTACACTCAATAATAGTTCATTCATTTACCCTTCCTTTAAGACCTTAACAATACCAAATAACTACTAAAATGATGTTACAAAAAATTGCATTGTTAATTACAATATTTACAATGTGACTTACTTGGCTTCTTCTTCAGGTGCTTGTGGCTAATTTTCTTTAATTTATCCGGACTATTCAGCTTTGAGAAAAGGTCGTCTTTTCCAACATAGCGAGACTAAATACTTGGTATTAGTTCAGGATTAATATTGTGCACCTTACACCTGCCATAAATAGTTTCTATTGTTTCTATAGTCTGCTTTAATAAGATCCAAGTCCATGAAATCTGTTCAAAATATAATCTACGCCTAAAAAATCTGTCCATATATTATCTAAGTCCATAAAATCTGTCCTAAATGTTATCTACGTCCAAAACAACTGTTCTAAATCTCATCTATGTCTTAAAAATCTGTCCAGAATATTATCTACGTCAAAATAATTTATTCTAAATATGATCTACGTCCCAAAATTCTGTCCAAATATTGTCTAAGTCCATAAAACCAGTCCTAAATATTATCTACATCCAAAAAAACTGTTGTTCTAAATATCATCTACGTCAAAATAATCTGTTCTAAATATTATCTACGTCAAAATAATCTGTTCTAAATATTGTCTATGTCCAAAAAATCTGTTCTAAATATTATCTATGTCCAAAAAATCTGTCCCTAAATATTATCTACGTCCATAACAATCTAACCAAATTTATTTAGAAAAATCGGAAATATGTTGTTTTATCGCTTTTCCCTCCAGTCCCTTATTTAAGCATATAGCTTTATGTTTTTCAATTATTTTTTCTTTGAAATGCGTACATTTTATAATGAATCCACTTATGTGTGTAATCTTTAATGATTGCATTTAAAAAATATTTAATGCAGGATTTCTTCTTAAATATGTTTCGTAAACTTGCTTACTAATAAAAAATTTTTTAAATAATTATCAATTTATTTTACAACAAAAGAACTTTTCCAGTATTAAAAATAGAAGTTAATGAATCATATTTGAACTTGTCTACGTGATTTCAAGTGACCCTCCATTTATAAAAATTGCACATCTGATTCACAACGGTACTTTCTAAGCCAGTGCTTAGGATCCATTTTATTTTGATACGGATCCGGATCCGGATCCAGGTCATGATTATCTTTTTAAGATTTACTTATTTCTTTTTAAACGATTTAAGAATTTTCAAATTATTTTCCTTTTTTCGATTATTTTAATGCTAAAGCTTAACAAACCATTCAGGTATAAGAAAGTTTGTAATAATCTCTCTTTTTACAACAGTTCAGTTTAGGGTTTTTTAGAGCAAAAAATTGTTTTTTTTTCAGTTTAGTTAATATTTTATCATTGAACCCGGACCGATCTGTATATTTTTGCAGATCTGGATCCAAAATGTTGCGGATATCCTTTACAGGGGCCCAGGGTACTAATGTGAATCTGACATGAAATTGTTATGAAATTACGTCTACTGTTAATCCTTTAAATAAAAAATAAAATGTTTAAAACCTTTTTCCTAAGTTGAACACAGCTCCTGAGTCCAATTATTCCCAAAACAGCCAACATGTCCTAAACAAGAGCAGTAATTGAGCTTGCCACGCCTAATGATCTAATTTTATTTTGCCGCCGAGATTAATTAACAAGAAAATTACATATATATTTATTTTGACGGCAAAGGAGAAATAGTCGCAAATCTTTCTCTCGACAATTACTAAAATTACAAAAATGCTCTACATGGATAAATAAGCAAAATGCGAATACTCAGAATATTTTCACTTTGTTCGGGGCAGGGAGTAGCTAGAAAGTTTGTTTCCCCTTTTGGAATAAAAAATTTTAATTCTTAAATACCAAAAATCAAAAATATTTAAACGGCTTTTTCACAAAATATATTTGCCTGAAAATTGATTTCAATACCTGTGATTGTGGGACTGGATTATTCTTCGTCTCGAGTAGTCTGAATTTAAAAAAAATCTAAATGTTGATATATATACCATACACCCTGGAGTGCAAATCTAATTTTTAAAATAATCAATTGGCCAGCTACCCAACGTATAAATATATATACATACAAATACATTTAAAGAATCATTAAAACAATTCAATATATTTCAGAATCTCACCATACAGACAAATATATATATATATATGAGCAATGAGCTTTATTTTATAGATTTAGTTTGTCAGCAATATACATTTCCATGAAGTTGGTTGATTTACTCGTTGATTTACTAATGATAGAAAAAGATATAAATTGTCATTTCAAATACTTCTTGAATGAATGTAAATAAGAACACTAATTAAGCATGAATAAACTTTGTAAAAGTTGTAGAAAAAATATATTAATACTTTTTATTCAAGCAGGAACAGGAACACATGCACACATGAAACTAATCCCTTGAATTTAAAACGAATTTACGTTGTTCAGATGAAAACATTTTTGCTTATGTTGATTTTAAAAACTTTACAGAACAAGTTTCAGGTGTTTTTGTCTGATTCATCGCCTGTATCTCAACTCGGCTTTTATGTTTATTCACCCAATTTATTTACTTTTAAGATTTACATATTTATTTCTTTAAATAGAAGTTATTTTTACAACATTGTTTGATATTTTTTTAGGGGGGGGGGGGAAATTAACATATTTCAAGAGTTTTACATTGTTCCATAAAACCAAGGGCATTGGAAAGGTTTGAGGTCGATCGAATTAAAAATAATTCAATTATTATTTTGGCGTCCATAAGTCGACTATATAAAACTCGGAAAATCCGCAAAAAAATATTGTGGAAACGAAACTTAATGCTTAAAAACAGGGCGCGAAGACTTCGAGCTTTAAAACCCTACTGACTTCAATACTATACAGCATCATAATCCCACCTTGTTATTGATTAGGGGGGGGGGGGTACTGGGTAGTTTACCTTTTATGATGGAATGTATGGTAGTCAAGAGCATCTGTTTTTACCCAACCACATCCTCCAAGGAGTAGAACCTGCAGCTCTTTACACTGTATACTCACCACCTAAACAATATTTCAGTTAGGCAGGCTGGGTGTATATTTTCACCAATTAAGCGAATGAACCCTAAACAATATTTCAGTTAGGCAGGCTGGGTGTATATTTTCACCATTAAGCTAATAAACCCTAAACAATATTTCAGTAGGCAGGCTGGGTGTATATTTTCACCAATTAAGCGAATAAACCCTAAACAATATTTCAGTTAAACAGGCTGGGTGTATATGTTCACCAATTAAGCGAATAAACCCTAAACAATATTTCAGTTAGGCAGGCTGGGTGTATATGTTCACCATTTAAGCGAATAAACCCCAATATTTCAATTAGGCAGGCTGGGTGTATATGTTCACCAATTAAGCGAATAAACCCTTAACAATATTTCAGTTAGGCAGGCTGGGTGTATATGTTCACCAATTAAGCGAATAAACCCTTAACAATATTTCAGTTAGACAGGCTGGGTGTATATTTTCACCAATTAAGAGGATAAAACCCTAAAACCATACCTATCTTCTTAGGGGGGGAATAATTTTCAAAAGAAGGGCGGGAAGAGAATTTTCAAAAAAAATAAACATTCATGGATTAGAGGGAAAATTAGCTCTTAAGAGCAAAATTACCTACAAGTCACTTAAAATATTATCAATTTTTAGACAAATGAATTTAAGCTGGACAGACAAAAAACAAAATTTTCAAAACTCAACACATTTAAACCGTTTAAGACAGAAATAGGAAATCTCAAATATTGTTGCTCAAACCAAGGTTAAAAGAGTACAGTTGAGATTCAGATAATTTTATCTTTAATTTACAGTTTAAAAACCGATGTCAGTACCGGATCTAGGTAACCTAGTATTCCAATTAATCACTAAATTATGTAATTTAAGTATTGTATTTTAAAAGTATTTTTGATCTCGTTTTAAACGTTATTTAATTTTTTCGACATCAATAACCCCCCCCCCCTTCCTTCCCCCATCACTATTTGCGTTCAAAACTATTTTTAAATTTAATAACCAATTGCGCAATTCTACGTAAGACAAGTTGATTTTTGAGTAAAATGTTAATTTCTTTGAAAAAACGACCATATTCAGAACATTTTAGAATAAGTCACACTTTTGAAGCAAATGCAAATTTTGGGCACAAAACACGTTTTAAAACATGTTGCGATTTTTAAACATTTCACACAGATATGAATCAATGATACTTTTCAAGCATCTACACAATTTAGTAAGAAATCAAGTTTTTCACATACGGTAGAATTTAAAGAATGAAACAATAAAAATGTAAAAAATATATTCTGTTCAGATATTTCAAAATATTATGACTTATAAGGTTGAAAAATTACAAAATTAAAATTATTTTGTTATAACAGTTTAATTGAACAGAAAAATGCGGGAAATTTTTTATTTAATATGGCGTAAACTTAAGAAATATAATGTTGAAACACATTTTAGAACATTTTGAAAGATAAAAGAGGAACTTTCTTTCCCTGCGTTAATGGACTGATTCCAAAACTTTCGTAAAATGATCGTTGAAAACTCAATTTTTAAATTTAAAATGAAACGCCCGGAAACTATAATTTTTTCGCTGATTAAAGATTTTTTTTTCGAGATAGGCGAAATAAATGTGTCATGAGTCATGACTGTTTGAAATAAACACATTAATTGGATTAGGTTTGTTTTCAATAATTAAAAAAAGTGTTCATAATAAAAGCCCCACATGTATAAGTCAATATTTTGGATTTATTTTTCATTTACACACAATTAGCAAGTTTTGAGAGAATTAAACTTACAGAATCTTGTGGTTGTTTTTAAATCGCAAGTGAGAATGCGCCTTGACTTTATCCCAGACGTTCTTTGAAGTATTGGATCTGAGGCTATTTAAATTTTTTACTTTTCTAACTGACAAATATCCCTCACCTTAAAGCGGGGTTTTTATACATACTGCCTGAGTCCTCAGGCATACTGCCTGAATGCCATATTTTGCATTTACCCGACTAAATCTATATTAAGACCTACTTCAGGTCATAGGATTTCGACATTTTATAGCTCTCTGGAAAGCCTTGAACAAGAGGAAGCAGATTGCACAATTTTTGCGAAGTAAATTTCGAGCAGATGTTTGCAAAGACGCCTTTAAAGAGAATTTGTACATTTCAAATAATCTCAAAAAACAATTTCTAATTTTTATTTTTATTATCGTATTAAGATATTAATCCACGGAAAACACAGATAATTAAAAATAAAAGGAGGAATAGGAAACCTTTCAAAATTCACTGAAAAATATAAATGCAGCATCCTGGAAAAAATAAGGGTTTCTTTCCGCCACGGCAATCCCCCCCCCCCTATCCCTCTTCCAATTTTATTATAGTACAAAATCTGCTTTCCAAGCTGGGATTTTTAAATATTTTAAATAAAAACATTTTTTAAGGGAGGGGAGAGGGGGGTGGGAACAAATAATCCAAGAGAGGTCAAAAGCTTGTAAGAAATAGCAGTCTTTTGGAAAAATTTAATAGATATATAGATATCCCTTGAAGTTAGCGAGTCTAAACAAAATATTTTTCTGAGCTGCTTGGGCATATCTTGCGTCAAGACAGAAGGACGACATTTTACAAATTACCTGCAGTATTCCTGGTGTCAGTGCTGTACAATTACCTGCAGTATTCCTGGTGTCAGTGCTGTACAATTACCTGCAGTATTCCTGGTGTCAGTGCTGTACAATTACCTGCAGTAATCCTGGTGTCAGTGCTGTACAATTACCTGCAGTATTTCTGGTGTCAGTGCTGTACAAATTACCTGCAGTATTCCTGGTGTCAGTGCTGTACAATTACCTGCAGTATTCCTGGTATCAGTGCTGTACAATTACCTGCAGTAATCCTGGTGTCAGTGCTGTTCAATTACCTGCAGTATTCCTGGTGTCAGTGCTGTACAATTACCTGCAGTATTCCTGGTGTCAGTGCTGTACAATTACCTGCAGTATTCCTGGTGTCAGTGCTGTACAATTACCTGCAGTATTCCTGGTGTCAGTGCTGTACAATTACCTGCAGTATTCCTGGTGTCAGTGCTGCACAATTACCTGCAGTATTCCTGGTGTCAGTGCTGTACAATTACCTGCAGTATTCCTGGTGTCAGTGATGTACAATTACCTGCAGTATTCCTGGTGTCAGTGCTGTACAATTACCTGCAGTATTCCTGGTGTCAGTGCTGTACAATTACCTGCAGTATTCCTGGTGTCAGTGCTGTACAATTACCTGCAGTATTCCTGGTGTCAGTGCCGTATACAATTACCTGCAGTATTCCTGGTGTCAGTGCTGTACAATTACCTGCAGTAATCCTGGTGTCAGTGCTGTACAATTACCTGCAGTAATCCTGGTGTCAGTGCTGTACAATTACCTGCAGTATTCCTGGTGTCAGTGCTGTACAATTTCTTAAGTTTAAAGATTTTAGCTTATGGTTCTTCTGCAGAATAGCTCGTAGGACATCATCTAATGGAATTTGAGAATTTTAGATCTAATAAAGACAGGTTTGTCCTGTCATGTCACGTCACGTCATAGCATTTCATGTTAAGTCTTTCATGCTTCTTTTCTTGCGATTTTTAAAACATTTTTTTTTTCCTATTTCATGGTTACTATGTATTAAGAGCTGAAGAGGATCCACCCGAGGCGGAATATGTAGCACAAACATCGACTTTATTTACTCTAATGAGGTTTGGGCCATATTTACTCTATGGAGGTTTGGGCCATATTTACTCTAGGGAGGTTTGGGCCATATTTACTCTAGGGAGGTTTGGGCCATATTTACTCTAGGGTGGTTTGGGCCATATTTACTCTAGGGAGGTTTGGGCCATAATTACTCTAAGGAGGTTTGGGCCATATTTACTCTAGGGAGGTTTGGACCATATTTACTCTAGGGAGGTTTGGGCCATATTTACTCTAGGGAGGTTTGGGCCATATTTAACGCAAAAGTTTGAATGTCATGTCATACGTTTTAAGAGAACAGAAGTCATAACTTTTGTTTTGTCAATTCAGAGAATCAAACATTTATCTCCATCTTATGCAGACCTACGAATTAATTCATATGGTCATATCCAACAGGGATGGTGTTAGGTATCTTTCCAAAGGCATTTTCTTAAGGACGCCTTCCCAAGTGACAATTTCGTCAGTGGCACTTTCCCAAATTTGCAATTTTCCAAGCGGTTATGTTGGCCTTCCGGTGCGCCGCAGGCAGTCATGGGGGCTGAGGGCTGTGGATAGAACAGGTTATGGAGCCGAGCACTGGGACTAGAACAGGCTATGGGGCAGAGTGCTGCGGCTAGAACATGATATGGAGTGAGCACAACGGCTAGTAGACTTTGGAAGTTGGCCCTTGGAAAATTTCAGGTTAAGGAAGTTACCGCTTGGAAAAATGCCTTTGGAAAAGTACCTAACATCACATTCACAAGGATAACCTCAATTGAAGGATCCTGCATTTATCCTCTAATTTAAAAGTGCGCATATTGGAAATCAAGATAAAGTGTTAAAGCTTAACTTAACGATACTCTACACAAATGTTCCGACCTCAGGTTCATGTTCAAAAGTTAACAAACCTTTTAAATAAGATGCATTGGCTAGGTTGAGAACTCTGATGTTTGTTGCTGATTGTGTTAGTACTTTTAACAAGGATTCTATTAACCAGCAGGATACAGATTACGTGAAATTCAAACCAATACAAAAACTGGGGTTTCCGAACAATTAATTGTGAGAAATTATTCAACATTCTTACTGGTCCTTTGATATCTAAAATTGAGGTATTATGTGTAGTTGGTGTATTTTCTAACAAGAGGAAAACGAGAAAAACGAAGAAATTTTTTTTAAAGATATCATTACATCAAAAATTCATTAATTATCTCCCAAAAAATAAATTAATTCCCCAAATGTGGCATAATGAAATGAAAAAACCACGTTTTTTAAAGAAAAATATACAGTAAACTCCTGAAGAAAAAACTTAATCCTTATATCCTGGTTCCTGAATGTACTGGGACGGGAAGAGATCGATTTTTCGACAAGAAAACTTGAATTATCGAGCAAAGTGCTCGGGATGTACTTCGTATATTTAACCTAAAAAGACGAATAAAAATTAGAATTTTTTTCAAGTAATTTAAAATTATTAGTCGTAATTAATACAGTTTTGGTCGGACTAAAGCGAAAGATTTTGTAAATTGTAATCGTCACAAATCTGGATAGTGGTTAATTTAGAGATACATCAGATAACAAAATCTTATTCAACATTTACAATTATAAGATAAACAAAGTTCCCCTTTAGTTGATATTAACAACCATCATTTTAAATTTGACAGATTTCTAAATTTAATCAATTTTCTGTCCCCTAAAGGAATTGTAAGTGAACCTCCATGCAAAGAAGGCAATGCCCGATTCACAACCCTTGAAAGCTTAGTCTGATCAAGTTTGAATTAGTTAATGTTTATAATTTTGAAAACCGATTATTCTCAATTGTGGTTTCACTAAAACAGACTTAAACATTTCTACAGCAGGAAAATTAGGAATTCAACTCTTATAAACCTAGAAAACTACAATATTAAATATTCATTATAAACCAATGTTTTCAAGGGTACTGTTGTGAATCAAGTGTTGCCATCTTTGCAAGGAATGTCGTCTGAAATTAACAATTTCTATTAATCTGTCAAAATAATTTTTACCAATCTCTATATGATAGAAGAGGGAAAATTTGTGGTATAAGAATATCCTCTAGACTTAGGTCTGTGAGTAACATTCTGAAATATTTAGCTGAATTTAAATTTACTTTTGGACTTAATTCGGACTTTTAGCTTAACAGACAACAGAGAAAAGCTAAAAGGCTAGAGATAAAGTAGTACTTGTATAGGAGGCCGTCCTAAAGAAGGATTTTTTGGTATATTTAAGGATTTAAAGCTGCCAGCCTTCATAGGAATGAATGAAATTACATTTATATTACATTATTCATTAGAAAAATATTAACCAAATCCAGTATCCGCCCCTGTAAATAAGTCAAGACTCACCCTCTCCATTATCTAGCTGTTCCTGTTGATGTGGATGGTGGGGAGAATGGAGACTGAGAACAGCGTTATAACTTAACTTTCGTCCGCAAACGTATTTGTTTTCAAAATGTTTTGCACAGACAACACTAAATTTTCCCGAAGTCCAGAAACCTGGCTTTCCTGTGAAGTTACTCCACGTTTTCTTAAACTTTTTATCTTTAGGAAAAGAATGAAATCTTATCTTATATGTTTGATCCGTGTAACAATTTAACACTGAACAATCCTCATGCTTGTTTATACTGAGAAATCATGTAACTGATCTAAACAAATCCCCCCAATAACAGTGTATACTACATGTACACAATAACATACCAATACATGTTTACAATGTCATACCAATACAGGTGCCACCTGTTATTCTATAGTATATATATTCTGAGACACAAACTCAAATTGTCTAATCACTATATCTTCGCAACCTTGGTGTATACCTTTGATATTTCAGACTTAGATTATTTGATGTAAGGGAATTATAGTTTGAACTATCTGAGGTACACGACATTGGGTTGAAAAGATGTTGGGATTATAAAATCAGAGTTTGTGGCAAAGACTCAATTTTCCTTTACATACAAATTTGACCTTAAATACATGACTTTCTTGATACAAAAGCACGTTGTTTCCTCCGTCCTTCAGGGGGGTATCCTGAAACAATTATTATATTTAAAAACTGATCAAATTTCTCAAACTCATTTTTTTAATCCCTATATCTTGCCAACCTGATGGTGCAAACCGTGGATATTTCAAGATTTCATTATTGGATATAGTTGCAGAATTCATATTTTAAGATAGTAAAAGTCTACGGTATACACACAAATATTAGATTGCCACAGTTCGTGGTGGATCCGCATTTGAACTACTGCCGTTTGAACTATTGATTATTTGAACTATTGATTGTTTGAACTATTGATTATTTGAACTATTGATTGTTTGAACTACTGCCGTTTGAACTATTGATTATTTGAACTATTGATTGTTTGAACTATTGTTCATTCTAATTAATGATAATGACGTCATTTCCTGTAGTTCAAACAACACATTATTTACTCATTTGAACTATTAAAACCTGTCAAATCATTCGTTGGGATGTTTAGAAAGATGAAAATTTCCCTGTATGATAATTGAAGGACTGCAGTATGGATTTGGTAAACTATATTGGCGTAAAAAGCCTAGGGGTGTCAGAAATGATTTTTTTTGCATATTTTTAAAAACTTCNTTCAAATAATCAATAGTTCAAATAATCAATAGTTCAAACGGCAGTAGTTCAAATGCGGATCCACCAGATTTCCAGGCATTTGGGGAATTACCGGTGTGGCGTTATTTCTGGGTTTAAGCCTTAAATAATGGTAGTAGACTCTATAACATAGCTTAATGTTTCGTGGCATTCGCGCACAATTCTGTGAATTTAAACAGTAAATTAAGTGAAAGTATTTCTCATATTCGAGAATCAATCAAGTTTTGCTGAGCGACATACAGTAAAAATTAATTGTTTTAACATTATAGGGATTGATACTACAGCTTAGTTTACTTAAGTTATAATTGTTAAGATTCTGATACTTGAGAGTTTAATGTATAGTTAATTAATTCTGTACTCACATTATATATCAGCATATAGCGTATATTTTAAGTGTATAAATATAATTTCTAATTCTGAAATTTCAGATAAAATACCAGCTTTTTGTAAAAATATGCGCGGATGCTGCGGAAAATTTACTGCGTAGAATCTACTACCATTATTTAACGAGGGGCGGAAGGCCAAACACATCAATCTCTAGTCCGAACCACTCTCCTCATTTTCTCGTCCGAACCACCTTGGAATTCTCGTCCGTTCGATTATTTTGTGTTAAAGAGTTTCCACTTGAAAATAAAACTATTTTTTTTAATCTGGCCACGTTAGGGCATAAAATATGGATGGACTAAAGTATTGCAATGATTATATCATGTTGGAATCTTCAAATCCATGAGAATGATGTCAAACTTTATTTAGGTAAAATTTAAATCTCTTCTGCCTCTGGAATGGCTAACCTTCGTGATATGAAAAATAGCAAAATATTCGGCATACCTCTGCCTATAATTTTCTCCATGGAACCACCTGTAAAAATTCCATGGTTTTCACTAAAGTTAACAAAAAAGATTGAAGTTCTATAAACTTGGAATTATTTGCGGCATTATACACCAGGAATATCTGAAAATGTGCATAAAAAAGGTGAACATTTTTAAAGACATTAAACTTGAAATCTTTAATTCAATTTAAACTTTTTTTTTCAATTTACAAAAATTTGATATTTCATTTATGCCCTAATGTGGCCCGATTCTTTAAAAATAGTTTTAGCTGGAAGGATTAGACACTTTAAAAAAAATAATATTGAAAGGACGAGGATTTTGAGGTGGTTCGGACGAGAAAATGAGGAGAATGTGGTTCGGACTAGAGATTGATGTGGTTGGCCTTCCTCCTCTCATTTAACGTTTGCCCAGAAATAACGCCACACCTGATTCCAGGTATTTGGGAAATTTTCAAGATTCCAAGGCATTTGGGGAATTCCCAAAATTCCTAGAAATTTGGGGAATTTCACAGATTCCCAGGCATTTGGGTATATCCCCAAATTCCCAGGTATTTGAGAAATTTCAAATTTTGACCATGGGGGGGGGGCGGGAGTAAATAGCAATTAAACATTAAGCCATTATTTCAAAATTGTTTATGTGAATTACATTCTAAGTTTGCTTAATACTTTTCTAAAAAAATATATTTTAAAAATTTTAGTTCATTTACCTCATTTTTCTCATAGATTATAGATTATTATAACTATCTTAATGTCAAAATAGGAACCTCTCTAAATTACTGAACCCATTAGGTTCATAAAGGGGGATATTTTTAAGTGAACTAGGTAAAAAACAGTCACAATTGAAAATTGCTTACAATCTAACGGCATTGAAATTTCGATAAATGTAATTACAATTTATTTACAATGCAGTTTTATTTATTTCCATGAATTTCTGAAGGAAACCCCATCAAAACTACCATCAGGTCCATAGTTAGGCAGGTTTAAAACAAATTTGACAATTGTGATTATTTATTTGTCATGATATCACTCAATATTAATAAAAATATAAATATCATGAATGAAAATAAGAAATCAAATCAGATATATTTTTTTCATTTCAATAAAACCTTAAAAATATATTTAAGATATGTTTATCTAACACAACTTAATCAAAAATGAATAGTTATAAATATTATAGAGTTCATGATGTTTTATCTTGAAACTGGTTGTAGTGTTGGTCCATGGTTTATGAGAGCACGTGGATATCTTATCCATTGATATGGAACATTCGAGACCAACACATGGAGGAGGGGGGAGGGTAAAGAGAGAGATTAAATGTTAGATAATTATTATTCTTAATGAATGAATTAATTTCTACAGAGAAATAAATGTAAATATAGATTTTCTTTCTTTTTTGCTGTATATTATTCATAAATAGAAATCTTAGCAAAACATCTGATAATTATGTTGTTTATTTTTTTGGTTCTTTCTAATTCTAAAAAATTAAGTGTTTCAACTTCAGGTAAAAAAATAGAAATTTTCCCTCTTTTTCTCCTTTTTTCATTTTTCAGTTCCTTCTTTCCCTTTTTGTCTCAGATAATGTGCCCCCCACTTTCGGGAGAAAAGGGGGGCACATTTCCGGTGCACCCCCCCCCCCGCGGGTCTAATTATTCAAATGAACCGAATGCAGTTAAAAAAGCATAAAAACGCAATCATAACACTTAATGAGACACTGAAATTTGAAAATGCAAAAACTATCTGCGTTGATAGATTACACACGTATTCCTTTGTAATTGTTGCAAATGGATGGTAACTTGAAATTACGTGTAAAGTAAATTGGAATATACAATTTGTATTTGTCCAGAAGTATTTCCGGAACTATTGATACCTTTCCTAAATTAATCAGTTGCAAATTTTAGCGCTTTTTTCATACTTTATGAAAATAGATCACAACCGTTCCATTGATTTTTAGCAACTACTGTAAGATGGATACATTATATTTACAAAACAATCAATAGTATATTCCACTAATATCTGAAAGTCCCAAAATGCGTATTACATAGTCTATACATTGAAGTTTAAAATTAAAAAAAAAACCCACAAATTTCCGTTTTGACAGAATTCTAAAGATCCGAAGATTCCTATTCATGTCATTCTGCAATTTGCATATATAAAAACATAAAAACATGAAAACATAAAAATGTATAAATATTTACATTACGCATGTATTCAGTATTGAGGTGAACTTAAAATCCTAAAAATATCTTTATTATTTCAAGCAATCGTAAATATTTCTGGCACTTTTTTGAACAGATATTAACTTGTTAAGTTGTATACATTGATTTTACTGTTGTTCAAATACATTGTTAAATGTTATGCTAAAACTAAAAATATTGAATTATATGAACATTAATTAATCTCCTCAAAAAAAACTCTTTTGCATAATTAAAGTAAAAAAAAATTTAATTTGATTTTGTTATGTGATTTTTTTTTACTGATATCAGTATCAGATCAAGTAAAACTGAATGGCGGGTTTGGCCCAAATCACTGTTTGGAACTCTCTTCCCCTGATCTCCGGATATCCGGATTTTTCTGGATGTGTCCGGATGTCCGGATGATTAAGATAAATTACTTTGTCCCAACTCCCATCAAATGAGGGTGAATAACAGACCTAAATTAAGAAGAAAAATTTGGTTATAAAAAAATTTTAATTGATTTTTTTCAATAATTGAACTGACCTGGTAAGGTTAAACATCTTATTAGTTTTTGAAGCCGGGAGTTCATATTTAGTCTGATCAAGCTTACTCCTACAAGTATTATGACTAAGTTTTTCTTTTAAATACAAGTTTACCCTCATTATTACTATTCTTCTTATTCATCTTATTGTTTTTATCCTTCTTATTTTTCTTATTCTTCTTATTCTTCTTATTCTTCTTATTCTTCTTATTCTTCTTATTCTTCTTATTCTTCTTATTCTTCTTATTCTTCTTATTCTTCTTATTCTTCTTATTCTTCTTATTCTTCTTATTCTTCTTATTCTTCTTATTCTTCTTATTCTTCTTATTCTTCTTATTCTTCTTATTCTTCTTATTCTTCTTATTCTTCTTATTCTTCTTATTCTTCTTATTCTTCTTATTCTTCTTATTCTTCTTATTCTTCTTATTCTTCTTATTCTTCTTATTCTTCTTATTCTTCTTATTCTTCTTATTCTTCTTATTCTTCTTATTCTTCTTACTCTTCTTACTCTTCTTACTCTTCTTACTCTTCTTACTCTTCTTACTCTTCTTACTCTTCTTACTCTTCTTACTCGTCTTACTCGTCTTACTCGTCTTACTCGTCTTACTCGTCTTACTCGTCTTACTCGTCTTACTCGTCTTACTCGTCTTACTCGTCTTACTCGTCTTACTCGTCTTACTCGTCTTACTCGTCTTACTCGTCTTACTCGTCTTACTCGTCTTACTCGTCTTACTCGTCTTACTCGTCTTACTCGTCTTACTCGTCTTACTCGTCTTACTCGTCTTACTCGTCTTACTCGTCTTACTCGTCTTACTCGTCTTACTCGTCTTACTCGTCTTACTCGTCTTACTCGTCTTACTCGTCTTACTCGTCTTACTCGTCTTACTCGTCTTACTCGTCTTACTCGTCTTACTCGTCTTACTCGTCTTACTCGTCTTACTCGTCTTACTCGTCTTACTCGTCTTACTCGTCTTACTCGTCTTACTCGTCTTACTCGTCTTACTCGTCTTACTCGTCTTACTCGTCTTACTCGTCTTACTCGTCTTACTCGTCTTACTCGTCTTACTCGTCTTACTCGTCTTACTCGTCTTACTCGTCTTACTCGTCTTACTCGTCTTACTCGTCTTACTCGTCTTACTCGTCTTACTCGTCTTACTCGTCTTACTCGTCTTACTCGTCTTACTCGTCTTACTCGTCTTACTCGTCTTACTCGTCTTACTCGTCTTACTCGTCTTACTCGTCTTACTCGTCTTACTTGTCTTACTCGTCTTACTTGTCTTACTTGTCTTACTTGTCTTACTTGTCTTACTTGTCTTACTCGTCTTACTCGTCTTACTCGTCTTACTCGTCTTAATTTTCTTACTCGTCTTAATCTTCTTAATCTTCTTACTCTTCTTACTCTTCTTACTCTTCTTATTCTTCTTATTTTCATTATTCTTATTATTCTTATTCTTCTTATTATTCTTATTATTATTATTATTCTTATTATTCTTATTATTTTTATTATTCTTATTATTTTTATTATTGTTATTATTATTACCATCCACCAGTTTGCTCCATAGTTGTAAAGGTGTCCCGGTTAGTGCAGCATCCATCAAACATGCAGGGCCAGAACCCTCCCTATTCAGTAATAATCAATCAATAACTAAATCAATTAATCATAAACACCAATCAATCGTAAAATCAATGTATAGTAAATTTAATGATACAAATAATCCACTGGATAAAATGATCATTGAATTAAAAATTTGTTGCTAAGTGAAATATTTGTTTACCTGCATGACAATCTCCTGGATGTATCTGACGTTGTCCCCGTTGTTTCCAAGCACGTGTTCCATGAAGAAGAACTTACCTCCAGGCTTCAACACTCTCTGGATTTCCTGTGCATTTGACAATGTTTGTAAAGTTCAGAGAGTATAGACTATAGAGTGTAGAGTAAAGAGTTGCATAGTTTGTAGAGTGCAGAGTGTATGCAGAGTGAAGTGTAGAGTGTAGAGTGTAGAGTGTAGAGTTTAGAGTGTAGAGTGGAGAGTGTAGAGTATAGAGTGTAGAGTTTTTAACCAAAACAATTAAGCTTACTCCGCTGTAAGGTCGTCTTTGACCAAGATTTTCTCCTGTAGCCAACCCCGACATTTCTCAGCATTGGCAGAACTATAAACAACCTTAAAGGACACGAACGCAATGGATATTTAATAGATTCTAAATACCTTAATACACTTGACTTGGTCTTGAACTGAGCAGAGAACTAGAGTCATGATTACAGCATCAAACGATTCATCTTCAATACCGGCAGCTTTTAGGTCCTCTCCATACCCCTAAACAATATAAACTTAGGTCCTCTCCATACCCCTAAACATTGTAAACTTAGGTCCTCTCCATACCCCTAAACAATATAAACTTAGGTCCTCTCCATACCCCTAAACATTGTAAACTTAGGTCCTCTCCATACCCCTTAACATTGTAAACTTAGGGCCTCTCCATACCCCTAAACATGCTAAACATAGGCCCTCTCCATACCCCTAAACATTGTAAACTTTGGTCCTCTCCATACCCCTTAACATTGTAAGCTTAGGGCCTCTTCATACCCCTAAGCATGGTAAACATAGGTCCTCTTCATACCCCTAAACGTGATAAACATAGGTCCTTTTCATACCCCTAAACATGGAAAATTTAGAAGCTCCCCAACCCAATACCCCTATAAACTAAATTCTTCCCGCCAAAAACTAAAAAGATAATTGCATAAGATCAACAAGGTTTCCACTTAAAATATGAAATCTTTTAGCTACTGAACAATTAACAAACAGGGATGCTAAAACTCTTTGGAAAAGAACCTGTTTCACGTCATTTATCTGACCTGTTTTATGTCATTTATCTGACCTGTTTTATGTCATTTATCTGATCTGTTTTATGCTTGTTATCTGACCTGTTTCAAGTCATTTATCTGACTTGTTTTATGTCATTTATCTGACCTGTTTCATGTTTGTCATCTGACCTGTTTCATGTCATTTGTCTGAACTGTTTCATGTCATTTATCTGACCTTTTTTATGTCATTTATCTGACCTGTTTCATGTTTGAATGTTAACTGACCTGTTTCATTCATTTATCTGATCTGTTTCATTTCGTTTATCTGACCTGTTTCGTGTCGTTTATCTGACCTGTTTTATATCATTTATCCGACCTGTTTCATATTTGTTATCTGACCTGTTTCATGTCATTTGTCTGAACTGTTTCATGTCATTTATCTGACCTTTTTTATGCCGTTTATCTGACCTGTTTCGTGTCGTTTATCTGACCTATTTCATATTTTATTTATATGACCTGTTCATGTCATTTATCTGACCTGTTTCATGTCGTTTATCTTCAGAGACTTGTACTTCTTCCTGTTCTCCTCAAAGTAGGGAACAAAGTTTGGATTTGGTTCTAAAATAAACACAATTTTGAAATTATAAATCTCAAAAGTTTTTGATGGAAGAAAATTCTTTTAAATGTGAAGCCTGGTTTTTAAAATATTCTTTACCTTAAGGGTGAAGTAAATTATTTAAAGTAATAGTTACATTAGTCACTTTTGAGGGTGAAGTGAAAGATTTAAAGTATATATTACCTACAATAGTTACTTCTGAGGGTGAAGTGAAATATTTAAAGTAAATATTACCTACAATAGTTACTTCTGAGGGTGAAGTGAAATATTTAAAGTTAATATTACCTACACTACAATAGTTACTTCTGAGGGTGAAGTGAAATATTTAAAGTTGGCTCCGGACCCTCCCCCAATCTCAAGAATCTTTATCTAAAAATAAGAAAATTTAAATAAAAAAGTTCGATTTTTGGAAAATTTGGGGATAACTGATGTAAATACTTCATGATCAATTAATGCATGCTTGGTGGTGATATTCTACAGTGAACCCTTACTTCATAACGAATACATCGGAAGAATTTATCAAATGTCGTCTTGACAATTTTTCAATGAGTTTTATTCTATATTTCGTAAATTTCTGTATTTGCGAAAATAAATAAATAGTCATGAATATGCGGGAACAGTTTTTAAGAGTTCCATATAATCATTTAATTAAAAAACTAAATATCTGCAACACTCCATTGTCAGAAAGTGAAGAAGACGACATGTGATGAATTCTTTCGATGTGTTCGTTATTAGGGGTTTCACTGTACTAGATATATATAAAATACTGGTATTGAAATCAAGTCACCTTTCTAAAAATGTGAAGTTTCAGCAGATTTGTTTAATGATAAGAAGGTAAATTTTGCAGTTTAATGTCTACCATTTTAGGCTGAAATTTCTCCCGAGGGGTTTTTAAGATTTATTCAAAAGATCTTATGAAATGATGCCACCCCCCCCCTCCCTACCAATTACAAATTATCAAGCGACAAAATAAAGGTTTCAAATTTAGATGAGAGCAAATATAGTTTGATCTATCAGAGGTTTACAACAGATAAGGAATGTTATGGCGAGAATTCAGTTCCTCTAAGTTGAAATGGAAAAATAGCCTATTTTTAATATTTAATAAACAGAGTTTTCACTTTTCACGCATATTCTTAGTAATTTTCTCCGTCTAGTCACTTTTTAACGGACAGTAAGCAAAGATTGAAATACATGATTCATAACGGTGCCCTTGAAATCAATATCATGGAAGTGTTAAAAGTGTTAAATTCGGATAATTTCAAAATGTTTTTATGTCTGCACAAATCGCAAGTCAATTTTGTAGAGAATGATCAGTTTTCAAATTACTTAGATTGATATCTTATTCATATTATCTATTTCATACTTAATCAGATAAAGATTTAAAGAGAGTGACCGGCTATGTAAGGTAGTTGAACTGAGTATGCAGTGTTGTAAAAAACTTCTTTCGGATTCATTTGAGACATATTAAACTTTTAGAGATCTGTAAATCCTGCATACTCAGTTCAACTACATTACATACATAGCCGGTCACTTCCTTTAAATGGTAGCCTTGTGTGCATCTCTTCGTAGACACCACCAATAACGCAAACAGTCCCTTATATCCTAACCTTATCTCCAGTTTTGATCTCGTTTAACTCCTTGAACAGCTTTGTCTTGAAGGGTTCAGCTACGCTGTTGTAGGTATCCACAAATTGAGACAAAAACGCAGCAAAAAATCTGAAACAAAAGTAATTATTCATTTTAAAAAATTTACTAAAAAAGGCTGCAGCGAGAAAACTGTGGCGTAGGAAAACGATATTAAAGCCATTTTTTATATACTTGATGCTGTTACAAAGCAAATATCTTTACTAAAAACTTATTAAATCCTCTATTACGTAAAATAAGTTTGTTTACAATGCAAAATTGCTATGTCTCATTTTCATTGGACTATTTAAAACCATAAATTGAGTCTAAAAGTCGTCTTCCTATTTATTTCAGAGTTTTCTTGTTCTTACTGTAATTAAAAAAATTGGTTTTTTCAAAGTCAAAAAATATGTTTATGTAAAGCAGGAAACACTTACTTTTTATATATTTTTTTCCACGATAAGTTTTAGAATCTGAGATGTGAAAAAAAAAAATTTTATGAAATTTTTTATTTTTTACCTTTTTCCGAATAAAGTCAGCAACAAATTAAAACTAAAACATGATATTTGCAATTTATCTCAACAATTTTTCAAACTTTAAAAAATTTGTTTTAATTAGTTCTATATTCAACCGAAACAGTTTCTAATTTTGTATATAATGTTATTTAATAGTTGTTGATTTCATATTGTACTTAAAATCTATATATATATATTTGCTTGTCGGAGTCGGACAGCTTTTCGTTCGTATCTATTCAAAACGGCTGAATGAACCGATTAGGTCCAAATTTTTTATAGCAACTTACATGAACCAAGGGAAGGTTTTGGATGGTTAAAATTGAAAAATTGAGCTCGAAAATAAATGTCGAAATTTTGATATTTTTTAAATGCAACAATTTTGACGGAAAAATTTGAGAATAATTTGAAAATGCATATTGGTGTCTTTCAGAGAGAGAGCCACAGTTAAAAGCTAAAATTTTGAATAGCAAAGGGGCCTTATAACCAAGTTTAATTATAAAAAACAAAACGATTTAAATCTAAATATTCCTGAGTAGAAAAATGGCGGTTATAGTCCATCCCATTAGAAGCAAACCAAGCAAGGTTCCTTTAAACATCATCTTCAATCTGAAAAATTTTCATTTAACATTTTTCTGCAGAATTAAAGAATGTTTGAAACCGCGGAGGAAAACTGCTGATATTCTAGCTGTAATGGTCTAACTTTTTCGTTTTAACATGATTTAAAACCATTCTAGAATCTAGATATATATATATTTGATAATCAAAGTAGATAATTAGGGTAGACGTAATTTATTTTAGTGGTATTCCCGATTTACAACGGTTACACCCAATTATAAAAGCGGTGTCTGGTCAACAATAAACAAGATTTCAATAATTTTTGAAATTGATATTTTCCAATTTTGGATTTCCTCCAAAAAAGACTTGCGGATTTCTTGCTTCGGAAACAATGTAAAACGTGTTAGAATAATACACGTCACGCTCATGATCAAATAAAGGTTTGAAGGGTACAGGGTATTTTCTAAAATGAAAGGTCAATTTAAATGATAGCGAAGGTTCCAGTTTCTGTAGTTGGTTACTGTTAGTATGTAACTAGATATATTAAGTTTAATACTATAAGCCGGTAATACTATCTTTATTTTTAGAAACATTTATAAAATATAGATATGACTCATATGATACATATGCACTGGCAGAGGCGTATACAGGGGGGGGGGACCCCCCCTTCCCCCGGTACTACCAAAGATGTATAAAAACATTTATTTACAACCCCTTTTTCAGAAATTAAATTTACATTTGAGAATTAGAAATGATTTAACTTAATATTTTTTAAGATGTATTTTATAAATTATCCCTGTTGTCTTTCTACGTATTCTTTGAACTTTTGACGGAAATTTTATACAGAGTTTGCCAAATATTTTAAGAATTCAGAGACGACTGTACAGCTTTTTTTTTGATAAATTATACTTAATTACAGGCTTCAGCTTTCTACATGTTTCCTTCTTTGACAAAATATTTAATACACCGATAATGTTTGTTTGTAACAATTCTGCCTTGCAGGAATATATGGGAGACCCTCAAAGAATGAACAAAGAATTTTAAAAATAATTGGAAGAGGATCCGTTAACAAATGGTTGATGTTAATTTTTAAATCGTTAACTAATTGTGTTCCACATAAATCTGCAGCTTCCACTTTATCCAATTGTAATGTCGTCTTCCTATACCCTTTGCATTTGCAGACCCTGACATAGAAAACATGTTGAATAGTGAAACGTTTTTTATTATACAGGGTGTCCCACGAAACATGACAGTATGCAAGACGACTTGAATATCGTCTTGATTTTTGATATAATTTGCTGCATTTATTTGTCAACCTAATTTTAGAAGTAAATTTCTAGAGATAGTAATCACTAAATTCTCCTAGTCCTGCCATTTCCAAAATGTGGTCTGCATTTTTGTGCTTTCAATATTGCCCGAGATATAAACAATTTCGCTTTTATTTAACAAAATTTAAATCTGAACCAAACTCTTTATATCTCCGGTAACATTGAAAGCACAAAAAACGCAGACCACTTTTTGGAAATGCCAGGGCTAGGAGAATTATGTGATTATTGTTTCAAGACTAAATGACACAAATAAAATCAAATATCAAAGACGACTTTCAAGTCGTCTTGCTATTGTCATGTTTCGTGGGACACCCTGTAGCAATTCTACTTAAACAACTGGGGTTGTTATTTTGGAAGTATTGTCTAAATGTTTTAAACTGACCCTTTCACCTGCCCCTGAGACCAAATCACTCCTTAATCACCCCTGACACACTCAACTAGTTAGTTACTCAATCCTACATTAAACAATTTTATCATTATCAATTATTATTATTAAAACAGTATTTTGTAGGTTTGAAATATATTTATATATTTGCAATTTGTGTTTGTGGTAACAGTAACAAGGAGTTCATTGAACAACTTTCAAGATTTGTGATTTGTGTCAACAAACGGATATAACCAGGCGCGCAACTAGGGGGGGAATATTTTTCCTGTTTTGCACTAGGGTTTCTTTCCGAATTAAGCATGCTATTGAGAAGCTATTCTGAAATAAGAACAAAAAATTCCAATTTCAGGGTGGGGTCTGCCAAGCAAATCTGGGAGGCTCATGTCTGCATAGCAGAGGCTCATGGCGTCTAAGGGTTCCCTCCCTCGTACAGAGCTTAATTAATATTTTCAATTTCAGTTGAAAGACTCCAGTATGGTGAAGACGACATGATCTATCTAGTCTAATTTATCTAGAGAAGAAATGCATTTTTTAGAGGGAACACGAATATGAAAATAATCAGTTTTAAAAACAAAAACATGGATATCTAATTTATATTTGATCAGACAAAGCTTTTAAGAGTACTGTTGTGAATTGATTATGCCACTCTATCATTGGAGGTCACTTACAATTACGTCTTCAGACCATGCACTTACAGAGAACTATGCAATGCCCTCTATATCTGCCCACCCCCCCTTCCCCCGGTACTACCAAAGATGTATAAAAACATTTATTTACAACCCCTTTTTCAGAAATTAAATTTACATTTGAGAATTAGAAATGATTTAACTTAATATAANGGGGGGGGGGGGGGGGGGTGTAAAAGAAAAAAGGACCCGACCCTTTGCGGCCTGCTAGCTGGGCCTTCTTTATAGAATTTGGTCTTTTCTTCTGTATATAAATTTAGCTTGACTTAAAATGGGTAATCTTAAAATATTTTTATCTTAAATTATTTAATATAGTAAAATTTTGAAAATGCAGGAAAAAATATAATGAAATCCGCAAATTTGAAAAAAAATTTTACTGTACAATGAGAAGATACTCACAGATAAAGCCACAATTAAAAGTTGAAAAAGATGATGGGCGCAAAGCGCCCTAAAAACCTAGTTTTGTGGAAATTAAACTGAAACTTTTCTGAAAATTCTGCATTATATAACGACGTCAAAAATATTTGTTTTTTAAAATGTTGCTTTGTTAAACAGCATTTTGTCTCAGAAAACTCCCTTGTTCACAATGAACTTTTTTACTTGTTTATATATATGTATGTTTGTATATGGAGTATATATGTGGGGAGTTTAATGTGTTCTATGTGATTTTATCAGTAACAAAACTAGCTTCTTTACATTCACACACAGAATCCATGTGATATGTGGATTATAAAGACGACTGTTATAGACTTAATTGATTTTAAATAGTCCAATAAACATGAAAAACATCAATTGTTAAGTGCATCAAATACACATGATATATTTTAAATATTATCTTAGTATTCCACGGTTTTTGGGTCCCACTGTACACACCGGCGCAATTTGGTGGATAAGGGGGGGTGCATTAATGAAAACGTTTAAGGTGAATTTGTAAATTGTTTGTGTTGAATTCTGAAAAATTCCTACATTGCCTCTTCAGCAATAATTTGCAATTCACTTTGACAGAGAAACCTTGATTTAAAATACTAAATCTAATACAGCTTTGATCAGACAAATGTTAATAGGGTACAGTTGTTAATCGGACATACTACTATAAAATACTAAATCTAATACAGCTTTGATCAGACAAATGTTAAAAGGGTACAGTTGTTAATCGGACATACTACTATAAAATAATAAATCTAATACAGCTTTGATCAGACAAATGTTAAAAGGGTACAGTTGTTAATCGGACATACTACTATAAAATGTGGGTCCCTTGAAAGTACGTTGGAAGTTCTTCAAAGGCCAAAAATAAATAAAAAAATCATTGTTCCAACTAAAAAAGACAAATATTTTTTGCATTTTGCAAACTCACAATTTTCCGTATGGACAAAATGGATCATTTGATTGACCTTTAAAACCTTTTTTTTTGTAAAACTAAAAATTATCCGTTTTATTATAGTTATATTTGTATTCTATTCATAGTAAACTAAGATACAGGGTTACCCACAAAGGATGAGACTGCAGAGACGACTATACGGAATATATACTGTCTGTTTCCTTATATTTATGACCAACTATAAACTCCTTTCTTTATATGCCAAATCAATAAATAAACTATTTAACGCCATATTCAAGGCAAGGCACAATATTTGTTTTTTACTTATAATTGTTGTATATAAAAAGGTTTTGGTCGTCTTTACAGTCTCATCCTTTGTGGGTATAACCCTGTAGACGGGACAGTAAACTAAGAAGAATACACTATAGAAGAGAGAGAGTAGACTAAGATAATAATATAAAACAATATATATTTATTACCAGGCTTCTTTGCAGTTTTTTTTTTTAAATTAATTAAACTAAATACAAATAAAATTCTTCTATTTCAGAACTGGGTAAAGATGCAAAGAAAAATACTAGACAGCCATTTTCATATTTTTGATTTAGAGGCAGGGTCAATCAATTGTAAAATCTTTATAAAACGATCCATTTCAAAGATATTTTCGAGCATTTTTTCAAATATTTCGTAGATTTGACCAACGAATAATAAAAATGACACTAAACTGCATGTTTTAGGCATAGTTCCAATTATATATACATAGAACAGATGCTTGTAAATTTTTCCATGAAAAATAAATATTCTTGGCAACCACATATGGTGTCAACTAAGTCTAATTTAATCTAACAGAATTCACATTTTAGAATATCTTAGGTCTACGGCATTGGGTTGCAAAGCTATAATAGTGATTTAGAGAGGCAAAACCTTAATTCCTAACAGTTTTTAACCCCCTACTGTGTTTCTAACCACAAACAGAGCAATGTTTAGCAAAAGCTTTGTCTCATAAAATGAATTAGACAACTGTTTAACTATATATTATCAATTTGGACAAATAAGATGTATAAGGTGTGATTTTTTGATGCTTTGCATAACCCAACCCTTGAAAATCTCTTAAATACGTTTCAATTGTAGGCAAGCATCAAAAATGTTAAAGCTTCAAAACTGTCACTGAAACAATTTATATGAAATTCCCACTTTTCCCTCATAAAATGATTCTTTTATTTTGAAATATAAAAACCTTAGTATTGGAGGGGGGAGGGGGGAAGGGGGTTACTTGATATATACATATTCTAAGTCACAATTACATCAACATCATACTTTTGAGACCAAATCGACGGCTATCTGAGTCACAATTCTAAGTCACAACGTTGTCTAAGACTCATTCTAATTCACAATTTCTAAGAAAAATACCTACTTTGGAGACATACTTATGTCTAAGACTCATTCTAAGTCACGAATTGGACAAAACCATGACTTTTGAGACGAACTCATGTCTGAGACTCTTTCTAAGACTTATTCCAATTCATAACACATGTGACTAAGACTCATTCTAAGTCACAATCAGCCCAAACCATCGAGATATTAGTAATAGAGGGGGCATCTGGAATTTTAGACTTCTTGTTGTACAGCCACTGTACACAATGACCCGATCAGAAATTCTACCTGGGGGGATCATAATTCGTAGATCAGTTTTGAAAGTTATTGTTTGAAAGTGAAGACTTCAATATTCAATCAAAGAAAACAAGTCCATATGATTTTTGTATAAAAATGAGACATGACAAATAGAGAAAAAAATAAAAACCTTCTCCTTAACCCTATCTCTGCTGGGGTACTTGAGAACCAGAATATGCGGGGGGGGTCAATTTGACCGGTAACCGTCAAAAAGTCCTTGGAAAAAAGTTTCCGGCAAAAAAGTCCTAAAATTTCACACTGTAAAAGTCCTGTGGAAAAAAGTCCTTTTATTAAAAAGTCTCCGGAAATAAAGTCCTACCAATTCGAGACTTTATTTTCTAGGATTTTTTTCTGGCTCCAGTATGATTTTATACAAAAAAGTCCTCTAACAAGTGAAAATGCATGATTCACAATTCTAGGTTTTCTTTTCCTCGGATTTATTTTCTTTAGGACTTTTTTTCCTGGTATCTTATTTTCTGAGACTTTATTGGCAGCCCCCCACACTATTTTAGGAAAAAAAGTCCCAGGAATCCAAAACACCGGACTTTATTTCCACTGACAATTTTTCCAAGGACTTGATAAAATTCGGACTTTTTTTCCAAAGTTTTTATTTCCAACTGTTTTTTTTCCAGAAACTTTTTTTCCAGGGACTTTCCTACATAGATTCAATTTGACCCCCCCCCCCCTCTAAATCCCATTTTTGATGTATAAATATGACAAATGATACATCGTTGTTTACACAAATTTTGACACTACAATATCTCATTGTTGAAAAATATTAAAATTAACTGTCCACTCAATACCGTACAAATAGATGTACTTAGGATTAAACCCACTGTACTCTATGATACCAACTCAGTCACACTGTACAGTATAAACCTAGCCAGGCAAAATTAGGAGAGTTATGCCCGCCCCCTGGCCCAAACCCTCACCTTCTCTTAAGATTTATAACAATTGACCTTGTTATTAGGTTCGAGCAAAATATCCAAATCAGGAATATAATTATAATGTTAAATAAAAATTAAAAATTAAAGATTTTCAGGAGATAGTAAAAATTAACTTGTTTGAATTAATAATGTAGCAGATGTTCTCAAAGCTTACTGTTTTTTTTGTGTGAATTTATTTCCTTAGAAGAAAATACATATTCAAGTCAAGGTGTAAATATTTGGTTGTAATTTCTAACCCTTGCAACGCTTGATTTATATTTTTTTACAATATTATCAATCTTTTAAAATAAAATATTTTTCTCAAATATTTTATATTAAAATCTACAGAATGCATCTATGGGATTTCCTTCCAGCGAGCAGGTAAATTGATTTTTTTACATTTTCCTCCTTATTTCAATATTTATTTATTTTCGCAAATACTGAGATTTACGTAAAATAGTATAAAACCTATTGAAAATTTATCAAGACGACATTTGATAAATTCTTTCTGTGTATGGCTCATTCAGGGGTTAACTGTATCATTTCAGTTGTAATCACATGACTATATATGCTGATCAGCATTGACGGTCTGGACTAAGTCGGCATATAGTCAATATGAATTTATTCACTTTGGCATATAGTCGTACCGGCCTGACATACTATATTCTTACAAATGTTGTTGACTGCCAACTAACCGCAACTTGTGGCTTGATACCCATTCTGGAGTTATGTTTTACAATTTTTAAAGAGATACCCTCACTTTTTACAGAAAGCATAAAGTTATGAATTTAGTCTATTTTTGAAGGTTTTGTATTTCGCTCTCTTATTTCTAGCTGTGATTTTGAATGAAATGTTTACTATTTAGAAAAAAATTTGGGCAGTTATTTCTAAAATTTGGGCAGTTATTTCTAAAATTTGGGCAGTTATTTCTAAAATTTGGGCAGTTATTTCTAAAATTTGGGCAGTTATTTCTAAAATTTAATTTAAAATTTAAAGGGTATGTTTGGGAAAAAATAGAATGGGGTTTAAAGCTAAACTAATTCTTAAAATAAAAAATGTTTAGGAGAGAATTAATAGAACGCATTCAGCTGAAGAAGCAGAGAAAACTCTTACAGCAGCTGTAAGTAAAGATCAAACTCTTTATTTTAAGCTATTAAGCTCTTAATCTGTAAGCAACAGCTGGCTTTAATTCATTAATTATTGTTCAATAGCAAAGTTTTCCGTAGACTAAGGTATGGTTGGACAAATCTAATCTAAAAGGAAGGTTACATCCTGCAGTTTATTTGTAAAAGAACAAAGGGGCGCGCCTCTAGGCTCATTTAAGGTTGATAATCCAAGTTAAGGGTTTATAGGTTGATTTTAGGATGATAATCCCAGTGAAGGGTCAATAGGTGCTCGAAAGCTGGTTGATATCCTCTCTTTTCCACTACGCTTCTATAGCAAGTCGCAAACACAAAAAAATCAGTATTTAAAAAATACAAAATGTTAGTATAAATCGTTTTAATATTTGATAAAAAAAAATACTAGAATTAGGTAGGTAAGGAAAAATGAGGGGTCGATAGGATCAGGAGCATAAAACGTTTTATGACTTCTGAGAAATAAATACCCGGTGGTTACAAAAATTATTGCTTACAGCGATAATCACGAATTTTAAGCATTTCTATATTTAAAACGTGTTTCACTTTTCACGGATTTAGCGTAAATTGGCGGAGGAGGTTTGGTTTGGTTTCAGCGCTGGGAGGGTAGTTTTGCTTTCAAGACAACATCTATTGGAGAAAGGTTTCAAGACAGGGTTTATGGTCTACAATTAGGGTTGGTAATCGTTTTTGAAAACGATCGTTTAACGATCGTTTTTTGCTTCGTTAAACGATCATTTTTAAAAAACGATCGTTTCGTTTTCTCAAAAAAACGATCGTTTTTAAAACAACCCAAAAAACGATCGTTTCGTTTTTCGATTTTCCTCGACGTTTTCTTAACGAAACGATCGTTTTTTTCAAAAATCAAAACGTTACCAACCCTATCTACAATATTGTGTACTGTAATAAAACATTCACTGAACTTCCTTCTTCCTTATAAACTAAAGGTTAATTGACAAATACTTCTGAAGATCAGTTTAGTTTTGGGTGATGAAAATACAATTTATTTGAGAGGGTTGAACCTTAACATTTTGTATAGTGGTCGGCGTTTAAATCAATAGAATGAAGAAGACTTTTCTATTTAAGTTTTGACAGCTTCTCTTTGTTTTCATGTTTATGTGTGCATTCCGTTTTAAAGCTTTACAGAAAGCAAATTTTAAACCGAAAGTCGTCATTATTGTATTGATATATACGACGACGGCTGTATTTTCGTATTATATTTATGTTCCTTGAACTTAAGAGCTATCTATACTTTAGCTGCATTTTCTAACTTTAACAAAATTGTGAACCAAACAAAAGGATATAGGCTCGAAATGGAGATAAATAGGAGCTAAAGCAATGCAACTCGAAGCAGGAGGTAGGAGAATAAAAGTTCACTGAATTTTAAGCGTAAATTGTTTCTATTTTTTTACGAATTTAAATCTTATTGTTGCACGAGGATTTTGTTTACGTTTATGCAGAAACCTTGAACAGTATTTGGTTTGGAGAAGAAAGTGGACGGAGGTCTGACGGAGATGTAGTTTGTCAAAGACGACTTTTACAACAGGGTAGTTTATGGGATATGGTTCACAAAAATATTTTTTAAATATTGCATAATTTAGAATATACATGAAGGTGTTTTTGTACAATGCTACAATAACTGTCCTGAGGAGATAGATTGGGTTTTCAATCAATTCAAGGTGAAAAATGTGAAAACCCCTATTAGTGGTTTTTAGTGGTTAGCCGGTTAAAATTTTACTGCTGGAGCCATTGGTCAAGATACTGTTATAATAGAAATATGAGCACAATCACCTCATGGACAGCCAATCGAAAAACAAAAATGCCTCATTGTCCTTCAGTAAACAATGTAATGCCATCTGGAAAGAATAACTTCCATTCTGGAATTTTTCGTACTGTAGATTTTCTAGGTTAGTGTTTGTCTATGATTATAGTACTTGACCAATGGGTCCAGTAAAATTCTACTATATCGGATTATGTAACTTTTGAACTGATGTGGGTTTAAACAAACAAGCAGATTGTGTTTCAAAACAATTCAACAACTACGTTAATTTTACAACTTAAAATTACTTGAAACTTATATCTTGTGTTGTATTTTTATGTTTTTTTCGTGATTTGGTGTTATTCAATGTTTCTTCCAAGAAATAAACTACTGGTTAACGGCTCGTTAACGCCGTTAATAAAATTGAGATCGTTAACGAACGGAATCTTTGAAAAAAAACGAAACTACGTTCAGGTATGTTCAGTTTTGGATTATACTAGAAAAGTTTTTTTACGAAATTAATAACCGTTTACACGACTTGACAACAGTCTGAACGTGTCCAGCCCTAGTGGCATATCCCTCAGATTAAACATTTCGACACAGGGTTTTTTTTTTCTACCAAATTATTGGACGATTTGAAAAAATAAAAACAAATATTAATTCAGGATAAGACGTTTGTTAAGGGAGTGGTTGGAGGTTTAGATCCATTAAACCAAGAACAGATTCTTCAAATTATCACAAAGTATTCAGGGAGCTTGGCGCCTAAGGTAAATACATCGTCTCTCCCACTCCCAGCTCTGGTATTCCCAAATGTTGTCTGTACCCTTTTTTTGCTTTCTAAATTACTGAAAATAACAAGAAATATGTTGAGATTTCAATTTATTACAGAGACTGGTAACGTAATTTCAAGTGGCCTTCCATGCAAAAATGTCAATGGCCAATTCACAACGGTACCCTTAAAAGATTTGGCTATAAGTATAAATTAGATATTGATTTTTATAATTTTGAAAACTGTAGTTTTTTTCAAAATTGACTTTTTTATTGCTGTAAAACGTAGGAATAATTAGAGCAAACTACCGTTAAACTGAGCGAAAGGACAATATCTTCTACATTAATAATCAGAAAAAAGGTTTCAAGGATACTTTTGTGAATCGGGCTTTGTAACTTGAGTTTCTTTAAAGAAAACCAAACAATTTTTCTGGTTGTTTTTCAACTGCCGTCTTTCGCGGGACACACGACACAAATTTAAGATTTGTAGCTAAATGATTAAAACGTGATGGGCCTATTGCAGAGTTTTATCTACGTAATTTAAATGATCTTTCTTAATTTGTTAATTATTTTTTTAAAAAACTTTTTGAGACATTTCTTTCTGAAATGAGCTCATTTCAGTCCCTTTCTTTTCTAGTTTGTTGGAATACGACATTTGATTGGATTTGAAGATGATGACTACCTAGCTAGAGAAGATGTCCATAAAGGACTTCAGGTTAACATAATTTTAAGTGTCCCATAATTAGAGAGTTGCGCTGCATGTCCAATTCTCAATGGTAGACTTTGAACCAACGTTTTTTTATAATTCTAAATTGTGGTTTATGTTTAAAAGTAACCTACGGAATACGGAATACGGATTTATTTAACTAAATTTATAACGGTCTGAGAGTTGAAACTTTAGTCCTCGACCTAATTGCAGAAAAATCTTTACTTTATATTATTATGATTATTTTTATTATTATTGTTATTATTATTATTATTATCATTATTATTATTATGATTATTATTATTATTATTATTATTATTATTATTATTATTATTATTATTTTTATTATTTTTAACATTATTATTATTATTTTTATTATTATTATTATTATTATTATTATCATATTAATGTTATTATTATTATTATAATTATTGTTATCATTATTATCATTGGTATAAGTATTAGATTTAGCAGAATCAACAAAGAAAATGTACAGAATTTAACACATATTATGAAAGAAAACGGTGTTTTCTTTCTTCCTGAGATGTGGCTCAGATACTGGCGGAAAGGGTACCATTGTTAATGGAGAATGCACCTCATTGATATTATGTCGACAGTCTCTTTAAGGACTGAATGCAACACAAACATTATTTTAATCATGGTGAAAACATTTTTATAAATATAATTTCACCTTTTTATTAGATAATAGCGGATCATGGTCTTACTTTTGATATTCAAAGTTATCCTCAAACTATCAAACATATTCAAACTGTAGCAAAACAAGTCCCCAAGGTAACATTTATCTAGCATATCGTGTGCTCGACAAATCTCACAGCTTTGATAGAATTACTTAAAACATTGATAGAATTTTTTAAAACATTGATAGAATTTTTTAAAACTTTGATATCAAGTTACTTTAAACTTTGTTAGAATTTCTTAAAACTTTGATGTAATCTTATTATTCACATCAATAGAATCTCATAAAAATTTGATAGTATCTAGAACTGGGTATACAAAAGAAATTAGATATTTCACAAATCAGAAATTAACGTTTTATAGTTTGTTTTTTATCAAATATATTAATTTTGTCTAGCTGAAAATGGTGATTGATCATATCGGGAAACCTTTCTACGACGAGCCTTCAACCTTCAGGTCAAAATTTATTCTGGTTTAATCAAAATTAGAAATAAATCTTTTTTAAGTAGTATGGACATAATTTCTAATAATTTCTCTCCTTTTATAGGATGGCATTCACCGATTCACAATTAAAGTTATTAAATCCTAAATCAAAGCAACAACGAGAAATATAATGTTTTTTTTTTCTTTCTTTCTTAAAGAACTCTTTTAAAGGAAAACCTATAGAAAATATTCAAATAATGTAACTTATCCCATTGATACTTGATCAGACAAAGTATTAATCGAACTCCAAACTTTTTTCATTAAAGGTCACTTGAATATACGTTTACAGTCCCTTTATTCAGTGCATGGTGTGAGGATATAAGAAGTGCTGCGAAGTATCCAAATGTTTACTGTAAATTAAGTGGATTAATTAACGAAGTCCCAAGTAAGTTGAATATGCGTATCAAAATGTTTACTGTAAACTAAGTGGATTAATTAACGAAGTCCCAAGTAAGTTGAATATGCTGAGTTATTATTTTCAAAATATATATTTTACCGGAAAGTGTTTCCAAAGAAAATTATATCCGTTATTCGTTCCCAAGGAAATATTCATTAAAGATATTTTAAGGAATATGTTACAGGATTCTTGAGGTCCTACAAAACCCCTAAAAATAAAAATAAATCAGGGGGGGGAGCCTTAATAGGACTCTCTTCCAGTCAATGGTTATTTATCCGGAGATAATATTTCACAAAAATAATTTTTCTTCAGGGGATTATTTTCCAGAGAACCGTTCAAGGGAAAATTTTATTTTTGCATGAAATCCATATCTAAAGACATTTTTTCTTCTGGGAACATTTTTCAAGAAAAATTGGCCACAGATTTGTTCCGAATGACAAAAAATAAAGTCTTTGCCACAAAATCTTATTTCTAGTCATCTTTGTAACCTCATGGAGTAAACCTTTGATACTTCAAACTTGGATAATTTAATCTAACAGAATTCATAGTATCAAATATTTAAGTTCAACATCATTGGGTTGCAAAGATATAGGAATCAGAAAATCAGAGTTGTGTCAAAGACTTTATTTTTTGTCATTCGGAATAAATCTGTGGCCAATTTTTCAAAAATTCTTTCTTTAATGTTGGAATTTTGCCGATTATCAAAGTCATCTTTAAAGTTGTTTTAACAGAAATCAATATTCAAAAAAGTGTTTTAGGGAAATAAATATCTGACAGAAAAACTTGTTAACTAATGTCCTTGATTAGTAAAAAATAAATTTTATTGTTTTTAACTAAAAAACCCTCTAAAATTATTTAAGATTGGAATCTTGATGTGTTTCAACCTTACATAGATCATCTAATCAAGGTATTGTATCCATTTAATAATTTGTGGGAGAAAATCTTAAAAAATAATTATGATTGTTTACTTATATAAAAATTCTGAAAAAGTATACTAAATTGATTTCCCGTTTTTATATTTCTTGACGCATACAATTTTTATTTGAACAACATTTTATTTTTCACCCATAAAACTGTGGAACTGCATAAAGAAGACCCAATATATGAATTTAAATAGTCCATAAACATGCAGACCCATTTCACTTCTTATGTTGATTTTCGACCTAAAAATGATCAAATTATGTGCTTTATAACAACATCAAATACACATAAGATTGCCTAAATATCGTCTTTCTATTAAAAATATAATGTTACGATTTATCATCCTCAATATTATAGCCAGTTTCAAGAATTTATAACGTTAAAATAACTACCAAATGTATGTACACAAAAAATTTAAATATTTTAAAAAACAGAAAAAAAGCACAAAGAGGTTTTTAATAAATGAAACACAGGAGTTTGGTGTAAAAAGATGCATGTTTGGAAGTGATTGGCCTGTATGTATGCTTGCTTCACCAGAAATCGAATACAGGTATAAATATAATCATTCTGATATATACCTTTCACCAGATATATACCAAAATAAATATAATCATTCTGATATATACCTTTCACCAGATATAAACCAAAATACAGGTATAAATATAATCATTCTGATATATACCTTTCACCAGATATATACCAAAATACAGGTATAAATATAATCATTCTGATATATACCTTTCACCAGATAAATACCAAAATACAGGCATAAATATAATCATTCTGATATATACCTTTCACCAGATATATACCAAAATACAGGTATAAACATAATCATTCTGATATATACCTTTAACCAGATATATACCAAAATACAGGTATAAATATAATCATTCTGATATATACCTTTCACCAGATATATACCAAAATACAGGTATAAATATAATCATTCTGATATATACCTTTAACCAGATATATACCAAAATACAGGTATAAATATAATCATTCTGATATATACCTTTCACCAGATATATACCAAAATATTATTCTTTTGTGCTCTTGGGGCGTATTGCAATGTAAATAACTTTTATTAATAACGCCTTTTCGGCCGCCTTTTATAAACAACTTTAATTCTTAGCAGTCAATTTTCAAATTTAACCGTTCATAAATCTTCCCTGGGGTCATGTAAGCTCCTGGTTCAGCAGTTCAAACCCAGACAAGCCAGATTTCAATATACATGATGAATTCATGCTAATAATAATAGCTGTAGTTTTTACTTATTATTATGAAAGGTTATTAAATAAGGAACAGAATGAATTCATGGAAATATTTTTTTTACTCAATAGCAAATTTTTTATAAAAATATAATGTGTTAGAAAATATGATGTCTATAACGTTATTCCTATTTAAATTTTTTTACCTAGAGACGTGATAGCTCTTCTCGAGGATTTATTGAAAAATCTAACAAACGAAGAAAAAGACGACATTTTCTACAACAACGCAAAGAGGTTCTATGGGCTGTAAAAAATGTTTTTTAAAAGTTAGGACACCCTGTTTTAAACATGTAAATATACTTAAACAGATAATAAACATTTATTTCCAATACAGTGATAACCAGAAAACTCTGGAATAGGAAAACGACTATTAGGCTAAAGTTATGACTTTAAATACTCCAATGAACCTGAGACACGGCAATTGTATAATGTAAACTTAAATGTTGCTTAGTAACACGTTAACAACATCAAGTAGACCAAATTCTGGTTATCACTGTAGAGTTTCTGATGAGGCCGAGGGAGCTAATTCTGTATAAGTTCGAACTTAAAACTAAAAAAATCGTTTGCACACAAAAAAGCGTTTATATAAATCTATAGCTGGCTACCCTCAACAGATGGCACTTAAATGACGACCTAATGATCTAATGATTTAAATGTTCAATTTGGCTCTTTACTTGTTATTGATTTCATGTAATACGAGTAAGTGTAGCGCTTCAGGGAAATTGCCAAAATCAGGATATATAATCCGTACAGTCTTCGAAGTCTTTTTCTTTTAGAGGATTGTCCTACATTAAACTATGATAATTCATAAATGTTTAAAATTTAGAATGAATAAAATAGGATAGCTAGCTAAGCAGAGCTCAATACAGTTCCGTTTAAGGGACTGTTAGTGTAATTTCAAGTGACTCTCTTTGCACAGATCGACAAGGCCGATTCACAACTATACCATTAAAAGCATTATTTAATGAAGTAAGATTTAGATATTAATTTCGATATAGTATTTTTTTAGTTGTGGATTTTCTATAAACGTGACCGCATTTCTACTGTAGGATAACATAAGCAATTTTTTGAATTATACACTTTTGTGCCTAGTAAAACAACAATATATTCCACATAATTGATCAGTTAAAGGTTTCAAGGGTACCTCTGTGAATGGGGTATTTGCATGGAGGGTTATTTAAAGTTTCGATCACAATCCCTTTAAGGATCGAGCAGACTTAAAATAGTTCTAACGCACCTGCCAATTGTTTACATAAATTTGCACATTGGTCGGCTGTAGACTAAATCTGATTTCTTGTATGCATGTACAGTTGGAGCATATGTTTTGTGAACGAACGAAATATTTCGAAATGAACAAAACTTTTTCGTGAACGATAGTGTTGTTCAGAAAAATGAACAAATTGGATCGTTTAAGAGTCATGAAAAAAACTCGTTTTTTTTTAAATTAACGAAAAATAACGATATAAAATTGTAAACTATCGGTCGCATACTATGCCTAAGTCAGTCCGTTAACAAACAAATGTGAAAAGCTATCTTTATTTTTACTGAACGAAGGATTTTTCAGACAAACTTTTGAGAATACGATAGTTTTTTACAAACGATTTTATGGAACAAACGATTGTACTGAACAACCGATTTTATTGAACAAACGAAACGATTGTACTGAACTAACGATCTCACAAAACTAACAAGTTAATTTTTTTCTGAATGACTGAAAAAAATAACGAAATAATTCTTTTGAGGAAAATCCTAGTTCTTATTTTCGAAGAGTTAATCAAACAAATTTTACAATAATATTCGGTATATTTATTTTTACTTTTTTATTAGTTTTTAAAATCAACTTTACAACTTTTTCATCTGTTTCAGAACACATATGTGCGAAACAGTGCAGTTGGGCATTGTTCAAAAGCTTTCAAAAGTTTTACAAATTCTAAAATAAATTGTTAGTTCTACAATATAATTGTCTGGTTTCTCCACTTCGTAAAATGTTGAATGGGGAAGAAATGAATTGAGTTTTGCCACTAACTTAATTTTTCTAATCCCTAAATCTTTGCAACCTGATGTTAGAAACCGTAGATATTTCAAACGTATAGATTATCTAATTTAGCAGAATTCATAGTTTGAAATATCTAAGGTCTACAACATTGGGTTGCAAAGATATAGACATTAGAAAATCAGAGTTTGTGGTGCAAAGACTTAATTCTACTGGGAAGTTTTTGCTCACAACCCATTTTTTTCCAGCTAAATTATGTCTTCTATAATTTGTAAAATGTAATAAATATATTTTTGTGGAGCAACCTGACTAAAAAATAATAAAAAAAAACTTGATGTTGGAGAAACTGACGAAAATGGATGTCCATTCATTGGGAAACAAATATAGTGTCGTCTTTGTTATCTACGTCATGAGAGGACCACTGCCAGATATTCTAACCACAAGTTCCCGGCGTATAAAGTATGATATTTTATCTTTATATGTCCAACTGATAAACAGCAGTCCAGCGACTAAAAAAAAATTAATGAGAGCAGGATAAGAGAAGAGAAGGGCGACTTGAACACCCAAACAATTTTGAAAAAAAAATATGAAATAATTTTAAGACTTTCTTTCAAATTAAATAAACAATACAGAATGTCAAAATAAATATTTATAAAATTTCAATACATCAAAGTGTTAAATTTTTGATCTTTAATATTATTGGAGAATATAAAAAGCTGGAAGAGAAAAAGTACTCAAAAAGATTGTTGACTTATTTCAAAATATGCATAATACCCTAATTTTAGAAACAAATACTCTAATACACTCAAGAAAGTGTTCATTTAAAAAATCTTTTTCTAGTGTACTTTGCACTGTTTTATGATTCTTCATATATGTACTTTCGGGTCTATTTGTCTGTGTGTTTGTAAATAAACGTCAAAATGGTGAAACGATCGGGCTCAAATTTTTTGACATGGGATGAATGCTCAGAATCATTTTTAAAAATTGTCGCGAAAACATTTTGAAAATCCACGAAAAAATATATTATTAATATAATATTTAATAATCCGCGAAATTTTTTGTTAATGTTATTGTAGATATTGTAGGTATTGTAGATACAAAGAAAAGTTGTTCACAGATAGAACAACGATTAAAAGTTGAAATAGTAATGAAATAAAAGCCTAGTATAGTAGGTTTGAACAATGTTCAAAAGAAAATGTAAACTTTTCTTGGCTGAACAACTGAACTGATCGGGTCAACTGATCGGAAAAGTTTTTGGATTCTTAAAATTTTATAAATCTATCAATATTTTCATAAACATTCGCAAATTTTTTACTAATAAAAAGAAAAACCAAATTTAAATGCTATAATAGTTGCAAGGATAGGGGCATTAGTCATGATGCGCCCCAAAAGCCTTATTACCTAAAAGACTGGAAGCTACAGCTGGAACCCAGACGGAAACTGCTGCTGACTGGTTAGAGGATCTATTTAATCCTCCTCTACAGATCACCCCAGCTCCTTCCTCTCGATTGCAGGTGATATCAGACTAATCAATAATAACTTAATTGAATTTTCAGCCAATAACTATAAAAATAATTTATTTTTATTCTTTAACCCTTTTGCACCAAGAGCCCATTATTGGCTTCACCCTAGAAAACCGAGAGCTTTTCCATAAAAATTAAGAAAATTTCTGAAAAAATCACAAAATTATGACCTAAAAATAAAATTACTGTAAATCTCTAATATTGGTGTTCCTGTATTGATGGCCAAAAAGTCAATAATAGGGTTTCCAGTTTTAAGGACTTTACATGATATTTCTTCCTCGGTGTGAAAGGATTAAGTTTTTTATTATTTATTTACCTTAGTATTCATGCAACTTAGAAATGATTCTTCACCTCCAGTGCAGCTAACTTCAGACATCCCATATTTAGATGGCACAATTCCAAATCTAGATTCCTTGGTGGCACTTTCTGCCTCTTTAAACCCCAGAGTTCTGCAGACCACATGGGCATCGGCAAATGTCCAACCATCATCACAAACAGGCTTTCCCTCAAAGTAAACATTACCCTCATGGTCCCCCTGGCCTCCAATAAGGCAGATTTTGTTCTTCGCTTTACAATCTTCAGGAATTGTCATTAGGGTTCTATTGTCACATTTAACTCCAGCTCCTTCATTTCTTCCACAGTCAGATATTTTGACATGTTTGCAAAGTATTAATGCTTTTTCAGTTCCAGTGCACTCAACATCATCCATGGCAAAATCTGATTCTACTCTTCCAAAGTGAGATTCTAGATAGGGCATCAGCACATCTTGGTATCCAAGCTCTTGGCAAACTACTCTGCCATCTACAGAGTCCCATCTATCATCACAAACTGGTTTACCACCAACGTAAACATTGCCTTCATCAGGTGTAAGTCCACTTTTTAAACATACTACACCAGGGCTGTCGCAATTCCTGAGAGGCAGAACAACAACTGGTTTTGTTATGTTTGAAGTACTGTTGCAATCTCTTGGTCCAGATATAGCATTTGGACTGGGTTGAGCACTGTTCGACCCTTTTCTAAAACATTTGTGAGAATCCACATAGAAAGTAAAATATTTACATTCAGAGGAACTGAGGCAGTGAATCTGACAATCATGAGCAGAAGCAACAATGTCATAGTCTAAATAAACTCCTGGGCTATACCCGATCCCTGTTTGAAAGCAAGCATTCTCTACAGTACTTAATTGAACAGCAGTTCTAGTGTCACAGACAACACCAGCAGATTCTCCCAAACTACAGTCATGTCTATTAGAATGGTTGCAATCCTTGAGACGTTCCTCTGTTCCATCACAGCTAACCTGGTCCATGATAAAATTTTGCTGTCTATTTCTAAATCTTGACTCTTTTGTAAACATAAGAGCACCAATAAAGCCTAGCTCTTTGCAAACAATATTAGCAGATATGATGTTCCAGTCATCATCGCATACTGGCCTACCACCAACTAAAACATCACCTTCTGTATCATTCTTACCACCAGTAAGACATACCACCCATGGACTGTTACAATCTTTCAATACAGGTGATAAAGTTGACTGAGGAATGTAGCTAAGATCACTGCAGTTTCTGGGGCCAGATATGGCACCCTCTGTTGATCTTTTAGTGTTCCCTGTTTTTCTGTAACATTTTCTGCTGTCTTGGTAAAAAGAAAAATGAGAACAGTCAGGGTGAGCCATGCAATGTTTCTGACAAGACATGGCATTTGAAGCAACTTCAAAATCCAAATAGTCTCCAAAATTGTAAGAGACCCCATCATCAAAACAATGCTGCATTATTGCCTTTTCAGCTGCTATTTCTTCAAGTGATCGTTTATCACAAACTACACCTGCACCTTCTGTTGCCCCACAATCATCATCAGAGTTGTATGTGCAGTTAAATAATCTTTCTTCTGTTCCAATGCATTCAACATTGTCCATAATAAAGTTCACAGACACTTTCCCAAATTGACTTTCTTTGGTTATTCGCTCTACCTCATGGAAACCAAGCTCTCTACACACTACTCGTCCATCATTCATATCCCAGTTATCATCACAGACAGGTTTACCTCCAATAACAACATTTCCCTCATGATCCCCTCCACCTCCTACAAGACACAACTTTCCAGGTGTAATGCAAGGGTTGGATTCAATTGTGCTTCCCTCCCCTGCACAATGAGCAGGACCTGAAACTACATCAGGATTGTTCCTTCTGTTTTCATCAGAGGTTTTCATGTAGCACTCATTATTTGATAGATAATAGGAGAAGTAGGAGCAACCATTGTGGTTTTGACAGCGAACTTGACATGCCTGATAATCTATCTCTGTGAAATAGTCTAAATAGTCTCCATAACTATATCCAACACCAAAAGAATAACAAGAAGTATCTTTTTGTGCAGAAGAGACTGTCAATGCTGAACAGTTTCTGGGACCTGAAAATAAAAGAATCAGGAAAAAATAACAGAATTTTCAGGTTTTCACTTACCTGATATAGCTCCATCTTTGAATGTTTTAGAGTTTCCAATTTTTCTGTAGCATCTTTTTTGAGATGGATAGTAGGTAAAGTGCAAGCAAGTGTCCAGCTCCTAAGGTACAGATAGGGATGTTAACGTTTTCATTTTTATTAAAAACGATCGTTTCATTATGAAAACGATGAAAACGATGATGTAAAATAGAAAATGAAACAATCGTTTTTAAAAAGCTCATTTTTTAAAAATGGTCGTTTTTCAAAATGATCATTTTCATAAAACTCGTTGTTTCATTAACGATCGTTCACAACAACCCTTTGTAACAATCGTTGAAGACGACTTTTCGTTAATGATTGTTAGCAAAGAGAAGAAACCGACCTAAAGGGCATCTGTACTTATCATTGAGTATTTTTTAAGAAAATATCATGAAGTTTTCTGTTTTAGCTCCCACCCCCCACAACTGTAGAACTTCATGTAAGACGACATTCAATAAAGTTGCATGTAATTTTTTTCTTTTTAATTTTATCGATCGTTTTTAAAAACGATAAACAACCCTAGGACGGTACAAATATAGAATGTGGATTAGGAAAATAATGTGTTAATTTTGATTTAAGTAATGATGGACACAATAGTAACCATTAAGAGACAAGCATTTATTAGTTCTATTGGGAAATATTTGTGATGTATAGATGATGTGGGAAAAATACAATTCTTAGCCAATGATATATAAACTTTGGAGAAAAAACTCAGTGGTAGTGGTTGAATGTGCAGTTGAAATCTAACAAATGCGTTTATTTGTTTTATTTCAAAATAGTTCTATTGCTGAATTCTCACTTTTAAAGTAAATAATTTTGCCTTCAACTACTTTTTAGGGAACTTTTTTTATTTCAACAATTAAATTACTCATTTGTTTGCTTCCACTAATTTATGGAAAAATATAAAAAAATATATGCTTTTACAGCTGTTGGAGACCAAAAAAGCTTATTTGAAAATCATTATTATGGGAGTTAAACCACTTCTTCAACCACTTGTTTAACTGCTACTACTGTTTTTTTTCTTAAGAATATCTCATGACTTTTCAGGTCTAGAAGGAATAGAATGATAATACGATAACCTTGTGCTATACGTTTAAGAAAAGTATCTTAAAGAATACCTGGCAATATTTTTGACAGTCTTCCGGTGTTTCTACTTTATTATCCTGATCAATGCTATCACCAAAGGTGTAGGAGATATCATACTCATAACAATCACTAACAACAATAACATCATGTTTACTTAGCTTAGCAGAACCGGAATTTAAATCTCATGCCAGCTGGGGGGGGGGGGGTAGTGGTAAAGGTTGAAAATAGTAAATAAAGGGAATACTGTTAAATAATGCAATTCTGTTGGAATAAGTTTCTAAACTTTGAATCTCAATAATTTTCTTAATTTTGATCTAGTTTTATTATTGAATGGATTGTATTCCTTTGAGAAATGATTTGAGTTTCACACTCTACTCCAGCTCCCTCAGATACATCGCAATCTTCCTAAAATCTGGCAAGTAGTCCATTTCATAATTTTTGCATTTTTTAATATTTTCCAAACAAAACAAGAAACTTTTTATTATAAAATAATAAAATTTTGATCAAAGGCAAATTTTAAATTTTGGAATATTGATCAACCAAAACATGCTCAAAACTTTTCAGTCAGAGGGCATAGAGCACCCCCATGGAAACCTATTGTTATTATATATTGCCTGTTTAAATTTTTTGAATTGTGCTCAGTTTGTTTACCTGTGTTGAATGCTCACAATCCTGTAGGCGGGACTCCACCCCAATACATTTTACATTATCCATGACAAAATCTGAGCTAACATTCCCAAACCTGAAATAAATAAGTTTTAAAAGTTTTAAAAATAAAAATACAATAAGTTTGAATACTGTTATTATCCCATAAATATTTTGAATTATTAATATAATATTTTGAAACTAGTTTTCCTACCTAGATTCTCTGAATGCTTGTTTAGCCTGTTTTTATAATTAATCAAGATTATTTAAAAAATAATAATTTTAAGTTTCTCTTTGCAGATCGTTATCTATTTTGTATACCTTGTGTGGTGTACAGCAAAACCTTTAAATCTTTAAGATATTACAAAATAAAAACCATTCAAGACATCTATGTACATAAAAGAAACGGATTCGAACACTTGCCACTAAGCCCGTATATTTCTTTAACCGATAATGCGGAATTTTAAATTTTAAATCTATGAATTTATAAATAACAAATAAATTTGTAATCCTTGGCTGATTTATAACTTTATTTACAATTGATTGAAAATTGATTGATTGCTATTTAATCGTGTAATTGATTAATTGATTTCCTTCTGATATCCTAGTTCTCTGCAGACGACATAAGCATCTGCAATATCCCAATCATCATCACATACTGGGGACCCTCCCACCATCACATTCCCACTAAAAACAAAATTTTTAAAAACAATCGAAGTTTTGAATGATGAAGGCCGTACAGTTTATTAAAAAAAAATCATAAAACAGTGAATTTTGAAATCCAAATCGACAAAAAAATTGCAGTTAAAGAAATATTTTAAAATAAAAAATATATTTAAATTTCTTTTTCTTTTAATTTTCATTACTTTTTAATTTAATTATTTAATCAAATAAAGATAGATATTGCAATTTACGGAATTAAGATTATCTGAATTAAACAAATTATTTTTGAATTTATCGTTTATTTATTATGATCAAACAAAAGAATTGAAAGTATTTATGTTTCGACTGAAAATGCATTATTGTGAAAAAATCTTATTTCCAATGAATTAATTAATATACCCAGTGCCCACTAGATTAAAAGTAAAATTGCACTCATAAATATTTAGCGGTTCAAATATTGTTACAAGTTTCTAGAAAAAATGTAGAGAATATTTTTCTCACTTTTTAAAGCTAAATTCGAATTGTTGCAATTAATATGAGAGAGAGTTTGTTTATTAATGTTATGATTGAATATTGATCGATTCTTTATGCAGTTTATCGTGTTTTGAGTGTTAAGTTACATGTCCCTTAAAACATGACAATTCAAGGTCGACCAAGTATACTATTTCATATACAGGGTGTCCCACGAAACATGACATGTTGGTGAATAGTTTAGAATGTCTTCTTTTGATATCAAAGATGATGATAAGAAATACTAAATGGCAGTGATATCATAGTAAAATATATATTTATGAGAAAAGGTTTGATTTAAGAAATATACTGCAAAAAGTCTTAAATAACTACTACAGTATCATAGAACAAAACATTGAAAACTATTCACCAACTGTCAAGTTTCGTGGGACACCCTGTACATAAAGTGCTTTAGTTCGCCATGTCTGTTAACAGTTTTTATAAGCGTTTTAATGATTTTGAAATAAAAGATATTCAGTGTCATACTTGACCTTAGGAAACCATAGAAAGTGTTGCCTTAAAAAATCGTACTAAAAAATCTGAAGATGAAAATAATCTGAAAAATATAGATTGTTAGAATTGTATTTATGTAGGGGTGTTTATGCATATACAATGTACATAAAGGTGTATGCGGGGGTGTTTATGCATGTACAATGTACATAAAGGTGTATGCGGGGGTGTTTATGCATGTACAATGTAAACGAAAAATGAAAGAAGCAAGACGACCTAAAGGTTATCTTTGAAAATACTTGACAGTACATTGACTGTACAAAAAAGTCAGACTATATTTTGGAAATACCAGGACTTGTTGAAAATTTTGTAATTATTGTTTCCTAAAGTCAAGTTACGTGGGGACACCGTAGGTTACCTTTAGCGGGCCAAACTGTAACTCTTAAAGTTATGTAATAAAAATGGGAACGGAGGTTTATCTTGATAAATTATCTCGGCGCTGGAGAGGAATTTCTGCCCAGTTTTGGACAATTTTAGAAACGCCGCGTATTTGATCTGGTCTCTTACATGTATTCTGAGGTTCCAGGGTCACCACCAACCAGGCATACAGTTCCAGGGGCCTCACAGTTTCTAGCAGCTCTATAATACACTTGCTTGTTGTACATATATAAATGTGAAATGTACATATGTAAATGTGCAATGTACATATGTATATGTGCAATGTACATATGTAAATGTACAATATACATATGTAAATGTGCAATGTAGATATGTAGATGGTAATGTACATATGCAAATGTACAATGTACATATGTACATTGCACATATACATATGTAAATGTAATATGTACATATGTATAAGTGCAATGTACATATGTAAATGTGCAATGTACATATGTATATGTGTAATGTACAAATGTATATGTGTAATGTACATATGTATATGTGCAATGGACAAATGTAAATGTACAATGTACATATGTATATGTGTAATGCACATATGTAAAAGTAAAATGTACATATGTAAATGTGCAATGTTAATATAGGTAGAGATGGGCATCGTTTTAGAGAACAAACGAAATCAATTTTAGTTGAGCGATTAAAAAAAACGAAATGGGTCGTTCACGAACGATGAACGTACGAAATGAAAGAAGCCGAACGCGCCCATCTCTATATATAGGCCTGGGCAGCTTTATTATAACGGCGAAAGCCGATAATGTGTTTGCCTAACCCAACAATATGTTTTTTTATTTTCAGAGCAAAAACCTTTTATTAGATTAACTTCTAATTTTAGTATTTGGTTAGAATGTGTAAAAGCTGCCCAGGCATTGTACATACTTTTTGGCAAACACCAGAAAAAATAAAATACTAGGTGGCTACACAAATACATGAAACGACGACTTGCACCTCTCTGAAGTTGAAATAAGCTTGGGCTATCTAACCCAATGAACAGTATTGGAGCTCTTAACCTTATCCCTGCTGGGGTAATTGAAAACCAGGATACACTGGGGGGGGGCGGAATTCGACCCCCCCCCCCTCTATTTGGATATCCCATGTTTGATGTCCAATGACAAATAATACATCATTTGAAAGCTCTATGCTCTACTTTTTCATTTTTTTTTTGAAAAATCCAGTTTTTTTGTAAAAATGTTTGCAAAAAAATGTCCAAAAGACGATAAAATATACATTTCTGAAAAGCCTTTGACCATGCCATTTCAAATATGCAAAATTTTAAATAACCTTATGTGCAATTAAGAAAAACCTAAGACAGGTTTATGCAAAAAAATTGCAAAATTTTTTTTGCAAAACTTGTGCAATCCGTTTTCTTATAACATAGGCTTTTCCAAAAAGCTATTAATTATCAAAACCTGATAACTGAAAATGGGTCAAAACAATGATTTAATTTGTTACAGGAAAAAGTAGTCATTTAGGCAGTATGCCTGAGGGTTCAGGCAGTTAGTATTCAAAGTGATTAAAGGTTAGTATTAGGTTTTAGACCTAAAATGAGGGCTATGGGTATTTAGGAAAAGTCAAAAAAATTTCAACATCCTCAAACCAACACTTTTTGAGTTATGCAAAAAAAACTACAGGGGGGGGCAAATTGACCCCCCCCCAGCAGGAATAGGGTTAAACAATGTTGAAAGAAACTCTAACATTTGATCAAACCTACTGAAATAATTACTTGTTTAAAGTAAAAAATTGTAAGATATGGCTAATATTCTGTTCATGATTTCAAAGAACGTAGAAAATGTCACGTGTTCTTCTGAAAGTCCTAAGAGTGTACAAGGAGGCAAAGATGCAATATAGAAAGTCGTCGTTAGTTGTACTTATATACCGCCATAGCAATAGTGCATTGTAATTATTGAAAGGTCTGTTAACATAAATATGTACAAACCTATCAGTTGTTGAGGGGGCAGTGCTTGTTATTGTTGTTGTTAATTCACTGGGACTTCCAGTTGTAGAATCTCATAAAATCAAACAAAAAATAGAAAAATATTCGTTTTCTCAAAAACTCCATAAATAATAATTCTAATTCTTGGGACACATTTGAGAGGTATAACTTAAATTACGAGATATTATATACTTTACAGCATAAACTATTATGATGAAGAGAGACAAACAACACTGTGTAATAGAAAGACGACCGTTAAGCAATATCATGTGTTTAGATGTGTTTGATGTTCATTAATCTATCTAATAAGCTGTAACTTATAATTCCAAAAATGCTAACAAAACTAACGAAATCCCATGGGTTTAGAAAAGATGCTACAGTATATTATTTCTCTTACTCAGGAAATGTGACGATGTTAAGGGAGAATTTTAACAATAAGGTGGAATTAATTTACCACTCTGCATGATCCAAAAACCGTTAAATAAGGTTTTCGCTTACCAGTTTCTTTTGATGGGGAAACAGAGAGAATAAAATGAAAGACGACATATAAAACAGTATTTTGCAGTTTCTTCATGGTTTTCCACTCTTAGGCTCTTACTTCAACAAAAACTCTGGGAAAACTAAATATGCTATTGCAATTCCACCCACAACCCCCCCTCCCTTCTCATGATGACATTTTGATCCCCCCCCTCCTCTATTTCATTTATGTAGCATGTAGATAAGCTCTTGTTAATCAGATCAAATGACAATTTTTAAAATGTTCATGAGTTCTGGGAAAAAACAAATGCGGAGCTAGAATTGTATAATACAATGGAACCCATTAAACTCTGGAATAAGAAGACGAATTTTAGACTCAAGTTAAGATTTTGAATAGTCCAACATAAATATGAAACACAGCAATTTAGCAATGTAAACAGACCGATTTCTCTTAATAAATTGATTTTCATTCTGCAACAGTAAAACTATTTTAATAAATAAATAAATTTGTTCTTGCCATTTTTCCACCTTCTAAATTAACGGAAATATTAACTTATTGTTAAAACCATTACTAAAGTAATTAGTTACTAGGACATAGTCCTAAATGTGGACACGACCAGATTGAACCCCACATCCCATTCACCACTGCTATGGTCGGCAGCTCCTGGCTCTTTAAGACTCACAACTGGTGTATTAAGAGATCCCCATTAAAGCAATCAAACTCCTCAAAATTCGTTCCTCAAAATTCTTTCCTAAAATGATCATCCTAGGTTCTTCTTAGTAATCAATTGGATTTAAGCAAATGTTAATAATAGAAATAACCAGTTGGAGTGTTTAAAATAGACTAAAACATTACCAAAGATTAAATAAAGCCAGTTTGAGTTTAAATATTAACAATTATGAGCCGATGATAGACCATATTTTCTTTTTCCTCAAAAGGTCCAAACTGAAGGAACTCTGCAGTGGTCGGAGCAGATCACCTGTACAAACAACACGTCGTTAGTTTTATTATATTGTAAAGTTCAAAAACCAGTAATATTCAAAATTCGGTTTTATGAAAAATTTAATAATTAAAAATTAACAATAAAATAAAATAAAATAAAATTTTTAAAAAAATAAATAAAAGTGCCACTGAAAAGGGGCACTGGACCCCCTTAATGCGTGGGTCCAGTGCCCCTTGGCACTGGACCCATGCAAGGGTCCATTAAGAACATATAACCACCAACCATGCCGCAATGCAAAAGCGATTCTGCTCCAACCCCCACAGACCAAAGACATTAAAATAAATTTCAAAATATAATTTAAAATTACCATGAATATATTAATTTAAAATCCAACTAATCCTTGGGTTCACATATATATAGATCGGTTTTAAAAACCAAGCTTTGTTCTCATCTTTCTGACAGTAAATATCATTTGTTCTAGTTTTCTTCCTGGTACTTCCATGGGTGAAAAATATTTTTCCTGGTCTATATTACAGGCTTTGAAAGCTCTACCAACATATTTATGTCTATTAGACATCTCGTCGAACACTGTTTTGGATAAAAATCTTTTTTTTAACTTTATCTTGTTTTGATTTAAAATTTTCCATATATTTAATCTGCTTAGAAGTAAACCCTTTACCTCTAAGTATTGAATATATAACAGAAAATTGATTTTGCAATTCATTTGAAGTGCTTGTATGTGTTCTAGCTGTTTTGAAATAGCTTAATCCTGCCAATCTCTTGTATCTTTTGTGGGTGTTAGAATTAGGTGGAATAATGTTGTATTTGTTTTGAGATTTTCTGAGGACTGTTGTTAATGGAACCTTAGTTTTTGGATTGTTATATATTCTAATATTCAGGAATTTGCCATAAATAATTCTTGATTCAATATTGAAAATTATGCAAGCTGGATATCCGTTTCCGATTATTTTTATGATTTGAGATATTTCTTCATTTGTACCAGAAATATGCAAAGATACATCGTCTCGAAATCTCAAAAATCTATAAACATTATTTAATAGATTTTTCCTGGATAATTTTTTAAATATCTCAACTTCATATATCCTAAGTATAATCTCACTTCCCCTTGCTGCTGAGCAGTCTCCCATTGAGATCCTTTTAATGTTTTGAAGATACCTGTTGGTTCCTTGAAATACGAATGCGACATTATGCATTTAATAAGAAGCCTTATATAGGAAAAAGATGATTCATGTAACTTTGCATATTTACATGCTTTTTCTACACACTCTAATAATAATTGCTCATTACAATTACAATATAGGTCAGTAAAATCACCTTCTATTTCAATTGATTTGCCCCATCGACCGGTTTTAGAAGCTTTAATTCTGGAAATTGCTTCTTTTACTCCTGTAACCGAAGGTGAAATGCATCCGAACTGTAGATTAAAGTTCTCCTCAATATGGAATAATAGGTGATTAAAAATTTTATCCAGAATCTTTTGGATGACTTTAATTGGGTCCTTCATAGAGCTTTTAATTCCTCTTGAAGTTAAATGTTCAATATTTTCAAAATTAACAGCTTTTAACTTCAACACCTTAGGTTGTAATCTCAATACTCCTATTTCTGAATACTGCTTATCCCAAATGAAATCTTGTTTAACAATTATCTTTGAAAGCTCTGTTGGAAGATGTATCTTAGCATCTATTATAAACTTTCTAATATTGTCAATATACCATGATTCGATTAAATCAACTCTCCCGAAATGTTGTTGAACATTTATTTTTGAATATTGATCAAGTAAATCTGTTGTGTACATACACACATACCCAACGTTCTTATCAGCCTCGATAATGATTTTATTTTCCTCCAAATTAAAAATTTTTCCAAATTGTTTTGAGTCTAATTTACTTCCAAAGTAATTTTGGACTAAAATGGTTTTAAATTGCTTTCTTGTTTTGTTATATACTCTTTCAAAAACACATAGGATGTTTACTAACGTTGTATTATTCCTAAACTTCATGGTTTTCCTAAGTTTTCTCAGGTCTTTGTTTAAATTGCTTGCCGATAAGTTTGATCTTAATCCGTATTCAAAAGTTAGGTAGTTAGTAAACATTTGAGTAATTTCTTGGTCGAACATATGTAATTCTTTTTTCTTTGTGATTTTAAAGTAAGGACAATATTTTTTACCCAGATCCAACTTATCCCTCAAATTTATAGGAATGTTTTCGTTAGTAAGATTAAAAAAACTCTGTCCTTTCAACGATTCTTCTATTTCTAAGATTTCATTTCTAACATAATATGCTAAATGGTTTTCCAACTCTTTAAAAAGTTCAATGGTAATCTTTTTTATTAATAAATCAATTTCCTGGTTGATTCTAAATTTTAGTATTTTAGAGTCTACATCTTCTAATATATTAGACAAAATGGCGTTAAAATCAAGATTTTTATTGACTCTATTTATAAAACTCATAGATGTTCCTAGATTCTGATCAAAAAAATCCCCAGAAGATAAATTAAAACTTTGTTTACCATCCAGTAGAATACGACTCTCAAGTTTAATTTTTTGCAAACTGTTCTCAATTTGTTTACTAACTTTATTAACCGCTTGTCTGGTAACTCTTGAAATTGAATTTAGACCTATGATTGCAAGGACCAGTTAAACTATTTCTATCATTTTTTCTGAAATTGAGTAAATCCTGAACATTTATAAGTAATGAAAAAAATTTTATTGAAAATCATCACAAAACATAACAATATAAAATTATATGTTTGGAATCCCTTTCTTATACTAAAATACGAAATATTTCATTGAGAAACCGTGATATTCAATAACTATTAACTATATTGGTAAAGAAAAGAAAAAAATTTAAACCTTTTTTAAAAAAAAACAAAAAAACAAAAAAAAAACCAAAATCAAATTGAAATTGGTGCCTTTATAATGAATAACAACTGTAACCTGACTTTAAATATCTTGAATCTTTTCATTATAAAATTAGCTTAAGGAGTTAAGCTTAAAAATAGATTTTTTAAAAAACAAATAAATTAAATTAGTGCCTTTCAAATGGATAACAACTGTAACCTGACTTTAATTATCTTGAATTTTTTCCTTATAAAATTTGCTTAAAGAGTTGAGCTTAAAAACAGATTTTTAAACCTAGATAGTTGTATAAATGTGGCTGCTCGTGTTATATAATCACGTTGATAGTATAAAAGCCAAAAACTTGAATTGGTGCCTTTCTAATGCATAACAAAAATCTTTATTAAACTATTTAAATCCTAGTTTAAAAATAGTTTAGAGAGTTGAGCTAGCTTCAAATAGATTTCAAACCCTTATAAGTATCTAGTCTACTACTCAGAGCTTGATAATTCTCGGCGTCTGGCTTGGAGGACTTGATGACGATTCTTTAGAGCTAGCGTCGTCCGATTTCCTTGTACGTGAACCTCTGGATTCTGGATTCTGCAGCAGTAAAACTATTTTAATAAATAAATAAATTTGTTCTTGCCATTTTTCCACCTTCTAAATTAACGGAAATATCAGAAAATTTTTCTAGATTCCAGTTTTATAAAAATCAAGAAAACTGTTCAAATGTTTAATATCTCTATCAATTTTAAAGATACAAAGAAGATAGTCCACATTTTAGAAAGCTCATTAGACTTTCAACTGTTTTTTGATGCACTTTATCTCTTTTAGCAGTTATCGGAAATCCAATATAATATTCAAGTCGTCTCTCAATTCTCATGTTTATTGGGATACACTGTCTATAATTAATATCTGAAGGAAACGGCCTGATCTGTATATTGTTTGTATCCAATGCGCGTCAAAACGACTGAACCGATCAAGCCCATCGATTTCATATTTAGCTCTCCGGAGGTTATTGCTTTCTGAAAGTAAATGCCTTCAGGATCATCCGAGGTCGGAAAGGGGTATCAGAATGGATTCGGAGCACCAAATGCTTGTGATTTAATACCTCACATGACTTATTTTCATTGCTCACATATTTTGATCTCCAGAGGTAAGCAAATTTTGGAGGTCACGACCTCGTGGACCATCTGATGTCAAAGGGGGATCAGAATGGAATCGGAACTCCAAAAACTCTACTATTTGATACCTCACAGGACTCATTTTCATTGATTTGATATTTAGACCATTTTTGGAGGTCATTTTCGAAGAGAGGTCAAGATGGAGGTCAGCTATGTGTAATCTATTCATATTCACAGAGAAAATTACGCAAAATAAAACGGTATTAAATTTATTTCTGACCAAGTTAAAACATTTTTCACAAGTACACTGTCAAAATGCATCATAATAATAAATTGAAAAATATTTTCTATATATATATATACAATACATATAATTATTTTCTTTTTACAATTACAGGGTTGAAAACTTTCAGCCTTCGTTTAGAAGTTGCATAGGGTTAACAAACTGAGCTTAGAATCCATGTTATACGCATCTATATCCAAGATTCAGGATCCTGAAACCTAGAGATCCTGAATCCTAGATCCTGAATCCTAGATCCTGAATCCTATAGATCCTGAATCCTAGATCCTGAATCCTAGATCCTGAATCCTAGATCCTGGATCTTAGATCCTGAATCCTAGATCCTGAATCCTAGATCCTGGATCCTGAAACCTATATCCTGAATCCTATATCCTGAATCCTATATCCTGAATCCTAGATCCTGAATCCTAGATGCAGAATCCTAGAGATCCTGAACAATGAATCCGTCCCGATTTCAAATTCTTGATTTCAAATCAATTATAATAAATAACACAAATGTTGGAGTGGTCTTCACCGGATCCGGATCCGGATCCAGGAATCGGAAAGATGCTTATCATTCGGATTCTGAGCACTGGTAAAAGGTTAAATTTAGTTCGCACGGATTATCAAATCCTTATTGCGCGGATTAACTAATTCTATTCCAATCTTTACAATAAATATAAAAAACTAATGTGAATTCAAACACTATCGGAGACGGAGCATAAGACAAACTGGTGAAATTTCAAGATAATTCAAGGATTAAAATCATTAAATCTTTACAAAATTGTTAAAGGGACTGTTAACATAATCTTAAAAGGCCCTTATTTAAAGATTACTTGAGTAAAATTGAGAAGATTTAGAATTCTGACAATTTTCTTTCTACAACAACTACAAAATTCTACAATTTACTTTGGAAAAGAAACCTCAATAGAAAATATCCAATTTTCCGAAAGAAAAGAAGGATATGATATAATCCAAAAATAGACAAAGATTTAAAGGGTTCTGTTGAGAATCGGACATGCCAAATAAGATGAGGGGTCCCTTAAATAATGTCTACAGTCCCTTTATGATATAAGTTTTCATCATTAAAATAGATGTAGAGAGATTTTAATCAAGGAAATTCTAAATCTAAGATTTGGGTCGATCTTCTTCATTCTCCTTCCACTATACTATCCTCATAATCATCCTGAAATAAATAAATAAATTAACAACAATGAATAATCTAGGACCACCTGCTCAAGCGGACAAAATGAAACCTTTATCAGATCTAAAACATGTGGAAGATGACTTCGTTTTTCTGACTCGGAAAAGTGTTTATTTCTGTGAATTTCATATAAGCATGAAATGTGCAAATCACTTGTGCAGAGAAACCACAATTGAAAATAAACAAAAACACGGATATCTTATTCATACTGGATCAGAGCTGAAAACTTGAGAATGGAATATCCTTAATCCCGATCGGTTAATTAATCTGGAGATTAATAACAAGAGGAAAACAAGCATCATTTAATCTGGCGATTAAGAAAAAGAGTGGATTAAGCATTAATCCCGATATCTACCATTCAAAAGTTTCCAGCTCAGGCAAAGCTTTTAAGAGTACCATTGTAAATCGGACATTGCTATCTTAGCATGTAGGGTCAATTGAAATTACACTTACAATCCCGGTAAACTCTGATTTCTTGCGCAAGCTTTCATAGGAGTAAGCGGCAATGTACGGTATATAGTTGAACTGAGAACATCTTAATAGTTTACTGTCGAAATTTTTTTTTACACTTTTTGACGTTGTTATTTAATAATTAAAAAAATAGATTCTCAAAACGGAACCACCCAAATGGATGATTTTGAACGTCGACTTTGCGCTCAAACTCGGTAATTATACATCATTAAAACGTTTTATGTCTCAAATGAATCCCTAAACAATTTCTCCACAGTACTACATTCTCAATTCAACTATTATACATTGCCGGTCACTCCCTTTAATTCAAATACAGAAAAGCCGTTAATTTAATTATCTAAGTACTCCCAACCTTTTCTAAAATTAATTTCAACAAAAAGTAATATTCAAGTTACAATGTATTGTCAGCTTCTCTATATCTTTGGTTCTGATTTATGAAAACTTGGTTGAGATAAAAACTGAAATAGAAACCAGTCTACATTGTATTGTTATTTACGACGACAAGTTTATAAAACCCCCGATAGGAGAAATAATAAACCTGATGTTTTCTCACAGTTTCTCCGAGGATTATATCCGGCTGAACCTCCATCATTTCCTGGAGATCCATCTCATCGTCATCCTCGTCCTCCACACCCTCCTCATCCTCCTCACTTCCACCAACCATTCCATCCTCACCACACACCTGATGCAAGAAATAATAGCAAAAATTACAATTATTGTTTAAATATTACTATTGCGTAACATTTTAACGCATTTTTCAGAACATTGTATTTGAAAACAACAGCTTTCACGTGTTATACTTTTCAAGATATAAAATATATTTATTTTTGAAAAATGAAAACAAAGAAAAAGAGATTAAAATCTACAAAAATACTTGTGAGTTTCATTCATGAATATTCTCTTAAATATCCTGCTCAAGCTTCTAACATATATTTAAAATCCTAGCTACAATTAGTTTATTACAATTAGGATCCTATCTTTGACTAGACTGATAGGTGTCTGACCAGTTGGAACCCCTAGGGAAATGAGTTGTCTTGTCCGCCTATGCGGACATTTATAGGCGGACGTTTTTCAGCTCAAAATGAGCTTCTTAAAACGTTAAAATATTGAGCGGTCTCTTAAAATAAGTTAATTAGAACAAAACTAACCTTTCCAGCCAGCTGATAGGCTAACATAGCGGGCTCCATTCCAAGGGCTTCAGCTGCTTGCTTAATGTTGATGTTTCCGGCACGCATTGAGTCAAGGATACTCTTCGTGTTCGGATCCGTCCTGAACAAAAACAACGTTCATAAATGTCGTCTTAGAAAACATAGAAATAGGTTCTTTCAAAACTTAAAAACATGAAAGGTCAAAATTTAATAATCATAAAGAAACTAAATGAAAATGTACCAAAGGTTGTTTTTCTTCTGAGGTCTTCCGGTCAAATTCCATGCATGCTTCAAGTAACCAAAATTTTCTCTAAAAAAATATTGTTATTTTCTGTAACAAACGAACTTAATTGATTTAAATTATTAAAAGTCACTTGATTAATTAATGTATTTATTGATTATTTATTGATTGATTTAATTAATTATTAACTGATCAATTGAATGATTGCTTGATCGATTTTGTACCTGTATCTACCGTATAGTGTTCCATAGCTGACCCCCAGCAGTTCAGCTGCTCCCTTCATGTCCAGCTCTTTGTTCTTCACACTCTACAAATATAATAAAATTTAAGATAATTATTCAATTATTATAAATTCAAATAAAATCAAACTGTTAAGAGAACTAGTTTTCAATTTGACAAAACGTTTATGATCGAAAACTGTTTTTTTAGTTTAGCCGGCCGGTCATCCAGTATTCCTGCTTTCCTGTCTAACCGAGCAGAAGAGTCATAAACTCTCCTAATCAGATAAATAAGAAGTGTACCGTTGGGATGTTTGTTTTTAAAGGGACTGTAAGTGTAAATGCAAGTGACCATCCATGCAAAGATGATAATGCCCGACTTAAATAATAACGGTATAGTATACCCTTTAAGCTTTGTCTGATCAAGTATGAATTATATATATGCGTGATTTTGTTCATTTAAACGGTTTATTTTCATTCTTGAGTTCTCTTCAAAACTGACTTTCGCAATTTTGGCTTAAGCACTTACCTCCATAACATTCTTAACAAATAATTCCTCCCAGTACTGTTGTCTTGTACCAGTTACTAAGTAGTCGTTCATCTAGAATAATAATCAATTTAAAAATACATCAATAATTAAATAAGAAACTAATAAAGCTTGACACTGCAACATTGTACTCTACAGCTCACAATTTAAATAATTTGGGTAAATCTCATGATTAAGCTACCATTGAGACTAAAATAAGGCTATTTAGAGATATGTTGAAAACTACTTTTTCTTATAGTTGAATCTAGTTTACGAAATATGTTAAAAAAAAACTTTGAAAAAACTGTTTACCAGTTTGAGGCTATGGGATGAAACTCGATATTAAAGTTTTGAATTGCTGCCTATGGAGTAATAAATAAAGGAATTTGTATGAAAAAGTGACGCTGTCGGATATTTAAAACTTACAAAAAAAAGGGCAAGCTAAGAATAAAATTAAGATGAACAATGATGGCCAAACTTAATTTAATTGAAAGCCTTTCCCCTTCTTTGTGTTTCTAGGGGGGGGGGGTGGAGGCATTGCCCGCCTGCATACGGCCCTGTTCCCTTTTAATAATTTCTGAATTTTCACCTTCACAATACCCCAGGAGATAACCTTCTCCTCCGAAAGAGCACTCATTGCCTCCGAATTTACTCCGCTAGGATTCATCATTCCTCCGATATCCATTCCATCCATCCTCTCCTGTTTTACTGGAGTAGGGTGGGGGGAGGCGGGGCTAGAGCCAGGGGGAGATTGGGTGGGGCGTTCTGTTGGTTCAGGCAGGGGGCGGTTCAGGGCAGCCTCCACAAATAAATAAAATTATAAATATAAAATAAAAACATTCAGTGAGAACCATGGACCACTAAGGAATGGTCTGACTATATGTTTTTACCTATTACGTGAAATGGATCTGTTTTTACTGCACAATTGCTGTGTCTCATGTTCTTTGGACTATTTAAAATCATAATTGGAGTCTAAACACCGTCTTTCTATTCCACATGGAAGGTCAATGTTATCAGGGAAGGTCTATTTTGTCAGGAAAGGTCAATGTTGTCAGGAAAGGTCATTAATGTTAGGGGAGGTCAATGTTAGGGAAGGTCAACGTTATCAGGGAAGGTCAATGTTTTTAGGGAAGGTCTATTTTGTCAGGAAAGGTCAATGTTGTCAGGAAAGGTCATTAATGTTAGGGGAGGTCAATGTTAGGGAAGGTCAACGTTATCAGGGAAGGTCAATGTTTTTAGGGAAGTTCTATGTGGTCGGGAAAGGTCAATGTTGTCAGGGAAGGTCATTGTTGCTAGGGAGGGTCAATGTTGTCAGGGAAGGTCATTGTTGCTAGGGAGGGTCAATGTTGTCAGGGAAGTTCTATGTTGTCAAGGAAGGTAACTAATGTCAGGGAAGGTCTATGTTGTCGGGGAAGGTCAATGTTGTTGGGGAAGGTCAATGCTGTCAGAGAAGGTCTATACCTGTAGGGGTGACATGCTTTGTTGGGAAGGGGCAGACATGAGCTTGTGCTTGAAGGGGGACAAAGACCCCTCTCTAGGCAGACCAGGGGCAACTATCATAGGAGAGGTTCCTCCGCCACCTAAAAATAAACAGTGTGTCAAAATAAACATGACAATTTAAAGGGGCTGTAGTCTTTATTTAAATTTAAACCCCATAAGTGGCATGTCTGATCCCTCTGACTCAGTAGCGTTGAAACAAGAAAAATAAATTTTCGAAAGATAAGAATTTCTCCTCCATCCTTGATTCGGACATAGAAAGCTACACATGAAAGATCATTGCAGGGAATTACGTCTTTACTAAACAGTTCCTTTAGACGATCAAGTTTCTTTAATATGCAATTGAATCACAATAATTTACTTTGTACACCAACTGTACAACTATGGTTTACCTTGTACACCAACTGTACAACTATGGTGTTCCCTGTAGTTACATCTATGGGTTGCCTTGCACACCAACTATACAGCTATGGTTTACCTTGTAAAACTATGGCGTACCCTGTACAGTGTACAACTATGGTTTACCTTGTACACCAACTGTACAACTATGGTGTTCCCTGTAGTTACATCTATGGGTTGCCTTGCACACCAACTATACAGCTATGGTTTACCTTGTAAAACTATGGCGTACCCTGTACAGTGTACAACTATGGTTTACCTTGTACACCAACAGTACAGCTATGGTCTACCCTGTACAGCTACGGCGTACCAACTATTGTTTACCTTGTACATCTATGGTGTATCCTTGTACAGCTATGGTGTAAACTGTACATCTATAGTTAATATTGTACACCAACTGTACAGCTATGATGTACCCTTGAATAGCTATGGTTTACCCTGTATCAAGTATGGTTTACCCTGTACAGTTATGGTTTACCCTGTACAAGTATGGTTTACCCTGTGTATGTTTTACCCTGTACAAGTATGGTTTACCCTGAACAAGTATGGTTTACCCTGTAAAAGTATGGTTTACCCTGTACAGCTATGGTTTACTTTGTACAAGTATGGTTTACCCTGAACAAGTATGGTTTACCCTGTACGAGTATGGTTTACCCTGTGCAAGTTAGGTTTACCCTGTACAGCTATGGTTTACCCTGTACAAGTATGGTTTACCTTGTAGAAGTATGGTTTACCCTTTAAAAGCATGGTTTACCTTGTACAGCTATGGTGTACCCTGTACAACTGTAGTGTACCCTGTACAGCTATGGTTTACACCGTATAGTGTACAAATATGTTCATGGTAAACCAAAGCGGTACAGGGTACACGTGTACAGCTCTAATACAACTAAGGTTTACCTTGTGCACCAACTATCCTGGGTGAGAATGAAGGTTCGTCCTCTGGTCCGTCTAGTGTACGAGGTCGGCCTCGTTTTCTCTGCTTACTATCACCGTTCGTTAACATCTCAGACATGAGAGAGGATGCAGCTGCAGGGGATCTAATTAATACAATAAGTAAATTCCTCATTTAAATCGACAATACAAAAACTTAAGATCTTTAAGAGAAAAATTCTAAATCTAACAGACACAATCTATACTCTACAATCTTATTTCTTAATTTTTACATCTTTAAAAGACAATATCTAAGTAAATTCTACAGCTCGGACTGTATATAAATTCTAAAGCGTAAGAGTTACTAATCAATTTTTTAAGACCAGGACTTGAAAGGACAATAACTAAATCATAGAACTTAAACGATAAAAAAGATGAATTATATATCTTACAGGAACAGTACAGTGAGACCCATAAAACTGTGGAAAGGAAAGATGGACCGGTACACTCATGTTGGGATTTTGAATAGCCCATGTCCATAAAACAGAGCAATTGAGAATTGAGACTTAAGTTATAACTGGTAAAACTTTTTACTCTATAACAACATTAAATACCCATAAGATTGCGTAAATGTCGTCTTCAACTCCCCAGTAGTTCTTTGGATTCCCCTTTTAAATTTAAAGGGACAATACTAAAATTTGAGATTTTAATGGTGTAATAACTAAGTAAACTAATTGATCATTAGATAAACTGTTCATCAAATCAATCAGAAATTGATTGATCAGTTAATCAATTACCTTCCCATCATTTGCATAGGAGGCGGTCCTTGAAGTCTAGGGGCGGGGATCCTGGACGGTGTAACAGTGTTCCCCAGGGCAGTGTTGTGGCTGGTTGCATAATTATTGTTTGTAACATGGTTGGGTTGAGACTTCTTCTCCTCTCCTAGATACAGGAGGTATTATTATCATTGTTATAATTATTATTATTAATATTATTATTATTATTATTATCCTAATTGTTTAAATTTCTATTGTTTGTAACATGGCTGCCTTGAGACTTCATGCTTTCTCCTAGATACATGGGGTATCATTATTATTGTTGTAATTATTATTGTTTGTAACAAGGTTGGGTTGAGACTTCTTCTCTTCTCCTAAATACAGGGGGTATCATTATTATTGTTGTAATTATTATAGTTTGTAACATGGTTGGGTTGAGACTTCTTCTCCTCTCCTAAATACAGGGGGTATCATTATTATTGTTGTAATTTTTATAGTTTGTAACATGGTTGGGTTGAGACTTCTTCTCCTCTCCTAAGGTATTATTAACAGCATACACAATAATTATATTTATCATAACAATGAAGATTATGATGATAATGAAAATTATTTTTGTAAAGGATAACGAAAACAGCCATCTCTTAAGAATTTTTTAAACTGCTATAGTCAATAATTTGATAATTATCATTTTTCTTGTTTCTACAGTCATAACCAGACAACTGTGGAATGGGAAGGCGACATTACAGCTTTTCTAAAGTGCATTTGATCTTGTTTAAAGTGAATAGCTTTACTTGAAAGTTATTAAATTACTTATTAAGTAAAATGGGTCTGTTTACAGGGCATAATTGCTGAACCTCATGTTCAATGCGCTATTAAAAGTAATAACATGAATTTAGAAGTAGACTTCCTATTCCAGAGTTTTCTGAATATCACTGTATTATAAAATCAAGAGTTCTTAACAAAATGAATCTCTATGGAAGACGACATTGAAGAATATATTTTCCAACGAACCAAACTTTGAATAATAAACTAAACCATGGATAGCAAATAGATATTTTAATATTCATGTAGATAGATAAATAGCTAAAAAAAGACATGATAGATACCGACAGTTGGAGAAAAAAATTATATGTTGGATAGTTGGGTAAAAGTTAGATAGATATAGTTAGAAAGTTTATTATATAGATAGATAGATAGACATATACATGTGAATAGATAGTTCTCTACCTGACACTTCAGCTAGTCCTTTCACTTTCAAATTTTCTGCAGTTTTTAGCAAAGACGACAATCGATCCTAAATCAAACAAAAAATAAAAATAAGATGGGATGAGATTCTTATATAGCAATTAAGCACATTTCTATTTCTGGGAATTCTATTTAGCATGGGATTAAAGAACCAAGCATTATAAAACCACAAAAACTTCGCTTTTTACATGTTATTTCTCTTATGGTAAAGTGCTAGAAACCAATCAGAATAAATGGTTTTGAAATTTGAAATTTGTAAAACTTAAGAATTTGTGGAACCTTATACAACCCCGAGAATCTTAAAAATGGCCAAGCAAGGTGGGTGGAATTGCCCTGAATTCTCCTACCTGAGAAACATTAATTTCTCCTTTGTACATAAATTCTATAATTGCCGCTATATCTTGGTAGGGTGTATCCTAGAAAATACAGTTCCAGTATAAATTATTTCAATAAAAATAGAATATTTTAGAGAAATATTTATGAAAATAAGGAAAACGATTTCATTTTGGAAACATTTTCCATGCTAATTTCAAGTTGAAACATAAGAAGAAAACATTTTCTCCAAAAATACGAACAAAGTGAAACCCATAAACTGTGGACAAGGAAGACGACTTTTCAGCAATCTTGTGCGTATTTAATGTTGTCAACTTTTTTAATGAAGAAGATTTGTGCTGCACTGCACACAAATACTGTGTTTCATGTGGACCTTTTCAAATCATAACTAGAGTCTAACATTCGTCTTCTTACTCCACAGATTTATGAGTACCACTGCAGTATTCTTTTTTGTTAAATACCAGATAAGTTGAAGGAACCTTGAATATTGTGGAATATTTCTAAAATGGCGGCAATATTTTTTAAATGGCGGAAACTATTTTTAAAAAAGCGGGAAAAAGTTTTAAAATGGCGGAAAATATTTTTTAAATAGCGGCATAATATGGTTGAAAGATATCAAATGAACTGAATTTATTCCTTAAGAATGACAATCTGGCTGGATTCACTGTAGGCTGTAAACAGCTGCTCGAAGTATGAACTACAGGCAGACAAAACCATCTAAAAACATTTCAACTTAATCGTCCTTCAGACTTTGCTTTTTTTAAATTTAAAGCTTTTTGACCTTTAAAGGGATGCAGACCGTAATTTCAAGCGAAATGTCTTTTTTCTAAAGAAGCCCTTTTATCTCAATTCTTTTATCATTGACCACGAAGATGTCTCTATTTTATAACTGAAATTTAAATTCCGGGAAACTCGAGTCACCAGACGATCTGGCGTTCCCGATTGCACTGAATTTTCAGCAAGTAAATAAGAATATCTCATTCATCCCTTATAAAACAAAGCCATATTTTTCTCTAATAAAATTGATAGGTTAAAAATGAGTGAAATCTTTAAAATGCAGTCAATGTTTTAGGGTTGAATATAATCAATCAGTAAAGTTGGCCAAGGCGTCGAACAAAAACTGCAAAAACCTTGGTAAAACCTTGGTAAAAACCAGGTCCTAAAAAACTTTTGGTTTTGATGGATTACAAAAGGGTTTCCAGGCTCCCAGGCTTCAACAGGTTTAGCGATGGAACCGATTAAAACCAAATAATTTCAATAAAACAAGAATATTGAAAACTATGAAAATCTACAATGATCATTTGTTGACTCATTAACACCACTTTGGAAACTTAATAAAATTAATGTTAATAGTTTCATTTTAACATTTCTATTTCTAATGATGAATGAAAAATTCAAAATATAAAAAAAAATATTAGAAAGAGTGTATTTAGGATAATAGTCAACACATTTGTATTTGTGCGTTTTATGGAGCCATCTTAAAATTAGAAATATGGAATTATATTTTAAGATATTTTATGAAACTTTAGTTCAATGTAATTAATACTTCAATTTAATTAAGCCATGTAGGGAGTATCTGAACAAAAAACGTCTGTTTGAATACATAAATAAACAAGAATAGATTAGAAAAGATAAAATAATAAAGATATAAAAACACTGACTTCAATAAAACATGATTTAAGCCTTTAAAAAAAAACTTTAAACCTTAACATCAGGGATTCACAACGGAATACTTTTATCTTGGTATCGATAATGTTTTATTTCTGAAGGTAAAGTTGATAACTTGCCACCTTGTACATCACTGTATATGCAGCTAAACAATACAACTGTGAATTCCTGTGTATTAGGGCAAGGATTAACAAATAAAAAGATAATGTTTAAAAGGATACTATTTTGAACAGAATCGCAACAAAATAACGTATACAGACCCTTTTAAATGGTTTAAATGATTCACCTTGTGACACTTTATTCTCCGACCCTCTGATGCAATGGTAACGTCAGTAAACTGTTCTTGACCAAGTAGACGTATAAATACGCGTAACAGATTGTTCTGAATAAAAAATAAACAATTAAAAATAATTTAAAAATAGATTTAATAGATTTCTTTCCCGCTAAAGTCCAAACATTTGTGCGAGTATAACGCTAATCTATACGTTTTATCTCAATATACATTGTGGATACTTTTAGAGATTAATGGATGATTCCTCAAGTCATAATTATCCCAGCTGGGTTATTCTAAACAAAACAGACCAAAGCAGAAGAAACCAAGTCAAAGACATACAACTTAGTACTAAAAAATTTATATTTCTTGGCGCTTTAAAAAATGATGCAAAGCTGTGAGAATATCTAAAAATAAGTATTGTAGTAAAAAAAAACATTTGAACAGAGCAAAACACTGCGACTGAAAACAGACTTTACAAAAAGGGCGAAAAAAATACACACAAAAATTAGTTTTTTTTATTAACAAACAAGTAGGCCATAATGGGGGGGGGGGTAGACTTTTCAATTTGGCCGTGTATGTAGTTTTTAGCAAAAGTTTTTATCAACGAAATTTATTGAAGATCAAATTATTTTTAAAGCAGATTTAAACTGACCAGTGAAATATTATCTTTCTTCATCTCATTTTTTTGTAAAACTGTTTGTTTTATTTCAACTGTTTCTAAGTTTTATGTAAAGAATAAAATACAATATTTAAATATTTCAAAATCTGTAAATTTAATTATAGCCAGGCACTGATTTTAATTCTAATAATTTTCTTTTTGAAATCTGAAACCGCTTTTATATACGGTAATTTAAAAATATTATTCCACCGAGTCTCAAATTTTAAACCGCATTCTTTGTCTTCATAAAATGTTTACAGTGATCCCTAAAATTCATGAGATTTTGGATTAAGTTAGGTTAATAATTAAAAAATTAATAAAAAAAACTTCTAATATTGTTACTTTTCTTGTAGGATTTGAAAAAAAATTGAGTTATGTCTTTCGGATGTAATTATGGGAAAAATTACTTTGTGCCTCATTAAAGGGATGTCAATAAGGAACACTTTACACACATGAGAACCCCCCCCCCCTCGATCAGATTCCATAGATCACAAAAATAACATTGAATATTCTAAAAAGTGCATTTCAAAATATTGTAAAAGTTTTGTCTTTTGAAAATGAGCAATAAGACCATTTAACGGTATGTTATTGTACAGTTTGGCTCTTAGAAGGGAAAAAATGGCTGGAATTATACAAACCCTTCATTTTATGACCATCTATGCTTAAAATAAGATTGAACATTTAGGATCTGAGGTCGCTGACCTCAAAAAAAATCCCAAGTCAAAATGATTGCTAAAAAGAGTCGTATTGACCTATTTTCTTTAATTGAATTTAAGGAGACTTTAAAGTCACATTTTCTAAAATATACTTTTTAAATGTTTTAGACTACAACAACTTTAATTTTATAAAAAATCTCATATTTTAACAATAATTTATGGTTGAACCCCCCCCCCCCCTCCGTTTGTATGACCATTGAATTATATGGCAATTGATGTTATCATGAAAATGGGCTCTACCAATTTTGAAAAACAATAATATTGTGACAATATATGTTTTTTTATAATGATTACGACAATTGATGTTTAAAAAAGACAATTTATGATGTTAAACCTTTAGGCTACAGAAAATGATAAATTAACAAAAACATTGTTTTATTGCAATTTCTGTTGATAATAAACATTGGATTAAGACAAATTATGACCTGAAACATTATCATATGTAAAGAGAAAAGATAACAGGGATTATCGTTATAATTTCAAGTGACCTTCCATTGAAATAGCGACATGCAAAATTTAGAACAGTCCCTTTAAATCAGACGGAGCTTTTAATTGTAAACTATCAACGGAGGGTCATTTAGAATTACGTTTACGGTCCAGCTTGACGTAAAAATATGAGAATGTGTCAGGAGAGCTAACCTGATGATTGTTCCATTTAAGGCAATATTGCTGAGCTAGTGGAGATACAACACCACCTCCACTCCCACCCATATCCACCATATTTATTCTCTGGAAAAAATAACAATAAAAATAATGTTTACTATATATCTATTGAGGTATTATAATTATAATTCTTATAAATATATCGTTCTGAAGCCTACTTTTAAAAAGATCTGTCTATGCCTGATCTGTTTGTTCAGCCTTTCGTACAAATGAGTGAAAAAATTTGGCACATTTTTCAGTTTTCATTTAGCGGATTTCCGAAAAACTAAAATATGGATTATTCTTTAATTAATTAGCTTAGGAACCCAGTGCTGCCAAGATCATTAAAGAATACTCTCGTCGCTCACCCGCACTTGAACGTTTTACCGGGAAACTAAATTTTCGCTGTTAAAGTCGACCCACTCATGTTAGAATATCAAAACCAACCTAATAACATTCCCGAGGGTCTCCCGAGTTCCCCAATCAAAATTTGAGACAAATCGATCCACGGGTTCCTGAGTTATGAACGGACAAAAAAAAATCAGAGATTGCAACTTTATATACAGAGATTAGATGAACAGCTTAACCGGCTGGATTGGTTCGGTCGTTTTGACGTTTATTGTAAAACAAACAAACCATCAGACAAACAGAAACGTCAAAAATGCATGATATTTGTTTATCTGTAGATACTAAGAATAAGACTGGTGATGAGCAGTAAAAATGATAGATTATAGAAGAAGAAAAACAAAGTATACGTATACTCCTTAAAATTGGGGTGCAGACGTCCCCCCAACCCTGAGAAAATAAGGAGCGTAAAAAGAGATAGTATAGACACCTTCTAGCCTTTAAATTTTATAAAGAATGGATTCTAAAAGATTTCGGCTCTCTTCGCGCGCAATATTTTAATCAACCCCCCCCCACNCCCCCATCCCTGGATCATAAGCCGCCCTATAGTTTTGTTTACAGTGTATGTACTTGAAACTATCGAGGTACGCACAAGGACACCCTAATGTGTGCAGAACAACGAGATTATAGTTTATAGAGTGATATCGAGAGCGTACTGCATATTTGTTTATCATATGGAGATTCTGGCCTAACCTATAGTACTAGTATAAGTAAACAGTGTGCAGTACAGCTAACTGAGCACACAGGTAGGAAACTATCATCCTCCCTTTTGATAACAATCAAAAATAATTTTTTTTTATGACTAAAAATATAAAAGAATCAAGTAAATAGTTAAGACGAAGAGCTTAATTAAAAATAATTGCAATATAAAAAATATTAAGAATCAAAATTATACTCGTTAACAAATTCATGCTTTAACACAAGTAAGAAAGTAATCTATTCTTAAACCATATGCTCCGTTTTTGACCTAATTCTAAAAATAAAATCTTACATTTCAATTTTACAGTTTCTGTCATATTGTTGATATTTTGACTAACATATGGCTTCGTTTCTAACTTTTTCCAAAAATAACAGGGATAGTTATTCTTTACATCTTTCAACTTCAACATTTTAGGAACAGATTAAAAAACAAAAATAGCAAAAGTAAAACCATATTTATCATATTAAAAAACGAACACCCCCCCCCCCTTCATCTGTAAACACTAGGGTGAATAACCGAAAAAATATAATTATTTTTATATTTAATTTATTTAATCTAGAGTTTCCTTTCGTTAAATATGACTGTTGGGGAGGGAAGGGGGGGGGGAAGGTTGTTAATAAAGAGAATTAAAAATCCAATAAAAAGTTCGAACAGTTTATTATACTTTGTCCGTTTTTTCGACTCCATTTAAAAGTCTAATTTTTTATTGTAAAAAGAATTACTGTCGTCATTCTTGCGTTGATATTTTTGAATAAACAAAATGAGCTAAAAGCATTCTTTAATCGTGGAGAGACTAACCTCCCTCGATTCCCAAGTTTCCATTTATGATGTTTTCCTTTTTTCATTTATTTTAATCTCAGCTCTACATTTTTTCTTTCTTTTTATTACATTCCTTTAAGTAAAAACATTTTGCCCGTTTTTATCAAATTATTTTCCCTTTTATTTTTTTATTTTAGATTTTTAGCAATACTTTCCTTATCTGTACACTTCTTTTTAGCAACACTTTCCTTATCTGTACACCTCTTTTTAGCAACACTTTCCTTATCTGTACACTTCTTTTTAGCAACACTTTCCTTATCAGTACACTTCTTTTTAGCAACACTTTCCTTATCTGTACACTTCTTTTTAGCAACCCTTTCCTAATCTTTACAATTCTTTTTAGCAACACTTTCCTTATCTGTGCACTTCTTTTTAACAACACTTTCCTTATCTGTACACTTCTTTTTAGCAACACTTTTCTAATCTGTACAATTCTTTTTAGCAACACTTTCCTTATCTGTACACTTCTTTACTTTCCTTATCTTTACATTTCTTTTTAGCAACACTTTCCTTATCTGTACACTTCTTTTTAGCAACACTTTTCGTATCTGCACACTTCTTTTTAGCAACACTTTCCTTATCTGTACACTTTTTTTTAGCAACACTTTCCTTATCTGTACACTTCTTTTTAGCAACACTTTCCTTATCTGTACACTTCCTTTAAAGAAAAAAATCTTTTAAAAACTTAAACTGATTCTCGCACAAAAAAAAATTTGACTGTTGCTTACTTTCGGCCCATCTTTGTACACTTAATTTCAAGTGACCCTCCATTTATAAAGTGTCATATTCAATTCACATCGGTACCGTAAAAGCTTAGATCTATTGTTTTCTATTGTGATTTCTCCAAAAAAGTGACTTGCTGATTTCAGCTGCAGAAACAATGAAGAAAAATTGTCAGATTTAAACAGTTTTCACACTAAAAAAACTAGAAAATCATGTGAATCAGGCCCATTTCCGAAAGGGAACTTGAAATTACAACAACAGTCCCTTTAAAGCAGTTTATTTGTATTTGGGAAGCTCTTCAAGAATCTGCAAAAATAAATTTTGCCAAAAATTTGCAAAATTCTAAATATTTCTTTTGTGAACTCCAGTTATTTAGTGTGCTAAATATATTTAACATGATAATAAATACGTTTTAAAAAAATTAGGGGAGATGCATACTCGATTTGAATTAATTCAAAGCCCCCCCTTCCCTTCCCCTCTTGTAGGAATAGGGTTATTATATGTAAAGATAAACTCTCCTAATTATTAAATTTTACATAAAAATTGAAAATTATGTTGAAGCCAAATTCGAGGTAATAATCGGGAAGGTAAAATATCAAATTTCAAAAAAATAATGACTCTAAAGCCTAGAACAATGTAGGCATAAAAACTATAGACATTTCTTAATTTTGCATATTTTGTCTGGAAACCCTTGCTTGGAACAATTTTCTGGTCTGGAAAAAAAGGTAGATATTTGGGTGAGCCGGGTAGGTGTAATACAGGTGGGCCGGGAAGGTGTAAGACGGGTGGGCTGGGTAGGTGTAAGACGGGTGGGCCGGGTAGGTGTAAGACAGGTGGGCTTGGTAGGTGCAAGGAGAGTTATTAGGGTAGATGTAATGGTTGAAGACTGTGGAGAGGAAGGATTTTAACAATTATATTAGCTCCCCCAGCAGGAGTTTGTTATAATAAAAACTAGTTTAAAACCTTGATATTTAATTTGCAAAATATATTTTTTATCAGTTTGCGGATTTCCACGAAGTACAAACTGCTGGCTCGGTTAATACAACGTAAATACATTTTCGAAAATATTTAAAACTTTATTTAAATAAAGCTGATTTTAACGTTATTTTTTCAGTTTGAGCCAAACCAAATGCAGCCCAGTAATTTTTATCTTGAAAAATACTGCAGAATAAATTATTAAGCCTGGTGTAGATTTTATAAAAAATGATAAAAGGGACCTTTGGACTAGGAATAATTCGTACTCTTGTTTTTAATACTAAATTAAAATCATAAAAACTGATCAAAATAATATTTTTATAGAATCTTTATCAGCAAAAAAACTTAAAATAATGCTAGATTGTAATTGTAATTAGCTAGATTTTGAAGAGATGTCGGGGGGGGGGGGGT